ATTGGCTGCCGCTCCGTGTTCCTGTTCATGTGAAGCGAGATGTGAAAGAGCTTTGATGGCAAACAGAGCAGAAAGCTAGACCCACACAGCTTACATAATTGAAGAACATATTTGAGATGAGGAAGCGGGGCTGAAACGCGATACGCCTTTGGCCCACGCTTCCCACAGCCTGAAAGAAAGCATCAGCTGATTCAGGCCTGGACTCCGGAGAGGAGGGTGCAGCTCCATTCTATCCCAGTTATAAATCATCTGTAAAAGTGATGCAATTTGTTCAGAATGCAACAACTGGGACTGCTTAAACTCAGTTCTAAAGGCTGTTGTTCCTGTTTTTCTATCCGCTTTTTTTTTTATGAACATGAATAATCAGCTAGAAATCCTTTGCAAAAAAAAAAGAAATGCCATGAGTTTTTTCCCTCCAAAATAACATCAGAAAATGTATGGATGTTTTGTTTCTAGTGGCATGCAGCTAGCGTAGGCTGTACTAACACAAAGGGCGGTAAACTCTCTTTCACGTTTATCTTTGCCTGTTCTTTCTTCTTATATGTATAGACAACACTCTCCTGAGCCCTGAGTTGTTGTTTTTGTTTGGGTTTTTTTTTTGTGTTGGTTGGAATATTTTCTAGCTCGGCCGTGCATTCCCACAACAATGACACAATGCTGCTATTCTTAAGACGCACAGAAATACAGCCCGGCCACTTTCTGGCCATTTCCTGTGGTCTGGGAACGGAGGGAGAGAAAAGCAGGTTGCGAGAGTGGCTTGACTTAAAGTCTGGCTCCGTGATGATGTCACAGAAATGGTACGGCACTTGAAAGAAAATCAAAAACGTATACTGGAGCATTAGGTCGACTTTTAATGCTACACAGCCAAACAAATACAGGGTTTACCTCAAAAGGAAACCATGCATGTCTATATTTAAATATATATTACTCACATGTGCAGTATTCCAAATGACCCGGTAGAAATCAGAAAAATAAGCCTCCTTCCAGCTGCCTGGCACCTTACCAATGAGTAATACAAGATGTGTGTGCACAGTGTACGGCCTGTCATTATCAAGCAACTTGGCAAGGAAACTCTAAAGTATAGGGCTCACTTAATGACAGACAGACTTTAGAGAGGAGTTGAGTTTTGGCGTTAGCTGCTTGGATTTTGATTTGTGAGGACAAAACGGATTGAGGGCAGGGATCACAAATGCTTCTAGGCCTTGGAAAAATGTACAACTCACAAAAAGATCAATACTGGATGAGTAACTTTTTCTCTTCCGTCCAGGGCTGTCATCTCTTGGTCAAACAGAAACAGAAACAAACAGAAATGCGTAATGTGAGACATTTTTCCTCGATATTTTTCTCCCTGCTGCTACACTTTAAAGGCCACCGTTACGGGTTAAGCAATGCTGGCAGATGTCAGAGGAAAAGCGTGTCAAGACAACACAGAACTGTCTTGTTTAAAAAATCATTTTTATGTTAAAAAAAAAAGCTCTAGTCGCCTTACAGGGTCTGAGCTGTTGGATGTTACAGATCAGGCTCGGGGAAACTTTCACACTTTGAAACAAAATAAACACGGCCTGCTGTGTGTATTACAGAACTTTAAAAATGCCCCAAATGAAACAGCTGAGCAGTTTCGGTACGTTTCGCGGCCTCAAAGCCACAAAAGGCTGACCTCCACCGCTTACGGGAACCCCTTACGCACAGGCCGAGTTTCTGGGAAGCCAACAACCAAAATCCATCATTCACAAGCAGGTTGAGTCAAATCGATACACATCGGCCATTTTTAACATCCGCGACTCAGCTCGAAAGAGATGTGACAAACGTGTCCTTCTGAAATCCACGAGCGCTTCATGAATGAGTCAGCCACGCTCGCGACGTCTCCACAGTTCATTGTGAGTGGTGACGATCCAGGGTGACGTTGAAATGGTGCGTTACTACGCCGTGTGCGCTGGGCTGTGTGTGGCTGTTGGGGCGAACCAGCAGCCAGATAATCGACTCCTTCAGTTACTCTGATCTGCTGTGAATCATCAGCAGCCATCTGACTTCCTGGAAGGCTATTTCAGGAGTTCTAAACTTTTCCACATTGGGACTAATGAGGAGCCATTTGAGCTTCAGTGTTGGTTCTTACAAAATACCTCCTTCTGACACACACAAACATTCCCCAGGAATCCTGCTGTAGTGCAGCGATAGCAGATTCTGAGCCCGCGCTGGGAATAAACCTCCTGCGGTTTGGGGGAAACGCTGTTTCTTTTGTGCGAGAATGTGATCCTGCTTTCACTTCACCTGAGAAATGACTCGTGTTTCTGCTAAGCAAAGGACAAAAAGCTATTTCGTATAAGTATGCGCGTACGGCTGATTTTCATTTTCGGTGGACGTATTCTCAAATATCCTGTCACGCGTTTGTTTAACCACATCTATAAAGGATACAAACTGACTTATTTTGTAACCTAAAATCAAAATGCTTCTGGCAGTTGGGCTTAAATAAACAAAACAAAACAAAAATCAATCGTGAGAGGGATTCGTTGCTGCGCATGAGCCGTCTCATTCACAAAAGTGCACCGTACAAACAGCCTCTCGTTTTCAGCTGCAGCCTCGTAGCGCAGCAGCCAAGTGGAGCCTGGATCCTGGCTCTTTCAGCGACATGAGCAGAGGTGCACCGGGGTAAACACACGCAAACACACACACGCAAATGCACACACTCTCTAATTATTACTTCTGTGGAAAAACACTCAGGCAAGAATGCGTGCGGATCCCTAACAGACACTTGCGCTTAGCCTTACGTGTGTGTGTGGGGGGGGCCACTAAACACACTTGGAGCAGAGGTTTTAGGCAACAGTGTGTGTACTGCAGAAAAGAGCCTTTTCCAAACTTTTTCGGCCTGGTACGCTTGCGCAGTCTCTCTCTATTTGGTGACTGTGACCCCTTCCCGCTGCTCATTCATCTCCCACGACTCCTTTCTTGCCTTTGCCTCTCCTCTGCTTCCCACCCCACAGATCCATTTTGGGTCCCCGCTCATGGTCTGATGAATGGATTCCTAAGAAACCCCTTGGGGGGTGGGGGGGGACTGAAGAGTTGATGTCAGATAACAGCGCAGGAGAGGAGAGGGAAGCATGACACTGTCTGATCCACAGCTGATAATCGAGTCGCTAACTTTTTGGTGAGGCTGCAGCTCACGATGTGTAAGCATGCAAGCTTGCACAACGACCGGCAGAAGAAAAAAAAAGAAAAAAAAGGGAAAAATGTCATTCTGAATTCCAGGAGGATTTTCTTTTCCTTTTGAGAAAACTGCTTCAGGACAATCATGTGCAGTCAAAAACAAATTGTGCATCCTGTCATCTTGTCAAGATGGAGAAAATATTGTTAAGATTACACGGTTATGCTCTGGCCAAAGGTGTGTGTGTGTGGGGGGGGGGGGTCTGGTATGCTTTCTGGTTGTGAAAAATGCCGCACAGACTTACCAGCACAAGTCACAACATTAAAATAAACACATAGCTGAATTATGGCTTTCACTAGCATCTGTTGGGGTTGGTGTTACATCTTAATGCCGATACAGCTCTGAGCAAAGAGGAGTACTGATAGAACAAAAACATCTAAGCACCAGAAACCAAGGGTAGTAAAAAAAAAATGCTTGAGAAAAAGATCAGACTCCTCTAGTACTGTACGAGCCAAGGAGGAATGTGGAAGGGGTGAAAACCTTTACAGTTACAGACAGCCTTTTGTCTGCAACAAAGGCCTGAAGCGCACATTAGTGGGAGTTACTTCCCCACCCTGGAGGCATGTCTTTCTGTCTCCAGTGACTCAAGGTGCAGAAGCCTTTGTATCTCAATGACTGAATCGTGAAGGAATGAAAAACAACTGGGTGCCTGGAGGACAGAAAAGTGAATATGTCCCTCTGAGTGTTTCCAGACATCTTACATAATATATATATTTCAAGAGAGCCTTCCCTTTGGCAGTGGTTTTGTTTCATAGAGACATGGTAGGTGAGTTGGAAGGTGATGTGCTGTTGGCAACACACGCTATTTGTAACAAGAGAAACAAACTTTAAAGAGCAATAGAAACTGTTATGGGAGTTAATCTGGACTTTGATCTTAACCACTAAGAAACTACATCTAAATGTCAACATTAATCTGTGCAATGACAAAAAAAAGATGATCATCATTATTAATTATTTACCCATGTCTGATGAGAGATTTGTCTATGTAACCGTCTCACAAGTCAACCACTATTACTAATTAATTTTTGTGTATTAATATTTCCCGTCTGATTGAGATGGGCCTTTTCTTTTTTCTAACTGTTTTCCATAATATTAGATAAGATTGCCATTTTAACTGCACTAAAGCAACACATTTTTCTATGCATGAGGCTGCCTGAAAATCTTTTTTTATGAATGCAGCGAAGGACACTAGTTCCTACAAAGTAAAAGCAAAGTAAAACCACCCATCTGCTGATTGCGAACTATAAAAAAAAAAGATAGTTAAATTCAGTGAAGATCTTCCAGCTCACTAACGTGTTTACACACATATTTGTGCCATAACTTCATAAGAACCAACCTTAGCCAAATAAACTCCGTACCCCAGTATTTAAGTAAGGATTGAACAAGAACAAACCTTTACCCTGAAAGAGGGTTTCAAGAATGTCCTCACTTCCAACTTCTAAGACAGAAATAAACACAGGAGGAGCCACGAGTGAAAATGAACCCCCTTCCAATGCACACACACACACGCACACACACACACGCACACATATACACACACACACAGCTTTGATTTCCAGACACTTGAACCAGGAGGCTGCTCCCCACATGTTGCTGCTCCATCCATCCTGCAACAATGAAGGGTGGTGTGTGTGTGTGTGTGTGTGTGTGTGTGGGGGGGGGGGGGGTAACCTGAGCACGCGCACACTGGCTCGAGGAGCAAACAACACACCCTTCGAGTACACACAGGTGATCAAAACAAAGGTTTTAGGCATAAACGTGACCAGGGAAGGGGCTCGTCCGTTAAGGTGAAAGACCGTACCGTCGCCATGGCTTTGACGTTGCGTCATCACCATGGTGACCACAGAGCACTTTACACCAAATATTTGGGAATGTGTCGCGAAGCCGAGGAGCGTCGCGGTTACCGCTTCAACTCCGAAATGCACGTGCCGCGCACGGGCTCGGCGCTTAACAGAAAGTGCAGCTGGGCGCCTGACACGACAGCGGCTATTAAAAATGGACCTTTTCTGCGCAAAAACATCTGCGCAAGCCAAGAAACCCGAGGGGCTGACCCTTTAAACTTCACGCTAGCACATTTTCGATGCGTATTGATAAGGAAAGTTTTCATTTTGGTCGATGTTTGGCTCAACCATACTGCGGTTCACGGTTTGGCTAAAGGTCATTTGAATGGACAGTTTAAAAGCACTTTAGGACACAGGGGGAGAGAGAAGGTGGACAGAGTCTTAGGCTGCGCAGCGTACTCACGTTCTCCGTTATCTCGGACGGGCACCCACCGCAGCACGTCGACTAACCACCAAGTTGGACTTCGCATAACGGAAATGTGTGGAGAGGCATCAAAAGTAAGTAACCAAGAGAAAGAGGGCACCGGAGGAAAAGCCGTTCGTTAAAAAGCCCGTCGCTTTCTCTCTCATGGTGACTGCATGCGACTGGTCCCTCCGCAAAAAAAAAAAAAAAAGAGGAAAGAAAACTTTCAGCTACGAACTTAACGCGGAAAAAGAGGCTACTGCTCATTTCCGCTGTCAGAAAAAAAAAGCGCCGCGGTCCAAGCGAGTGAGAACCAGCTGCGTCAAACTAGAGGAAATTCAAAATACCACTTCCGACCACTTCCTTTCAAAACAAGAGATCCACGCCATCGCCTGTTCAGGGCGGGGGGACCAGAGACCAAACCCTGTAAAGCAGGGGGGGGGGGGGGCCGCCGGGGGGACTGCAGGGAATAAGTGTACAGAAGATGGATGGATGACTCATTCAGACACTCTAAGGATGCAATAAATGTTTATAGTGCATCTTAAGTACTATATCAGTGAACATTTGTAATTAGTTTCAGTCACTCTAATTCTTCCTTATTCATAGCCTTATGAAATGTCTTAATTTGCGGTGTGACAATACTTTAAATTTAATTGCCTTATTCATATTCGTCATATACAAACTAGAATGGAGAAATGGAGGGTAGTGCAAAATTAGTATTAGATCTGGACATCACAAATGCAATAATTCATTTAGTTTCAGTTGGTTTTTATGTTAATTTTTTCCCACTGCTTTTGACTGTGTGAATTTTAAAGCAAGCAACACCTTAAGGTGTGGAAAGACAGGCATCAATACCAATCACTCCATTCATAAATCTCTGAATCTCTCCCTGGATCTCTTCAATAATGTTCCTTTCTTGTAATGGGTGGACAGGAAGTAACTGTAACAGGAGGTTTTTTTCCACATTCTGGAGGACCAAATATGAATGAAAGCAAGGAATGTGAAAGATGCAGAAACTGTTCATTCTTTTAACATTATGTACTTTCTGTTTGGTAACTTCACTTTATGACAGAGTTATATAAGAGTTATTTGCAGGCCTCTTATGTGAAGTAAAGCCCGTCCGTAATATTTCCTTTAACCGAGCTGGAAGAACAATCTAACAAACCCGTTTAAGACTCCTGGCTATGCAGCGGTTGTTGCCGTTAGTGCTCCTAAATATATCTCCATCACATGGTGGCATGTGGTGCTACTTCAATGTCAAACTGATCTTCTGTAAGTCATATCTTAATACATAAGAACAGCCAGGGTGGATTAAAGTCACGTTGTTAATTCATGTCCGCAATGGGAAATATATATAATGGTTCGTTAAGATACATCACCTGCCTACCAGGTGTCAGCTACTGATATCCCAGAAGAGACCGGACCTGAGATCTAAAATTGTAACACAGTGACACCTGGTGAGAAAGAGACTGCAGAGCACCAGGAGAGTATGCACAGGCTCAGGGCTGTCTCTCATCCATACTCCCATAAATGGGGAGAACCCAAACATACCCCAGACTGAAAGGTCACAATTCTTATACATGCAGAAAACTGCATCTCGAGTCAGCTATTTTTAAACTCCAGGAGCTCATTCTCAATTCAGAATTATGGTTTATTGAATGGTTTACAAAAAAACAGATTGTACAGATCACAATAAAACATTGTATAATCAGTTATTCAATATAATACTTAATGTGATGCTAAAACTTATAGAAATGTATGAAAAAACAAAACAATTGTACTTGATATTGTGCATTCCTCATTAGGATTTTTGTTAGCAAACAGCTACAATATGGATATTCAGACATTCATAGATTCCTGTACCTGGAGATTACAGCTTCCCATATCTTGGAAAAACTTCCACTTAATACAGGGAGGATTTTAATGCAATGTCAAAAGTGTAGGTTTTGGCCTTTAAAGAAATAAAAAACATACAATTTACACTGAAACTCTTTTCCTAGCATGTCTTTCTTGCACAAACCAAATATAAAAAGTTCTGATAGCGCTGTGCGTCGATGCAGACCAAAAGTAACTGAGCCCTTGTCAGAAAGTAATTGCACTAAGATGAGAAAAAATGGCTCTTAAGGACCCACAGAAGTCATAAAACAGCTCTGTGATCAGATACAGAACCAGAGTGGGAGAAATCCTGTTTAAAAAGGCTTGTTCTTTACACTTTTGCTTCACTTCCAACATGGACGAGAGAGCAAGAGGTTAAATGTTCACTCATAGTGCCGATGAAGAACCCTTTGATTCTTTTGGTAACTTTAACGCAAAAACCACCCAACAGAATGACTAAACGTGTGGTTTGATCACATACAGTCTACTGCAGTGAGCTGAGAGCTACGATGCCAAGGATAAACTACCGCTTTTATCGGAACAAAAGGCTGAAAAGAGAGCTAAGTGACAAGCCCTCTTATGACACCGCATCATCTGGCTGCCGGAGAACGAGGGCTAAAAATACTGGGTGTGTTGCTGGAAGCACGACATCCAGCTCCCATCATCCACGATGACTTCTGAGGGGTTGGTCTGACATAAGCCACCGACGGGCCTCCCAAATGAGAGGTGCCCCCGCCGCGAGGGAACGGACAAGTTGGGTCTGCAGTCAGGAAATGTCAAGTCATGGGGAATGGATGCTAACTAGGCCTGATTATGACACTATTCCCACACTGACGTCGAGCTACAATAACTTCCTGGTTCAAGACTTTAGTACAGAGTAGGTTCAAATTGTTTGCCAATTGTGGCAAAGCTTGGTCAGCATCTAATAGGGCTAATGCCTCATAACTAGGGACTGTGCATTTTCAAAGCATCATTCCTTTGGCCTCATTTCGCATAACAAAGAAAATCTTGGACTCCATTAGAAAATATTTTGGATGGTTATTTGAGTAGGAGCATCTTCAAGACACAAAAAATATATTTATATAAAACGATTAATCAAATTAAAAGGGGCAAAGGAAGTTGAACACTGACAAAAATCAACAGAAAACAGCTGATTTTGGAATATTCGAGAAGTAGTGTACCAGCAAGTGTCACTCAGAAAGGAAGAGGTTTCTTTTTAATATATAGTCCAGAAAGGTTGGTGTCAAAGTTCAGGATGGGCTGATTCCCCTGTGCCAGACAAGATTTGGAATCATTTTGACTTTCTTTTTCAAAAACATGTGGAAAGATTGCAAATTTGCTAAGTTTTTGTTTGGCCACCATTCTGCTGGCCAAAGGACGAGGTGGACGATCCAGCCTGGCCTCACTGGCTCTGCAGCCACTGGACCCTCAGCTCCTCCACCTCCTTCCCGTACCAGTCGTGCAGTTTGGAGAAGCAGCCGGTGCCGGGGGACACGGGGCTCTCCAGGGAGGCTCCTCTCCTTCGGGGGGGCACCGGTGGAGCCCTGGCGCCGTCGGCCCCGTAAGCGGCGGCGTTCCCGGGCTCGGCGCCGCCCTCCCAGGCGGCGGAGGAGGAGGCGGCGCCCTCGGGGCAGCCGTTGACCAATCCGATGGCCGGTTTGCTCCACGCAACTCCGTTCTCCCTGGAGCTCCCGGAGGAGAGCTGCACCTCGTCCTGGAGGCCTCTCTGGGCCGGGGCCACCACGCTGGATGACGACGACGATAGAGATGACGAAGAGGACGAGGAAGAGGACGCTCCGGACCTGGACCGCGCCACCTGATGGCGGCGGGAGGACTTGGGCTTCCCCTGCGGAGCCCCGGCGCAGACGCCCCCCGCGGCCTCCAGGAACTCCTCCAGCTGCCTCTCCAGCTCCTTCACCACCAGCCGCATGTAGTCGAAGCTGGCCCGCGACAGCGCCTTCACCCACGACTCCATGGCCGCCTGGCTCTCGGCGGCCATCTTGTACACCCGGGCCTTGGCGCACTCGAACTTGATGGCGAAGGCGAACTCCTCGGCGGACTCGCACAGCTCCACCGTGCACCCCTCCAGCACGATGACGCCGATGGGCTCCCGGCCGTCGCGCTCCTCGAAGTAGAAGAGCATGTTCCCCTTCAGGACGAACCAGCGCCGGTGGTAGGCGGTGTTCCGCTCCCCCTTCTTGAACAGGAAGCCCGTCTTGTCCGGCGGGGAATCGCAGGTGGCGTAGTGCGCCACGCTGCGCTCGTTCAGCTTCATCTTCCTCCCTGTGGGCTCTTTATTTACCTGAATCATTAAAAAAAAAAAAAACAGGGTGTAAAAACAGCTCACAATCGACAAAACTTTCACGTGGTGTAATAATTGCATTTGGGGATCTTTGCTAGGTAAAGCTTGTTTATGTGTTTATGTTCATGTTTATGCATTTGGCAGCTTAAAGGTTTATTAGTCGCAGCACCAGATTGCTGTCATGACAAAAAAAAAAAAGAATGATTCCATGTCGCACTTACAAAAGGACTTTGACCAATCCCCCCCCCCCTTCCCCACAGAGTAAACTGTATTTTTACCTCCATTTTACCAGCCACTGCACGGGGCAGCTGACGCTTCAACCCAGCTGCAGAAGCGGGCCAACTTTTAAGGCTTGTTATTGCGGTTTGTGCCGGGTAATCACATGCTCAGCTGTAAACCGGAGCTCAGACCTACCCACTACGTAAACACCAACTAATCCACTCAGCCGGTGATAAAACATTCACTCACTGATGCAGAAGTTTTACCCCCACACACACACACACTCTCCTTCTTTTGTTCTCAAACTCCACACCATACAAAGTGCCAAAAGATAACATCTGATAGGGATTCTTTGCCAAGTTTCTCTTTTGTACAGACATAACAATGGTTCCCAGTTGTTATCTGGAGACAGTTTCGTTCCTATGAAGCAGAAATATGCAGACGTGACCGTGGATCAACGCCGGGGCAGCACAGGACTGATGTGAATTACAATCTGATAGAGCAAAAATGCAGTCAGAGAGGTAGACGCTTGAAGAAGGTGGTTACTTACATGGTTATCTCACATCCAGCTGCCGGCCACCCCAGTCCTCCCATCACATCTGGAGCGCTGGGGCTTATCAAGTCTCCCCTTTCTTCTGTCTCTCCCCGCAAATGAAGGCTAGACAGAAATGTTCCGAATGTTAGACACACTCACACACACGTCGGCTTCATGCATGGACTGACCAACAGTGACCGAGTGGCATTAAGGGTCAGGTGAGCGTCACGTTTCCGGCGTCTAAGAAGCCACATTAGCCCGTTTTTTCCATCCCGTCTGGTGGAGTGATTCAGTGTGTGAGTGGGCTGTCACACGCTTTTGACACATCAGCACTTTGCCGGGATTCAGGAATTCACCTCGCCCCGTCACGCCGTTTTCAGCAACACGGTCACGCACCCACCAGCGGCCCGTGAAAACACGTCCACCCGGTGCCCACTAGCCTAACCGCTTTTAGCCACTTTTGGGAGCCGAACATAAGCATCCAGCGCCCGCATTCTCGAGTTCCCCCGAGTTACACCCCGACTCATAAGTTACTTGCTATCACGGTGTGCGACGAATTTGAGCGTAACGGTCAATTACCTGCACGTAAAAACGTCTCCCTCCGCCGAGCCGATATTCTCACCGTTGTATATCTTATTTTCATCTCCTGCTTGCTTCTTTCTTTCTGCCTTTCTTTTTTTTTTTGGTCCGTTTCTTCCCTGTCACGTGACGAGCCAGAGCAGTCCATGTTTTTTGGAGGAAGCTGGTTTAGCCGGGCGGGGACGCCTGTAGAATACAACTGCCGTGGTGGAGTGGCTTAACTCACCCGGAGGAGCGGGTGAGTAAAACAAGCGTACCTAATATTTGTCCTTGGAAAGATGGCCCTCCGCGCAGCGGACTGCTGTTGCTGCACCTGCCTGGATGCAAAGTAACGGGAAGGTTTTTGTGTTTTTTATAATACCAGGTTTTCCACAGCATCTGTCTGGGGAGATTTCCCGAGGGTGGACCAAATCTATTTTGATGCTGCAGCTCTTTTTCTTTGCAAGTAGATGAGGGGGCTGCCTGACTGTTGTACCAACAGATGCTTTTAATTGTAATGTCGTTAGCATGATATTCTGAAAAAAAGTGCATTTAATCTGTATTCTTAATAGAAAACATGAATTCTTATAAATTTATTTACAAATAGCCAGAGTGCTCGAATGAAACCAAAAACAGTTTTAAAGAATCTTTCATTGTTTTAAAAGCACATTTAGCTTTTCTTTGAAAAATGCTGGTATATGAAGAGTATATATAGGCTATATGTATATTTTATACGTATATATATATATAAATAAGTATAGTTCAGATTAATAAAAGTCACAGTTAACTAAGTTATTCAAAGCAAGAGTTTTGTAGTCGTATTCAGGAGGTGTCATGGATTTCCTGTCATGGAGTCATCCGAGCCGTTTGCTTTTCTGTGTTCTCGTTTTGGAATACATCTCAAATGTGAATGACGCGCTTTTTTCATTTTTCAAAAGCTCCCCTTGCATTTGTAAACTGATTGCTATACACCTGTAAGACTTCCTAATCAGCTCTGGTCAAAAGGAGCACTCACAGAAATGACAATGTGATTAAGGATTTAAACAGATTCATATATTTTTCTATAAAAACAACATAATTCCCATTCACAACAAATAGTTGCACACAAATACCGTCTTCCTTTTTGAGTTATATCTTCGCTCGAGGGTAACATGAGTCAAATGTGACGTTTTCTGATGCACATTTTGCTGATGTTTCCAGCACGTGGATTTGATCTTAAGACATTCCAGCCACAATTCTCCCTGTCCGGTTCTTCAGGCCACGGCTGTCCCTACAGTCCTGTCCTTCAACATGGTGATGTGGGCTTCTGCCTGTGTTTCCCACTGTAAGACCACAACAAGCCACCACGAATTCATTAGAATATCTTCTACAGACATTTCATGGCCCATAGCACTGCCAGACTGTTATCTCATCACACTAATCTTCCCCAGACAGATGCAGCTGCTGATGTCATTTGCTGTATTTTTCTTTTTGAAAAAAAAAAAAAAACCTTGCTTCTCCGTGGCTTTGATTAAGCGTGATGCTCTTGCGGTCGGTTTAATTTCCTGCATTTGCCACTCTGCTCGCAGAGTCATGACATTATGAAAGATTAGCCCACGAGAGCACAGTTTCCAATTGAGAGTACGGACGTAAAATCGACCTAGAAATGATTGTTGGCTTTAAAGGAATCAGATACACCAATACTGAGTGCAAAGTCTTTACTTCTTAAGGTTGTTTTTCTTTTTTTTTTTGTGAAGACACAACAGAGTGTTACCAACAGCTTTCAAGATTTCCCAACTGTTTTTTTGAGCTGGCACTTTATTGATCCGGAGTGTGGTCATGAATTCAGTGTCTGTGTCCAATGATAACAAAGAGGTGGACCGGTGTGGCGTCTCTTCTCTAATGGCGGAGAGAGGCTTTTTGTTAAAAACATGCCGCTCGCCATCAAACACCAGCTGGTCCATAACTGTCAAGAATGACCTCCGAATAATCACCTCTTTATTGTAATAGCGTTTTTATTTTCTCTTCAACCTCGCTTTTTTGTGTTTATATCAGTAATCACACCGATTAGCATTACTGTATTAACCGTCTAAAGCAACAGAAAACTGTTGTGACTGCAGTATTAACGACATGGACCTCACACCAGGAAATGTGGGAAGAAGAAAAAACAAAAAAACTATATAACTATATATATAACCTCTGTTATATGGAGCAGAGCTCTCGGTACGTTGGACCCACCGACGGTCTGCCTCTCCTTAGAAATGCATAGAAAAACACAGTGATGACAGGACAAACTGAAGGGTTAGTCATGCATTCATTATGCCTCATGCCTCCCCTCTGATAAAGCACAACTATTATTTGGTTTACGCCACTTTGCCTCCTTTTTCTGTCTTCTCCCACAGTTCAACAGTGGTAGCACACACATTTTTCCATCCACACAAACACCAAGCTTTACATGTAAATAACATCCGATAGAATGACGGCTCTCATTTAAAAAAACAACAACAAAAGAACCAGAGAAAAAAAGGAATAAGACAGAAAAAGACTCTCAGTCATCTAACACAATATCAAAAATATCATCTCTTAAAATGTTAAAGTCTCTGTAGAAAAATGCCTGAAATATATTGATATCAAACATGTACATGTAGATTTGTATAGAAATAAAATTTGATGCAAATTATTACTTCTTCGATAATCCCACAAAGCTGCAGATTTGCCCCTCAGTTCTGAATCTGGTCATGCTGCTGTGATATGATCGTGGATACATGGCACCGGTCGATCAAAAAAAGATGAACAATGGACGTGCCGCCTGGACACAGCTCAGTGACCACGCCGTCGTTCGCTTTGAAAATATCGCTCTTTACAAAAAACAGTGGTGGTGATGTGGCACGTACTGATTTTATTTTCTCTTTATCTGCAGTTCAGCGGAGCAGCGTTTTGCTCAAAGGCAGACCTACGGTGCTCTCCGCGCACAAACAATTACGATTCTTGAAAGGCAAATTCCATCTCTTGAGTGGAGCTATTGATTTCCATCTGAGTATGCACAGAGCAAAAGTCTGTGCGGACATCAATCAAAGACAAGCTGACGTTATTTCATCCCACCGTGTACCAATTCATCTAAACTTGCCTCGTTACTTCTGATGATAGGACTTCGCCAGTATCATAAACTTTATTTCAGCTGTCTCTGTGAAGGAACATACTGCCACCGACAATATGGGTCATCTTTTTGCTCGAATACGGGCTCTGCCCCTCCTACTCTGCCCCTGCACAGCTGTGCCTGGAAGTAGTGCGGTGCTCCAAAGTACGATTCTGTCCACGAGGATACCGTCTCCTGTTGGTTGAGAGCCATTAGCACTTCGTGTGAAAGAGGGTTGATGTTTGGGGCTCGGCTCTGGCTCCTCCTTCCCTGATCAACCAGGGTCCATCAGCCAGCGTGGCCGGCGCCCCCCTCCTCTCTCAGCCCGAGTCTCTCAACGGGCCCTGCCGAGGAAAAGAGAGGAAACACGTCAGTGTGAAAATGTGGCGGCACATAAGAGAGCCACTTGACAGTCGCAGCACCAACAGTCGGCGTTCGGGGTGGTGGGGGGGTGGGAAAAATGAGAAAAGCCTCATCTCCCTGACACAAACACCCATCAACACAAACCCACAAAGTTAATAGGACTGAGCTGTCCGGCTCCTTTTCCCCTCTCCGGATGAAAGCGTCTATTTTCTTTGTCAGACGTCGGCGCCCTCTCCTCGTGTCACTTGAACTTCTGTCATTCTTTTCAGTGCTTCTTAGTCAAGTCTGGAGCAGATCCGCGAGCAGAGGACCCCATCTGGACCCCTATCGTTCACAAATCGCACCCAGTCGCAGAGCTGGAGTTTGTGTCTCCTGAGTACGCTGCAGCTGATGCCTCTACATTTGAAAAAAATCACCAAAGGGGCATGAAATCCTCAGATTAAGTTTGCTTCACCACCACACGAAGTTGTACCGAACCATCTTAGGGACTTGGACTCCTGTCACAACATCTTCATGAGAGTCCATTAATACCTTTTTCATATTTGTACACCTTCACACACACATGCAGACGTGTCCCTGTAGCATTCCAATTCATGGTTATGACTGTGTGCCGGCGTTTCATCAACACACATACACACACACACACACACACACACAAAACACACGCTCCCACTCACTTTCTCACATCATGAGATTGTCTGAGTCATGGACAGTGCACCATAACCAGCCAGTAATCATACCTATTGTACACCAGATTTAATTCTGAGGGCCCTGGTATTTGGCAATGTAGGTCATGTCTGTTTTGTGTTCTAATGAACCTCCTATACAGTACTCCAACACAGACACACTGCTGCTGGCACGCCGGATCCGAATTATGTGTTTCATTTGGTTTAATGCTTCCTCGTAACATTTTCATTTCAGTGGTCACACTAAAATGTAGATTATAAAGGGAAAACAAAGAACAAAATCAAAGCAAATGATGCGTGCTGAACAAGGATGAGCAAACAGACTGTGACAAACTGTGTCTCTTAGCAGACTATCACCACCAGCAATCAGGCAGCGATACAACAGCTAATTAATATTCACTGGCAAAAATGTGTGTCCCACTCTGACAGATATATTGAGTTTTATGGTGTGGTCCGCGCCTGCCAGGCTGGAAAATCAGCTGAAGACAATGCATTACTCTGCAGAGAGTGGAAGCATGGTGGCCACATGTATGACCGTTGCGTTCTAATAAATCAGAGTAACAGGTTTATATGAACAAATTTAACTGTATAAATCAACTTGTCGCACCTAAAATAAAAAAATGTAGGGGAAAGAATGACTGAAGCAACAGCTTTACATTACCTGATGAAAAGATGCACTTTGAATGGAGGAGCTTCTGTGTATAATATGGAACCTAACAGCCAGAAATAAATATTTTCACTAATAGACTTTAGTCTGTAATCAAAGTTAAGAGGCGGGGGATACGGAGGCCCTTAGCAGAGACAGATTGACATCACTTTTTAATTGAACATACTGTGAAAGCTAAAATGATGCCAATGGTGTTCTATGACCAAAGTGATGTGTTTTTTTTTTTTTATTGACAACATGCGTTTGGAGATACGCGCTCACTCACACAGAAACTGCTCTGCATGCAGATGCTGCTGAGTGGGAGTGAAGCATCAGCCGAGGGGAGAGGAAGAAAGAGATGAAGGAATAGTGAGAGGGAGCGAGACGGGGAGAGAAACAGAGCTGGGCTACGAACTGGAACGGTGAGCTGTAGGGAGTAGGTCAGTGCGGTTGAGTCAGTCCTGACTCATGATGGAGGCGGTAAAGATCCACCTCCTCCCTGCCCGTTACAACTCCATCCTGAAGCACCGGAGCCCCGATAGCCTTCGGAAAAACAGTGAAGAAAACTCCTACACCCGTGGCTAGAGCATCACAGGAGCAATCGGGCTGCGTGTCGTGGATGTACTCAACAATGTCTGATGCGTTCAAACTATTTTCAGATAAGTGTTGGATGGGCCAGAGTAAATCTGAAAATAGCCCCTCTCTCTGCGCACGCATTATATTTCTGAGGCTCTAGAGGGGTCCGGTAATGACAGGATATAACTTAAGGCTTGTCATAACAATACCAAACAAACCAGTTTTCTGAAAATATTCTGCCAATTTTTCCTTTCGAAAAGGAACTTCTAATTCATTTACGGGGTCATGCAATCATTTGTCTCCGTCTAGCTTGAATGGGAGGATTCGGGCATCACTGCAACAGAACGGGGACTGTGCAAAGTGTGAGTGTCGTCACTGGGATGTAGCTCAGGCAAATCAGCAGAGGCAGTCAACGAAATTCAATAACTTTGGGGGGAAAAAAAAGAAAAACGAACACTTCGCTTAAAAAAGGACACCATGTGCTCAAGAAACAGTGGAGCTGTCTGTGTTTTTTCCTCACTTTTTTCAGGCACAGCATAAATCTCACAGTAAAATTTTCGAAAATTTAAGGAGAGATTGAAGAAAAAAAGGGCACCCGCCTCTATTTTTTCAATATGGTTTCCTAATCATACAATTCCAAGTCCACTGTGTCATTTTCCTGGGATCAATGCAACCCGCATTAACTAGCGGGGAGGCTTCATTGTAGCAAAAGCCCTCATGAGCTGCATCTATTGATGCTACTGGCTGCAATTTATTCTGTTCAGTACCGATGTGTATGCATCCACATGCATGCTGCCTCCAGGCATACTGGGATGCACAGACACAGGGAAAATAAATGGAATATCTAACTCCGAGAAATCATCGAGAGGGCCAGCATGCGTCCACATGGCAGCAAACAGGGTGAAGTCTAAACAGCCACGTCACGGCTCCTTTTTTCTCTACCTCTTTGTGCCTTTCCCCATTTCTCTGTTTCTCTCAGACCCACACGTCCCCCCCACCATCACGGCTTCCACTTAGTCTAATTTTTCTCATGGCTGAATATGCACTGATCCCTAATCCAGATGCTGATTTTAGATTGTGAGGGCCAGCGAGGTCGGGCTTTACATTTAGTCATCAGAATGTGCTATTTTCTTACCCTGTTTTTCCTCAGCTTCATGCTTCAAGCCTCCCACACCCACAACCCTGGTGCAAACATGTGATATGCATGTTAAATGGACCGTTTGGAAAATAGCCGCCCTCCCCTTACGCACACCCATACCTTTTCTGTCACCTTCCCTCCTCTCTGTTGTTACTTTCTCTCCCTGAGCTCTCGCTCTCTGTTTATCATAAATAATATGTGCACCAGCAGTTCGGAGCTTTGTCAACGCTAATGTTGATACAAAGGATGTCTGAGGCAGCGCTCTTATCTTCTGCAGTCTAATCCAGCTAATTAAGGGCATTGCTGGGAGGAAGGTGCAACTATTCTCATCTAACTCGGGGGTATGCTGTCTGCCCAAGTCTGCCGAACTGACATGTGCCTGTACAAACACTCAGCCTGAACACATATATGCGCACGCAGGTAGAATCCCTTGACAATTGATTTGAAAATGATTAGCCATACTCACCCACACAGGAAAGGCAAGCTATATCAAATATTCATCTTGTAACGCTGATAAAGTGGAGACGACCAACTGCTCGCATAGACTGAGAGGCTTTGATATCAGTGCTGATTTAGACTCCTTTGAGAAAATCAAGTGATGCATTTTTCTGCTGGATTATCTCTACTTTGGAGCAGAACTGATTAGCTTAATGTCCATTTAGTCTCATAGATATAATATCGTAGATACATGGAGAGAGGGCTTCCACGCATACCGCAGTTCTATGCTTATATTCCGCAGATTTGAAAGCGAACATACAGTATTTCGAGTAGAAATTTGCTATGAAGACATCAAGCCCACAAATCAAAAAGCCAGTGCGTCATCAAAACCATCCCTCATGTCCTCGGTCCATTATGTCACTCTCCTCTCATTAGGTCTGTCGGCTTTCAGTTCTACAGTCCCATACATCAAACAAATTGGAAGGTGATGGAGGAGGCAGGTGTACTTCAACATGCTATGACCTCGACCTGTATCCACCAGTTTTGATCAGTCAATGTTCCATAAGAGCTTTCATTAATTTACAGCCATTTGTGTATATGTAGGTGTCCGTGTATGGTAGACACTAAAAGACTTTGGTGGAAATCTGAGAGTGGCAGATCTTTCTTTTTTCATACAGAACGACATGAATAAATCACAATGCCTTCTAAGAAACAACTTCCTGAGTTTGAGACTCGTTAGTGCTGAATTTCTACAGAAAAACAAAGATATTCACTTGGCACTTTTCCCCTTCGTAATCGCTACATATAAATGACACAACTGAATCTGCACACATATGCCTTCAGAGGCGTGCACACGTAGATGCAAAGAAAATTGCATGAAGACAGATTTTTCAGATATGCATCAATGCACACATAATTGCCTTTTCTTCCTTCCTTTCTCCTCCCGACAAACACAATCATACATGCACAAACACTCACCTCCTCTTCCTGATCTCCCTGTTTACTTCTGAGTGCTTGTGGCGATGCCTTTCTCTCCATTCCACTCACTTTATCCATCCATTTGTTTTCTGTTTCCCAACACCTCCTCTTTCCGTCTGGATAATCCAAAGTTCAGCTGGAGTAGAGAGTGCTCAGAAAGTAGAAAACACTATCAATGATTCAAGAATGTTTAAGTCAAGACATGGCAGGGGTGTTTGCTGTCAAACCGTTGTGGTGGTTGATTTGCGTAGGATTGTTTTATGGGGCTTTAGGGAAGGTGTGTGAGGAGGCACGCAAGGTGGAGGAGTGTTTGTAGTTGGTGGGAAACTGTGGCTCACTGAGAGCCCTCCGTTTTCCAACATTAAGTCATGAGAAAGCGCGTGAGACGGGGACGGGGAGGAGGAAGAGCAGCAGTGCACAGGGCTGAGCCTTAAGCCATTAAGCTCAGCCTGTAAGTGTAACTCTGTGTCATCAACGTCATATTGAAGGTCACAGTCTGGACAGTAGCCGTGATACTGCACTTTCTCACTGAAACGGACACGCTCTCTCTCACGGGGCTCCCTGCTGGGGGCCTTGGGGCATTTATTCTTTTCATGACGGAGAAGCGGCATGGGTCTGGGCAGCGTAGGAACAAGACCTGATTCGGGGATCCCGCTTTCACCGGAAATGAAGCACGGAGTGGAGGAGAATAAATCCTTGTTTGGTTTGAGTGGGAAAACCCCGCCGTTCCTTAAAGCCCCGTTAGCCTTGGATATATTCCCTGATAAGACTAATGTTGGATGAGGCAAATTCCTGCTGTTGTGATCCTCAGCCCTCAGTGGAGTATGTCTGGGTGGTGGCAGCGGGGGGTGGGGTTTCTTGAGGACCGTCAAGACAGAAGAAGGCTGGACAGGGGCCGGACTGAGGGGCACCTGTGTTTTGAAGATGCAGTCATCGGGGAAGAGTTTCATCTTCTCCAGGCTGGACGCCGTTGTGGTGGTGGTGGTGGAGCTGGAGCTGGAATTGAGCGTGTCCGTCTTGGAGCTCTCTGTCAGCCCGTCCTCTTCCAACTGCAGGTCACAGGTCAAGGTGTCAATCTCGTGAACAACCTGGTGAAAGGCAGAGGCAGTGTCACTGAGACAGCTGATTCTCGGGTCATTAAACCTATGTTCCTAAATCTAAGGCTGAAATGTCACCCACAACAGGGTCTTCCAACAAAGCTTGTCACTGGGAAGAGAAAGATGATCATGTTAGGGGGCTAAAGGGAGGGAAATGTCATTTTGCCCCCTTATGGATGCATCTAAATAAGATTTCAAACAACACATTTGGATTTATGATTCATTTGATTAAAACTGAAGCTGGCTAAACAATAAACCAAATATGAGGTAAATGAATAATATTGATAATATGATACTTAATAACAATAATTAATCATAATAGTTAATAGAGGGCGACGTCAACTTGCTAGACGCTTACTGAAAAGATGTCAGCATTTTGGTCCAACCAAATACATCCTATACAGGCAGAATGCAAAACAGATCAGAGTAAAATAGACCAGACACTGTCAGTGTGTTGCTAAGCCATCTATATAAGAGCTACATAATTAACAAAATGCAATGTAATGTTTATGTATACAGTCACTGTGGAAGAAAGGAGCAATACGCTGAAACATTTTTATAGAGAAACTGGCAGAAATGTTCCACAAAATGCAGGAGCAAATAATGAAATCATCAGGATTTTATCAGAATTTTACCTGACCTCCTTTGTTTCTACCAGCGTGGAATTTGAAGAGGAAATGTTTTTCTAAATCTATGTTCAAATAACATTAAGACAGCAAAGCTGGGGTTCAATTATTCCTGTACATAAACATTGAAAACAACAGACTGCACCGGGATATGAGGCTCCCTCCATCCATTTTCTGTCCTGCCTTTAAGCAGGTCAGGGTCACAGTCACTAGTGTTTACCAATCTCCACACAGCAATTAAAAGCAAACCAAGAGGCTGTCCAGACAACTAAAGTGTGATACGCTGTGCTGTCCTATACATATTACCTTGTGTCCCTGGTACTTTGGTAAAGGACACAGTTTCTTCTCCGGCACTCATGTCTGAAGTCCTCAGATAACAGTTGGAGGTAGGATGGTTTTTCTCAGCTTATGCACGGTAGGGAAAAATGTCCAAGGAATTATTAATGTAGTGGATTAAATTTAATAGTGGGGTTAAACTCTTTTGGGAACTTTATGATATGAAATCAAATTATATAGTGTCTGACTTCTATCAGCCTTTTCAGATATCTATCCATGATATTTGCTGTGTACCACAGCTCCTTACTGAATCTCTTCTCTGGATGGCGCATTACTCCTTTGATGAGCAGAATTGATGTTCTGGGCATTGTGTTAATTAACTATTGAGAAAGCAGAAATTCAAATTCGAGTGGAGCTGATATTTCCTAAGTTTTATTGTTGGAAGTCTGTCTGTCTTGAATAACGTGGGAGGAAACCCCTCCTAGAAGGCAAAAATGAGCACATATCACCCTGTTAGCCATAATGACAACAACAGCAATGCCACTGGGTACCTTTTTTTTAACCCAACATAACAAAAACGACCTGCCTTGGCACTTTAAAACTCGGCTGCATCCAAGTGTTTGAAATGCAACTCCAAACAGAGGCACGAACACAAGCTGAGAGTGAGGTGATGAATAGAGAAGGGAAAGAGAGCAAGTGACTGAGGCGAGACATATTAGGCTTGTACAGAAAAGACAGCGCTAAACTCTCCATGCAGTCTTTAGAAAGGATAATTTGCTGGGACACACACACAAGAGCTAATACCAGTATCCCAGTGTGCAGGCCATGCTGTAGGCCAGGCAGCTCCAACGGCCGTGCCAAGCATCTGGGCAGGGTCGCTCCTCAGAGCCAGGCTTGGCTCCAGCCCTGTCTGTGAGTTCTACCAGATAACTGCATTCCAAATGGATTATGCCCCAAACGCCCGCTTTGATACTAACACCCCCTTGAGGTATGTGTTTAATGTGTGAGCAGTGTCAGAATAACTGATTCTCCAGACAATCTCCTGCAAGGAGAGGAAAAAGAAGGAGGGCACACGAGAAAATGATCGAAATGGTCAGATCGCAATGCCCCCTTGTTCCCGATTTGCTCTGGAGCCTGCTGTGATAGGCTGCGAACTAGCGAAAGAGACAAAAGAAGTTGCATCAAGCCGGAGTTGAATGTGAAGAAAGAAAAGAAAAAGAGAGGGGAAGCCTGGAGGCAGAAAGAGACAGATGCTGTGTCAACTACCCATCCATAATGTAGGAAGCTGGGGCTGTATGCGATAGGATTTTATTAGAATGACAGCCTGTCATGTTAAGGTGAGGGGCTGGGAACAGCAGCCTGGATGCCAAGAGTGTAGCAAGAAGAGGGATGTAAACACGAGAGAGACTGCAGGTTAGTTCAGCGAAGTGGCGGAAAAGGATTCTGTACCGGTATAAGAGGAGGAACTGATTTCAGGTGGCACCGTTATCCCTGTAGGAAAGTGAGACTGTGTGAAAACAACTTGCTGTGTAAACCTTTAATCTTGATCAGATCTCAGTGTCTCCTAAATCTGAATAGCAAGGCAGCTCTGAGTTTTGATCTATAACAAGGACCGGGCGAGAACAGCCCAAACATGAGGGAGGGAAAAAAGGATTATGGAAGACATGGAAGGTGTAGGAATATCAACACAGGAGAGATGACAGGTGAAAGAAAAAAAGAAAGACTCCATCTCTAATATTTGGCAGGAGATAATTCACAGCAAACAACAGCCTGCATTTTGATGATGAAACGCAATGCAAAAGCATTTTCGGGGGTTGAACCAACTTGTCCATTAAATATTAATTGGGATTACATTTTGCTCATTTTCATCAAAGCTCAGGAGTCAGGCTAAAGAAGCAGTGTCCTATCGCCTCACACTCCACATCATCCTTGTTCCAAATGTCTTTCATGTAGGAGATAATGATCACATAGGTTGGGCAGGGGGAGGAGTAGGGTCTATGTAAGAAGGAGTGTAAGAGTGAGAGTTTGATACCTCGAGGCCCCAGTGAGGGGAATGTCAAAATCCCATCGCCTCTCAGACAGGGATGTTTAGGAAGAGATCCTCAAACTCGGTATCTATTTTTTGTTTTTGTTTTTTTTAAAGACTGCAACAAAAACAAAGCAGACAGTCTACGGAAACTGTTCCCGGTTAATTTACCTCTTTGAGCTCTTTGGCTACATCCTTAAGGTCTCCAAGGATGGTTTCCAAATTCTCCACGATTGTCTTGATCTCCTTTTTCACTTGTACTTTGGAGACAACTCCTTCGGCGTCCGCATTCGGTGTGGTCCCTGACATTCTTTAGTTGATGGCACAATCTATTTCGTCTGTGATCTCGAGTCAAATCCTGTGGTCGCCACGATGACACTTTGCCAACGCATTTTTATTCAGTCCTCCGCTCCTTCGACTTTTGCTCCTATACCACGGCCGGGAGGGAGTGAAGTGGCGCTGGGCAGCATTCTCTATCTACGGCTAGGCATGCGCAATAGAGCGAAACACAAAAAAAAATAACGTTATATCCAAATATTGAATCATACTGTCTGTGAAGCGGCACCTGCCCACAGGTTTGGGAACCTACACGAGTCTTTGTCCAACAAAAACAAAAAATGACGTACCAACAGCATATCCCACGTCAGTGGAAAGCTTAATTCAACATTTGGTCAGATGGTAACCAACGCGAATAAACGCTCAAATGTGTTAGCTATGGCACAGAAGAACAGAAAGAAGAACTAAGCAGCTACCCAAACCGTTTCAAGGTCCGTCTTTTTCTTGTAACGGTCCATAATCCTCAGGCATCGACAAAATGGTCATTTACTCCTCCTCCTTGTCCGAAATATACGGTTCTGGCAGTCTTACCACCGGGTAACGGCACCCCAGAGGCACTTTCCTTTGAAAACACCCTGCCAGATTCATCCTGTCTCCATCGCAGCCTCCTTGGAGAGTCTGAGGAGATCAGCAAACGTCCGGGCGCAGAGCATCCTTCCTCGCGCGCGCTCTCTCTCTCTCTCCCTCCCTCGCGCGCTTTACTCCAATTGCTGCTGACACCGTTAGTTTGTTGTAGTTCCCATGTCACGTTTGACAGTTGTCGTGATGGCAAGTTGGCTGTGTGTGGTGTTCGAATGAATTCATTCCACCCCAGCGAGCTCATATCTAACCCATTCTGAAGTGTTGTCCCAAAAAAATAAAGTAAATAAATAAATCAAAGCCAAAACATTTAACTGGGAAATGCAATTAAGAACGAGAATGGTTTAGGTTAATGGTTTAAATGGCCGAATTTTGTGTTTCTTACATGATACAACTTGAAACATTACCAGCTCGAGATCCTACAGTTGTTGTTTTAGGTTAAACAATTGTCCCATCTTAAGCCACCATCGTGTGTCATGTACCTAATAATATATGAGAAACTAGATTGGGACTTCTGTGCACGATTCGTTTAAAGATATTAGCTGCAGGCAAAAACGAGAAAAAATAATTTATGAATTGAGCCAGAAACATACAAAACAAAGATCAGACTATGATGTACCTAAACGCAAGGAAAACTGAACACTGGAAGGTTAATAAGCAAAAATAAAAGGATCTCTTTTAAAAAGAAACATATTTGGACCTAAAGTTGACTGTGGGTTAAAAAAAAAAAAGTATTTTGATTGAATTGTTTCTTTTTGCTTTATCCAATCTTTAAATATCAAATATTTAGTTTTCATTTGGTGTTTGCACGAAAACTTCAGCGATAGAGAAAAATACTTTAGCCTTGGCACAATAATAACATATGCATGCCATCATTATTATCATCATAAATTTGTTAATCCCAATTTTCTTACAAGATAGTAAAAAGGAAAAATAGCCGGCAATAAAACGATAATGTGAAGATAACGGGACTCGCGTGAAACTCAAGATCAAAGTGCGTGTCGTACACTTTGCAGAGCAATAAAACCGCGGGCTCCGATTGGTCGGTGCTGAGAACGTCCCCTCGTAAATGCGGAAGTGGAACTCACGGGGGTTCAACTGTTCACTGCAGTTTGTACCGCACGTATTACCAGTGCTGTGTCTTTTAAACAGAGTGCTTCACAAGTATGCCTTTGTCATTCGAAGGGCGAGTTGTGCTCGTAACTGGAGCCGGAGGAGGTAAAATGGCTGTTTGCTTTCCTGTCAGTCATGTTGACGTTTTGTAGATTTCATAACCTTAGCTTCAAATGCTAATGCTAGTTTTTTTAGTTATTGTGCGGCGGCAGTATGTGAGAAAAGTTATGCAAGCAGCCAGTTCACGACTCCGTTGGCTCTCTTCGTGTTGTATTTGGCGTCCTGTTGGTAATCTGGGTATTTAAGTGATTGCCAATACTGAAGAAAGAGCAGCAACTCTCTTATCACAGCTGACATTTGTGTTATGACTATCTCTGCACATGATGTCCAATAATTAACGCAAATAATTAAATAAAGTTAATTCAGATACAAAACATGTCAATTTAATGAAGATAAGGAGCAAAGTACAAGTACTGCCATCGCTTACAACCCCTCAGACGAAAGTGTGTGAAAGGGCACATACTGCAACACAACAGAGCCTTCAAGTGGGGGTGCTTTACTCCCATTTAAAATGTGTACTCAGGCTCTTTAATTCCTTCTTTCTTTCTACAGGCCTTGGCAGAGAATATGCACTGGCTTTTGCTGAACGAGGAGCTGCAGTTGTTGGTAAGAAAAGGACTGTAAAAGTGAATGTTTAGAGAACATGTACAGACAATGTTGAAGCTTGAGAATAAATATGAACCATTGGAAAGTATGATAGTGTCATCTTTTAACTTTTTTTGTTTTGTTTCTGACCTGTAACTGGATGATCTTACCATTTTCATGTCAGAGCAGTCATATAAGCTATTAAGCAATCTGATAAGGATTTTCCCTGCCACGTATGCACAAGAGCATGAAATTAAACACATGAAAGCCATAGTGTTACATCTGCAGGACTCAGAATGTGTGGCCTGATATATCCTATTCTTATTGATTTATTCATTCTTATTTAGGGATGCACAAATCTGTAATTACTGATTGGTTTAGAATTTACTGCTAATATTGTAACTTTGTTGGTCACACTGTGACATCACAGTTATATGAGACATATAAGCTTAGCGTGAAGAATATAATATAATTGATTCCACATAGTAAGTTAATACTATTTTCTGTACTTGAGGAGATTTTCAAAAATAATAAATCATCAGATTATTTTACAACTACATGGTTTCAGATGATGTCCTAAAGACATGTCGTCCTTGCTGTCTTTAATTATTCCCCGGTCCTTCCAGCTCTGACAAGGAATCAGTTGAACTCCGAACTCCTCTTGAGCTACTCACTTATGGAGGATTGCAGAAGTCTCCCTTTATTCTTAATGTTTTATTCTTCTTGCAATGCAGTGAATGACCTTGGGGCTGACACAAAAGGGGGTGGAAAGAGTTCTGCAGCTGCTGATAAGGTTGTGGAGGAGATAAGAGCAAAAGGAGGCAAGGCAGTGGCAAACTATGGTGAGAAGTATGGACAACCTTTCTCCTCTTCTTGCGTTTCCTCTCAATCAGTTTTTCCCCTACCTTGGTTTAGAAATACTATGTAGCTTATGTAATGACAAACTGAGAAATGGTATTGATTTATCGGTCTCTCTTGCTTTCTGATTAAACTTTTGGAATTGAGGAGTACTATGTCCCTTTATAGTTTCCCTCATCTTAATGCTTCTCACACTCATGGAAAAAATCTACTTTTAGAGAACACAATAAGACTTTGATCAATGTCTTTCATTGGTAATTTTGTTTTTTAAATGTTTTTTTATCCACTTAGCAGCAAACAATGATGACCAGCAATCAATGTCATGTCACACATCATCGCTCTACAATCTGAGAAGCTGGTAGAGGTTATTGAGCCTCTGTTGCACATAGCTGATTAATAGAACCCCTTATCAGCAAGAACTGGATAGACATGCATTACACTGCTGTCCATGTTCATGCAGATTCTGTGGAGGATGGAGAAAAGCTGATCCAGACAGCCTTGGATGCATTCGGAAGAATAGGTCTGTATCATTTTTGATTTGCAGTTTTAGGCCATCAGCGGTGATATTTAAAGTGTATGTCTGTATTTTATGTTGCTATTACTAAAATCAGTCTATTCTGGTTATTTTCTTTTCTTCCAGATATTGTTGTAAACAATGCTGGGTATGTCTTTTCAGAATTCTATTCATATTATGTTTTCATTTAATTATCTCATCGGTAAGCTTTTCAGTTGTAGTTATCTAATTGATAGGAGCACCAGCGACTATATTAATGTTAATTAAAAGAATAAAATAAAAAGGTTTTGGCTCACCCACTGAAAATTCTTCTTTACTTTGCCTAGGATACTTCGTGACAGATCGTTTGCCAGGACCAGTGATTTGGACTGGGGTAATTTTTATTATGTGTTCTCTCTACATTCATTTCAGTCTCATCAACCATCACTATAAAGGGGCGATCTCACGCCACCATATCATTTATTTTTGCTTGTCTAGCTACAATACTTTATTTTACATGGATTTTTTTGTTATCTATACAAATAGAAAAAATGGTCCTTTGTGGGAAGTTTGAAAAACAAAGATTTGGACAGTTCTGATCCACACTGCATGACGCAAGTTCTGCATTTCAGACCTCATTCAAAGAATTCACCTGAGAGGCTCTTTCTTGGTGACACGTGCTGCCTGGAACCACATGAAAAACCAGAAGTTTGGCAGGTGAGGCACACGGCAACAGTTATTGATGTGGAGACGCAGCTTTATCGCCGTTTCAAAAGTACATTTCTTTTGTTTGGTTTTAGATCCAACAAAGCTGCCGTGTCTTCAGCACACACACTGCTACATTACAAGTTATTAGAACTAAGCCACATGAAACACTCAAAATAAGTTTTGAATGAATTTTCTCAGTTGAGAATAAAGTCAGCTTACTAAGACAAGAGTTCACCACAGTTGTGGTGAAAATGTACAGGTGTGTGTATGTATGTGTGTGTGTAATGATGCAACTCTGACTTTTTCAGACATGAACAGTGCATAGTAAAAAGTCTTTCATTACATTAAGATGTTATTTGTTCAGAAAGAGAAGCCACAGAACCCTGAAAGATGTGGCTGCGTTCCTGCAAGATGAAAAAATTGAGTGGATGAAACCACCTACATGTGTCTCATAATTTTTCTCTAGAGTCAGATCAAGTTGTTTGATCCTGAAGTTGCAAAGTGGCAGCTTCAGCAAAAAGTCAACAAAATCAAAATGTTTTGATGTCTAAACTCTCACAGTAGCTTTAAGTCATGTGGTGTTTGCTCTCACTTGAGTTATTGATGTTTTTGGTTGCTGTGTTGTGAGACATTTTAGATTCCAGATGCAGCACTTTATAAATTAATTTTGACATCTTGTGGATGTACATATGTCGGTAGATGTCACAGCATCACTATAGAGATTTGATTTGGTGGATCAGATTAATGCTCTCTTTCTCCATTTCAACTTTCTTAAATTGTTTCCATATATTTGAAACGGTCATCTTGGTTTTTAATATGCGAAATAAAAAATGATTATATTTATAAACAATAAAATGCACTGAGGATCATTTAAGATATTAGTCAAACAGCTGAAGATGCATTAAGGTAGTAATTAATGTATGTTATCTCATTATGGGCACGTTCTAACCTGGACACTGCTTAATTTTACTCAATGTGTCAAACACCACTAATTAAAAAATATATGCACATCAAGAACAACTTTAAAAAAACAGCTGATTTTGAGAAAATATGTAAATTGCTATAGAAAAAAATGATTTATTTAGCTCTGGGTTATCCTATGGAAGTTAGATGAAGACATTTTTAAAAATTTGATTTACCGCCAGGACTTTCTTTATTACTCATACAAGAGCTAATACTCACCATGCCTCCTTTCTGGAACTAGACATTCACTCATGTTGTTCTTGATTATCCTTGTTCTTTTCCTGACAAGTAGAAATGGACCCTGCAGGGACAGACCTGTGAAGAAATGCTTACATTGTGTTGTGATAAGCAGTGAAGGTCACACAGTCTGCTTTGTTCTCTTGTAATGATTCATTTTGATATAAATATATACTCAACTTCTTTGTATAGACAAAGAGAATAAGCACGATAGTTTTCTTTTTTTTTTAATGTATTGCTCATGGACAGTCCTGAAATGCAATCTCTGCATGCAGTCACCCTGAAGAAGAATTTATGGTGCATTTAAAGGAAAACCCATTTCAGAAAAAAAAAAAAAAAGGGGAAATGTCAATGGCCTGACTGCCCTGTTCTCCGTAAATGAGATCATGGAGGATCACACATATTGAGCATTGATGTTTTTTTGTGCAAAGCCCACAAAGCAAAGTTTTATTATAATATTCTATTTAATATTTTCAAGACATGTCAATCAGCAGTTAAAAATTTCCTAGTTTCCTTATGTGCATGATTTTCAGTCTTTTAGAGGATAGAAGTACATGGTGTGGAAAAAGTGTTGTCTTGGTATTTCCGTTGTTGGTGATGTGTGAGCGCTTTTCATGTGGATCGCTGATTTCTGAAGACCAGTGAGACGGCGTGTTGCAGATGTCTCCTGCTGTTAATGTGGCACCAATGCTTGACCTCTTTACTTCTGCTCGACTGAGGTGAACCCTCTGCGTGAGAATGTGTCCTGGAGTGCCAGTCCGTGTGTCTGACGAAAGGCGCTTTTCATCTTCACACGTGCGTTACATGTTCATGAAATAGGAAGTTTGCAGTTAGTTACCTTTGATAAAGAAGAACATCCGTCAATATGTTCTCATTACATGCCCAAATACTCAATAGGAACATTGGTATTGGAATAACCTGCATGTGTTTGTGCAGCTGTGTGTGCGGGTCTCCTTTTACGCCATAGCGGAGCGTGTCACTTTGCATTAATGCTGGCTTGTTGCTTCAGGTTTTTTTTTTCTTTTTCTTTCTTTTCTTTTTTTTCTTTTTTCGTGTGGCCAGAATCATCATGACTGCCTCGGCTGCAGGCATCTACGGCAACTTCGGGCAGGCCAACTACAGCGCAGCCAAGCTGGGTATGCTGGGGCTTTCTAACACCCTGGCAGTTGAAGGACGCAAGTACAACATCTGCTGCAACACCATCGCTCCCGTGGCCGGGTCGCGCCTCACAGAGACCGTCATGCCACCAGGTGAGCAGAGTAGTTAACAATCGCCATATAGCAGAGGCTTGACCTTTCGTAATGCACACACCGTTGGGTTTCCTTCTCTCTGTTGGTGTTTGTTTATTTTCTGGCCAGAACAAAACACTCACATGGATCCTTACCGCTATTCTACGCCCCCCCCCCCGAACAGCTGCGAGATGTAACACCAGCTTTATGTGAATTTAGGAAATTTGAGGCAACAGCACTCGCGTTTGACATGCAAATCTTCATCCAATATTCAAGAGCTTTGTTTTCCTCGCTGTGTTAACAGTCAGGACGAAATCTTGCACCCTTTGAGTGTTTTAAAAGTTCTCATTCGCCAGCCCCTTATTAAAGCGGGCAGATCTGACCTCCTTGTTATTCTGGTCTTTCAAATTGCACTTGAAAACCTACATATAAATGTTAAGTATGCCAATGAAATATTTACATTCCTTATGCTAAGAGAAAGTGAAACACCGGCCACCCACTGGGAGTGCTGCAAGATAAAGCTCAAAGCAACTGCATATAGGAAACTGTAGTCATGTGCGATGCCACCTACTAGAATCTGAAATAACCTGTCAGAGCATCGCCTGTTTAATCTCACCAGCTCGTAAAGTCTGAGAGTGCCACCAAAAGCAGTGTATGTCTGCACTTCACCGGTATATTTTGCATGCTGTATGACTAAAGCCCTTTCGACGAGCATTAAGTGACAAAGTAGAGGAACGCCTTTGCTGCCCTGCTGTGCTGGTCTCCAGTAGCATCTGTCACTCTGTGCCGTGCCAACTGTGACAGGATGGCCTCACCTTGGTACATAACTTGGTTCCATATGTTGGTTTTCACTGACTCAGATTTTTCTAAAAGATAACAAAAGTCATGGTGCTAAAAACTAGCAGCGCCAGCGAAGCAGAATGGCCTCCCTCCTACCACAGGCATTTTCAGAGCACAGATGGCAATTGCAGTTAAATATTTTGTTGTTTTTCTAGGAGATTAAAAGGCTTGTGTTCCTATTTCATACCAACATCTTTAGGAATCCGTTTTCCTAACCCTAACTATAACTTGATCTTCCTTGTGGTCTGTTCAGTTTGTCTAAACTATCTTTAAATGTCTTTTTATAACAAATAGTCTAAGACTAAGAGCTATTGGCTGTTAGCTCTTTATTAAGACAAGACTTCCTAAACTCAGATCTTGTTCCTTCAGTCTTTTCAACATGAACAAATTATGCAAACATGCTGTCGCTTTGATAATAAATAAATCCTTCTCTATTTTATGTGCTTCTGTTTTGTGTTATGTAGATCTTGTGGCATCTCTGAAGCCGGAGTATGTTGCTCCTTTGGTCCTCTGGCTCTGTCACGAACAATGCCAAGAAAACGGTGGACTGTTTGAGGTATTCAGGAAAACAACACCTTTCTCCCGGTCTCACTCACTCTATACTAGTTGTAGCTTTCTGTTTTATTCCCCTTTTATCATTGATAACAATAATGTAGCCACGACAAGCCCTCCCCCCCACAAAAAAAGCTAAACATTTATTTGATATCAGTGTTAGTTTGCTTAACATTTTATGTTTTCAACTCTGTTCAGGTTGGTGCTGGCTGGATTGGTAAATGTGAGTACTGCGCGGCTTTTCCTCAGGAAATGTCTTGATGAATTTGTTATACTCATTAGCCCCTGGTCCTTTTATACTGTATGTTTGAGATTTTCACCGTGCAGTGACCCTCTTTCTTTTATTTTTCGACTGTGTGCACAGTGCGCTGGGAGCGTTCTCAGGGCCGGATTGTGAGACAGAAGAACAAACCCATGACTCCTGAGGCTGTGCAGGCTGAGTGGGACAAAATCTGTGATTTCACAAATGCCACCAAGCCTGCTAGTGTACAAGGTCAGTGTTGTATGTAGAAAACATGAACTCACACACTGAAATCCAGCAAAAAACATTTAGTTAGTTAGTTAGTATCCACTTTTTGAATTTATAAAAGATAAACAAAAAATGTCATTTTCTGCCTTTTTGTCTTGAATGTTTTTTTTCATTAATTTCTATTATAACCAAACATTGGCCCAGAGATTAAATATCACTACAGCTGTTTTCATACAGATGACACCTTCAACATCTTTTGACTCACTCTTGTTGAATCAGAATAATTCAAATAACAGATGATTCCATTTGCCTTTTGGCCCTTTTGTACATCAACACATGTGTATAGGAAGGGAAGAATTAACATTCCGGTTGAATAGGGTTTTAAGAGTAAAGAATATATAGATATTTGTTGTAGTACTTCTCTCCTGCCACCTACTACCTCAACAAACTGTGTAATGTGAGCAATGTGTGTGTATAAAGTTAGATAATGATCAGATTTTACCTTTAAATTCAGCTTTCTAGAGAGAAGCTTCAGAGCTCCCAATAGTATTGTGTTGGATTTAACTGAAAAAGAGGAAAAAATAACAAAAATCAAGCTGACAGTAGTAGTAGAAAACGATAAGAATGAAAACTGAATAGAGCATATAAGTAAAGCCCAGTTCCAGATGGGAGCAGCCACCTCAAAAAGTCACTCATTATTCTGTTCATGTTGCTCCAAAAGGAGTCTGACTAAAAAGAAATTTAGTAAAAGGTTGTGTTTTGTGGGACCAAAAAATATAAAGGATAAGAAAAAAACAAGTGAGGTAATAAAATGAGGAGTAACTGTTTAGGCTTTTGGAGATGCGTGGGCATTACAAATTGTCTACAAGATTCTTTCTCCAGGTTTCGTTACTATAACACTGTTATTGTTGTTAACCATAAGAAATCATTCATTTGATATAGTAAAGAAATACTTAAAGAAAGACTTAAGGTCTTAATGATGCCATGAGCTATTCTGGGCCAGAATAGGGGTGGATTGGAGAGATTAAGGGGTCAATCCTCATCCCTCAAAATGATCTACTCGTTTAGAATTATAAACTAATAGAAGCCAAAGTTACCTCAGAGTTTAATTATGAACTCAGGAAATTATATCTATATATTTTTAAAAAAGGAAAAAAAAACTTTTATAAGTCTCCTTTGTGGATTTGTTTCTTTGTCAGAAATAGAGATTTCTTTTTTCCTGAGGTAATATGCAACATTTTTGTATTGAATATGTGTAGATATATGGAATGGATCCCGGATCTATTAGTTCTTTTCTTCTTCTTTTCTTCTCCAAAAACCTTATACATGTATTTGTTATTAGACCCTCCACCCTTTTGAGAGCTTTAACAGGGTTTTGCAAAGAAATGCCATAAAGAAATGGCAAATGTAAAAAAGAAGAAATTAAGAATAATTCAAATAAAACAGTTTTCTGGCTGGATTGAAACATTGTCAGAGGTGATGCCTGTTTCTCTTCTTCAGGAAGACTGTTTCAGGTTTCAGGAGCATAACACTGAAATGCAGTTTCACCTTGTATGGCCCTGACTCTGAATATGTAAATAGACTCAGTCTCTTCATTGTAGCCACTTACTGTTGGCTCACTCGTAATTATTACAGTGAGTTTGTTAACAACAAAGAGCAAGAACCAGGTGGTGTTGTGTGTGAGGTGAACAAAGGCCGGAGTGAATGTGATGCTGAGCATGAACACAGGTTGCAGCGTTCCCAGAAGGTCTGATGCAAACAAGAGGGTGGTGAATGTTGATTATTCTTCCTCTCGACCTCCTCTACCTTCTCTGATTTTTCAAATGGAAGCTGAAGGGAGGGTGGCGGCCTTAATGTTAACCAAGTGGGGGTGGTGGTCCCACAGGGTGCCAGCTCGTCTCATTAGCATGGCTTTGTTGTTCCTCTTCATTTGCAGCTTATTACAGAGACTTGTTGCTGCCTGGCTTTGGTTACTGCCTGCTGCCAAGTGACGCTAATGAGTGGCTGCGATCTCTCCTGTCTGCCCTGACTTCTGTTTCTCTGTTGTCTGAGCTGGATTTTATTTGTTCATGTCTGAATCTGCCATGGCATTCAGATCTTCAGTTTATGATTATGATTGAAATGTATTATGTTGTTTATTTTTATTAATTCGGGCAGAGTATTATGTTACAATTAATGTTGGATTTTATCTAATAATTTCTCGTTTAATAAAATGTGAGCATTTTAATTGGTGTGACTGCGGCTAATTGTACAGATTATTTCTGTCGTTGTAGATCCCTGCCAATTATATGCATGAGCAAATCATTGTCTCATCCCTTAGAGGAACAATTCAAGGTGGATGACAGAGAGAATGATCATTAAATAGCTGAAAGAATGCGAACTGTGGAGAAGCACAACCGCTCAGTATGAAGGATGGAATGTCAATAAGATGATCCACATAAGTATTATGTAAAAATTACAGCCTGCTGTGCAGCATCAGAGGCTCCTGGGGAGCCGTGGTAGATGCATAAGGATTTTCTGTCATTTAATGTTGCTGTATTTCTCTCACATTTGTGCAGAATCTCTCCAGTCAGTTGTGAGCGTGCTGTCTGAAGTGGAGTCGGAGGGTGAAGTCGGTGCGAATCCAACAGCAGCACCAGCCTCTATGGCGTCAGGAGCTGGAATTAATCCTGTGAGTAGAGCTATTTCTTTGACAGTCCAGTACAGGCCGTTTGCTGGTATTTAAAGGTGTTAAAATCATTAAAATTTCTCCCCATTATTGATTGTTTCACAGCCTGCTGTTCACATTAAAATGAGAAAGTACTTTTTTTTTTTAATGGTCAGCTTTGACTTGTGGGAAACATTTACTTCTTGTTGTTATTTCTTCTTAGCTGTCCATGAGGCTGATGCACTAGACAGTTCAGTTAGTTTGCTCATCTATCAACCCTTGAATCCGGGGTTCGTGCTGGGTTCTCTCCCTTCTGTACGAGGGTCAATATTTGTGAATCGGGAGTTGAGAGTTCAGCGGTAGCATCTACCATTTAGGGCAAATACATCTATATCTGAGACTCTGGGGTAAACAACTATGGCTCCACGTTCATGTTGCAATTCCCTCCCAAATGCCCCATCAGGTCAGTGTAGCTTTATTTATCATCTTCCAGTGTCTCCTACTCTCTGTAATCCATTTTCTGTAAAGACAGACAAAGTGGAGTATTGATTAAAAAGTCTGGAAAAGTTCATTCCTCATGACTGATGTCTTATGACGTGTTATAACATATAACTCCGGCCACAGCTGTAGTTTCATTGTTTCTTCTTACATTCCTGTCCTCACAATACTTTCTGGCTGCAACATTTGTTGACATGAGGCTATATAATGACATCTGAAAGTGCACAACTGTAGACTTTCTAGCTGTTTCAAACATAGCAACTCATTACTCTTTAATAACCTCCCACAGTATTAAGCCTGGGACAATAATAACCTTCTTGGCAAAGCTCCTGCAACATTCATAAGTAGTTCCGCGTATCCTGTAAATATGAAAAGTTGACACACCAAACAAATGCCTTCACAGATTAGCTTTAAAAACGCAAAAAAGATGCCGAGGCACAAGAGAGCGGCGGCGCCGGCGACTCCCTCACTAGGTGCTCCTCCACTCACTTTACCGGCTTCCTCATTTCTGAATTACAGAAAGTGAATCAATGACAGCTCCCATATGGCTGGGCCGACTAAATTAAACATTTAGCCAAAAGTAAAGTAACATCGAGGGAAAAGATTATGCAAAAGGACAGCAGCCATCTCATATTCCGTTAAGCCTCTTGTAGAATGCAATGGCAATTTTACATTTCTGGGCCATGTTACACTGATAAATGACTGCTGCTCTTTTATTTATTTTTCTTGTTGTGAACTTGAGTAAAATCTCACTCAGGTGTAATGCTTTGCTCAATGCACACTGAAGGAAAACTGGAACTGTGTTAATAAAAATAGATGAATAAAAGTGTGCAGTTTTACCTCCTGTAAGACACAAACAGAAGTGACTGGGACCGCTCGGTGATATAAAACAGTTCCTAAAAGGATGCATGCTCACTCTCGGGTATCTGTGTCCTCTCTGCTGTGTGTTTGGGTGTTAGTGCTGCCTGCCTGGGATTTGGAACAGAGTCACACTGTAGCCTCTAGACAAACATCACCCTTGTGTCCTCAATGGACTTGCCTGTGTGTGTGTTTGTTTGTGTGTGTGTGTGTACATTTGTGCATTTTTTTGTGTGGTTCTATACACACTCTCTTTGTTGCAATTGTGTCCTTGCCGTGGTTTGTCGTGGAGGTTAATCCAGGCTGTGATGCTGTGCTGTATATCATGCACCTATCTATTGCACAGCTGTCTGCTTGTCCTGAATGGTGTTGTGCGATTATGTTTAATAAGAATTGAAGTGGTATAAATGAGTTCAGTAATATTTTATTAAGCCCTGAAGGGGAATTACATTGTATAACAATGTTACTCTGTTTTAGTGGAGCTGCATGATACTAAGAGGATGGAGTTTGCGGGGCCGTGGAACCGTGTTGTATAATATAAGAGTTGTTTCAGTATTCCTTTCACAGCAGAGCAAGTAAAATATAACAGATGCCTCTCTGTATAATGCAGTTATGCAACTCAGCAGTGCAGCAAATGCTGGTTGAGTCTTGAGTTGGTTAAGTCAACCAGTCTGACCATTCATTGTCAACAGATTTGAGTTGAATATTGCTTTTAGATTTTGATTAATATCAGTGTGAAAATACACAAATGCACAGAACAGCTATTTTTAAAAATGTCGTGGGTAGGTAGGAATTGAGGGGAAATTAGGTGGTTGATCGAGTGATGCTGAGGAGGCTAACCCCATTTTTAAAAATAAAATGCCTGATTTCCCTGAAGTCTAATCCCCCCCCAGACATCCTCTAGAGACTGTGGCATTAATATTGTGAGGGCATATAGTATGAAATCAAAAGAAGTATTGGGATTGTTCTGAGAGCAATATATCTCATACATCTGCATTTTAATGCAGATTTAATTAAAAATAGGCCTTTAAAGGCTGGGCTTAATGTTTATTTTTTGACCAGAGGTTATATTATTAGGATTGTGACTCACACCAGTCTGCCAAGCGAAACAGCTTTGAACTGAAACTCCTTATCGGGTTATTAACACGATAAAGCAGCAAAAGCAGAACTACTGCAACGGTAACTTTTCCAGAGGTGTGATTGTGTTGAACTTTATCAGATGGCTCCTAAAAGGTCATTTCTTTGTTATAAAGAAGTTTTGGCCAGAATAATCCATCTGAACTTATGCTTTATTTGTTTCTTTATTTTTTTCCTGTTCAGCTTTACTGATAAACTTCTAGAACATTGTTTTTGGTCAGCATAGATGACCAAAGGAAAGAGTAGGGTTTTTTTGACAGTGGTTTATGGCTCATAGTATTTCTCAATTCCAGGGATAGCTTGCATGAGATAAATGCAAAATAAATAAGTAATTACAAAGGGATTTCAGGGGGTATTTGTGAAGTCATTAACATTTTATTTCTCACATCATAGATGGAAAAGCGCCCTGTGTGTGTCCATATTTAAACTGTATAGTTTAAAGAAGCCATGAACAAATCATTTTTAAAAAAAGTGTCCTTTGAGAAATGCTTGTTAAGAATGAAAATAAAAATCCACCCATCCATTTTCAATACCCATTTACTCAAAGGATAAAATGTTCAATTACTTTTGTTGTTGCAGATTTGCCATAGGAGCGCTTGAGGAAAATTAATGGCCAGTCTGGGTCTAGAATTAGGAGAAAGCTCTGCCAGACAACCTGAGATAGGGATTTATGTAGGCTTTAAAATGTTTGTGCGACATCGAAGGGCTCCACCTTAACAATCTTTAAAACACATTTGAGACTTGGTGTCATTAACACTGGATAGCCGCGTTGTTCTTTTCCAGGTTATGTGCCCATTTTCAGGCTGCCAATTAACACAAGTGGCGGCAGAGATTGAACATGGCTCGGTTCCTGGCTTCTCCGCGCTGGCCACTCGTCAAAATCCAGACCTGTGTTGAAATTGTGCTGATCACCGACAAAGCTCTGCCTGATCCGGCCCAGGAGCATATTTCTGAGCTGCTGAAATTTCCAAAACCCTGTCAGACTCCTCAGGTGCTCGAACTCAGGAGTGCTGATCTGTTGCCTACACCCCGGTCATTATTATAGACAGCATTGTTAATCTTTATTGCTTTTAATGAATGCTTTTCTAGCAGTGTTTTATTGCCATCCTTCCTACCAGAACAGGCCATGTTGGTGGTTATTGTTCTTTTACATTTTTTTTTTACGTGAACCTTTCAATGGCTTCAGTGTAACAGCACCACTACAAATCTCCTGGCTCATTTTTCCCCTAAAGTTATGTGAATTGAGCTAAAATCTCCCTATAAAATGACCTTTTTAGCGTAGATATTCCTCTTTTTGATCCTCAAGACAGTTATTCCCTGCTTAACTTTGCACTTAATACACAGCAACTTTTGAGGACATCCACTTAGTTTGTTTAAATTGGATGGCTGCACTCTCATTATCTTCAGTTAACCACATTTTGGTGAGGAAAGAGGGTTGTGTTTGACTGTGTGCCACGAAACGCACATTAGGAAGAAATCCCTAAAGAAATCACAAGGAATAGAGGAGATGGTACTTGGCAAATCTATCTTTTATTTTCATTTTTTAGGGAAAACAAATCATCACCAACAATATGCTCTTTTAATACAGAAATCATTTTAACTGTCAGTGTCTGCTGCATTGGAAAACATTTGACTGTAACTATTGCAGTGTGCTGCCAAACTATTGTTCTGTGATGTTAAATGCCTATTTACACATGCTTAAAAATGGTATTTTCTTTCTTTTTTGTGTGTAAATGGTAGAACAACTTTTTATTTTGTCACCTTGAATCTCCTTTCAGTCTGAGGCTGTGGGACAAAAGCTACCGTCAACCTCATTCAGCTTCACCCAAACCCAGTGCATCCTCTACGCTCTGGGGGTGGGCATGTCCACCAAGGACCCAGACCATCTTAGGTGAGTATCTTTATCCATTTTAGGATTTGCGAGCTCCCCCACGGCCAGTGAAAAGGCATATTATCACATTTGATACGGCATTAGATGACAATCGCTGCTGCGATCCTCATTGGACTGCATGGAAAACAAACCCTGACTCACAGTCCTGTGTAGCCATCTGTGCCGTGATTTTAGTCCTCATCTTGCTTCATCTGTGCTTTTTCACAGTTCAGTAACACTTGCATTTTAATGTAGGTTCCTGTACGAGGGCCATCCAGACTTCAGCTGCCTCCCCACATTCGGGGTCATACCCTCGCAGTCATCCATGATGGGTGGCGGGCTGAGCTCTGTCCCTGGACTCGACATAGACTTTACCCAGGTCAGAAAAACCGAAACGTGCACGTTCATATCTGAAACATCTGCCTGTGTGCAAGTGTGTTAGACATTGTGCCATGTACATATGTTTATGTTTCACCCAATCTCCAGGAAAAACAGTAATAATACGTTATTGGTCATGCTATAAGGTTCAACGACTTTGGTGCAAATGCATACATCACAGCTGATGCCTCGTTTTGTGTCAGGTTTTACACGGAGAGCAGTATCTGGAGCTTTACAAACCCCTGCCCACTTCAGGTATTTCCCTCTGTTACTACGCAGTTTGATGTTTGTGATTACTGTAGATTTTGCCATACAAAAAGTCGAATCAGGGGGTATAGCTCAGTGGTGGAGCTTTTGACTGCAGATCAAAAGGTCCCCCAGTTCAACCCTGTGCCCCCCTGCTTTGTAAGTCACTTTGGATAAAAGCATCTGCTAAATGCATAAACACAAACACATAATTGAATCCTTTTTAGACTCTTGCTGAGTCGTTTAATACATTTTAGCTTTTACTGTATATAAAACAATCATGTCAGCAAGATCGGGCTGAACTTATTGAATTATTTTAACAAGGAAATGAGTCCCGTAGTTCAGCATCAAAATTCCACCCCTATGATACATTACACTGATATCTGACATTCTGATTAATTTAGAAAGGAACAGCACTCATGACTGTACTCGGTGAGCTGAGTAAATGTAAAATGTATTAGGGTGATCCATATCTGTTGATCCAAGCAGATTGATGGAAAACAACAATAAAATAATGATGAATAAAAAAAAGGAATTGCACCAAAAAATGCAATACAATCAAAGAAAAAACAACAACAACTTTACCTCAGTGACATCATGTAACGAAAAAAAACAAAGCATTTAAACAGTGGTTGAAAGTAACCACATATTGGATGCTCCTGTCGATGTTTTAAAATGAGCCCTGGAAATTTAAGAAGGTGAATGGAGATTATATTGTATTTATCTCTGTTTCATTCCGTAGCATGTGTATGGAGGGGGGGAGTGGGTTATGACTAATGGCTCAACCTGTTCCCAATCTCTGCTTCATTTATTGCCATTAAATTCAAGTCACAAGGGTTGGTTTTTGTTTCTCTGAAAGACGAGTCTCAGAATGTCTGTTTTGTCGTTCAACAACACTTGGTGCTGTTTTTGATGTTATTTCAGGGGATTTTCAGAGGCTCCGGCAAGCTCTTTTTATTTAATTTTTTTCTTCACCTTTTGTGGCTGTGCTTTCATTCCTCTATACTAATATAGCAGCTCACAGTGACATGCTTCAGAATGTCTTCAGCCAGGTTAGAAAATGTGTAAAAATCTGCAAAATCTGGGAGTCAAAAGTATGGGAACGTCGGATTATTTAAAGTTGACAATCAGCTCGATTCGTTATATCTTTGATAGCCACGGATTAGCAAAAAGCAAATGAAAAAATGTTGCAAACGTAACTACCTTTTTAATTATTTCTTTTTTTAATTTTTTAAATCATTCAATTGCATGTCATGAACTGAAATTGCTTTCAAAACATTTTCAGGAACGCTCACTTCTGAGACCACCATAGCAGACGTGCTGGACAAAGGATCTGGAGCTGTCATCCTCTTGGATGGTGGGTTTATTTCCCCCCAGGGGCTGCAACTTTTGTCATATCCTATTCATTCCGTTTTAATTTGTTTTCATCGTGTTAATGTGTCTCCTCCCGTGAGTTGCCTCTCAGGCTGAATGGACCATGAAAGGCTCATGTCTTAGTTTCACAATTCCACAGAGATGCGTGTTATTAGAACCACTCATATAAATAATTAATCTGTCTTTAACTACAAAAACGGGTGACTGTAAGTTCCCTGTGTTTGAACAAGGAAATACTTTTTAATTTTTTTTTTTTTTTGACACATTAAACCAGTCAGCTTTTGTTAGAGTGGAAATAAAGTTATTCTGGGGTAAACCACATATCAAGCTAACTACTTGTTGAAACAGCTTTGATTGTTTATGTGCAATGGAACTAAGCAGCACATACAGTGCCTGTAACGTGGATCTACTGGTGATGTTTAACATGTTTCTGCTGCTTAGACTTGTGTCTGACAGGCGTTTCTACGACTTTATGTAATTATGACAATCCAAAATCCAACATTTCCTTTCCATTTCACAGTGAACACTTACAGTGGAGGTGAGCTGGTGTGTTACAACCAGTTTTCGGTGTTTGTGGTCGGGGCCGGAGGCTTCGGTGGAAAGAGGAGCTCAGAGAAAGCTAAAGTATGCAGTTTTTGAGTTTTTAAGTTACTTCCCTAAAATTATATAGTTCTTTTGGAAAAAAATCTTTTTTTTTTTTTCTGGAAATGATCAGAGGTATTCAGGCATGTAAATTCCATTCAATGCTTGTTATCTTCTGGCTGTCAAATTGCGTTACCTGTGCAAAAAAACTGATACAGAAAAACTACAGCGAAAATCATAAGGTTGTGCTCTTATTTCCATCTTAAAATGACATCTTTTGGAAAAATACGGTTATGAAAACTGCCTCGTACTTGCCAGTTTTTACTTGTTTTTTTTTTTCCTTTTAAATTCCACCAGGTTCCTCTGCCTCCCCCGAAGCGTGCACCAGATGCTGTGGTGATTGATTCAACCACCAGAGACCAAGTGAGTGTGTGGGTTTTGGTGCAGAATAAATCAGCTGAATTGATGATTCTGTATGTGGGTGAAAATCTTGTTTATTTTCTGTTTGTTTTGTTTGTTTGTTTTTCGGTTTCCCCCCTGAAATAATCCAAATTTGAAACAAAATGTGAGCTCGCGGCAGAAGAGTTTAAGAAGGTTTTCCTTCAGTCTCGGAAAAACTTGTAGTCTCACTGCATGACGCAGCAGAAAGTAACAGAGAAGGGGGAATAAGAGGCAACTCCCTGAAGCATTCTGAATAACTGCGGCAGTATCACTTCAAAGAATGCTTATTTTAGGTGTCTGTGTCGATTAGATTTTATTTCACGTTTGTGTTTAAGGGTTTATGATTTGGGTGTAAATCTAAAGAAAGCTGGGTCCCCCCCTCTTGCAGGCAGCCTTGTACCGTCTGAGTGGAGACTGGAACCCTCTCCACATAGACCCCAGCTTTGCTGCTCTGGGAGGTGAGAAACTGCACATTCATTGTGACTTTTAAGCGATTTATGTAATTTCATCTTATTTATACTTGACGTACTTAAAAAATTCTCTTCGGTCAGGCTTCAAGTCGCCCATCCTGCATGGCTTGTGCTCATTCGGTTTCGCCGGGAGGCACGTCCTCAAGCAGTTTGCCGACAATGACCCCTCCAGATTCAAAGCTATCAAGGTGAGCATTAGCTACCAGCCAAGCAGCACACATTTTACGAGTCACTGGGCCCCAAGTTGTTACCAAGTTGTCGCTCTCATCAGTTTTCCAGCTCTGTAGCTCAAGGCCTGCACAAGCAAAGTAACTGACAACCATTCTTTTTTTCTGTATTATTTGTAGGCATAATAAATTATACTTAAAAAAAATAATAAAAGGAAAAAAGCCATGGTAGTAGAACAGTGCATGTTATTTGCCTTCGTGTGATTTTTCACACTCAAAAACGCAGCTCGGCCATGACGCGTCCCTCACCGATATTCAGTTGGACTGTCTTGCGCTTCGATTGCAGCACAGATTCACCGTTTTATTGTTTCAGAAAGCTTACCTTATATTACAACATTCATTACCATTCTGCGACACACACGGTTGTCACCACGCTCTTGTGATTATGATGTCGGAGACTGTCCGTTTCCCAAAGATTCCCGCTGGGTTCAAAATCCCGGTGATCAATGGATGCTCAAAAGTGGCGTTCCATTCTCCAAGAACCACAGACCCCGCTCTACCTGCTGAGCCCCAGCTCTAGTGCTCTCTGCTGTCTGTGTTGTGGTTGTGTTTTTTTGTGTTTGGGTTGAATAGCTCGGTAATGGTGAGCAGCTGGAACGTATTAACCACTGCAGTGCTTTTCCATTTGCACCCGTTTGTTTGGTTAAACCCACGCGGCGTGTAAAAATCAGCATTCCCTATTTAGTCGCCTCGCTTTTCAGCCATGAACTGATTTGCTTAGTTTTATTTCTTTTTCAGACTTCAGTCACCCTCCCTTCTCGTAGTATGGCACCGCTGCGTCTGGGGGCTTCGTTGGCAGCTTCTCAGCCCGCGTATCGCTGCATAAACTGTTAAATCAGTTTTGTTTGGGCGCGCTCATTTGTTAGAGGGTAACAGAGTGTTTCATGTAACAGCAAATAAAATGAAGAAAGTCAGGATAAAATGTCAATTTCATTCAGTATTTGAAAATGAACGCGCACATTAATTTGGGATTAATCAAGTAAAAATGTGCAGTTATTTATTTCATACAAAAAAAAGAATAGCAAAATGAAAAAAAATAACTAAAGAAAAGAATGTGTGTCTAGTGAAAGTTGTATAAAAAAAACAAAAAAACAACTCTTTTCTCTCTCAGGTTCGCTTTGCAAAGCCGGTGATTCCAGGTCAGTCCCTGCAAACGGAGATGTGGAAGGAGGGCAGCAGAATCCACGTCCAGTGCAAAGTGAGCATCATTGAATAAACTCGGACGAACGAGCCCGGCCCGTCGTCTCAGAGCCGCTCTCCCTTTAGCGCGAATGTTTTCCTCACACAGGTGAAGGAGACGGGCGCCGTGGTGCTGGCGGGGGCCTACGTGGATCTGCATGAAGCTGCTGGAGCTTCCTCACAGAATCCCACGCCGGTACGTCTAGTCCGAACAACAACGGACTAACAACCCTCTCTTCCTTTTTTCAGGTGCCTCCATGTTGGGTTTCTAGATGGTCGTCGCCCATTCGTTTAGCTCAAATTGTTATATGGCAGCCACCTCCTTAATGGCTGCAAATGACAATTTTCTATAAAAACCAGCATCAGACTCTATAAATAACACTTTGTGAGACTTGAACACAACCCGCTGAGCACTGATCACTGAGCAGCTCCTCACAGGCATGTGTGGAGGTGAGGCCGTTGCTACCGGCTACATTCACCCACCGCTCGGGCATAACGGGCTGCTGTGTCCACAGCCACAGGTTGCACGCGCATCATTTGCCGGAGCGTCCCGGTAATGTGTCGCAAGAGTCACGTTCTGGCACGGTTCCACGCGCTGCCAGCGAGGGCTGGTGATGTGACTCCACAGTCTTAGCGGGAGCCAGATGGTAAAAGAAGAAAAAAGTGGGCGATTTCATGTTTTTGATTATGAGTCAGATGAAGTCTGACTGTTATCTGGAGCCAGCTGATTCCTGTGATCAAAGCAGTTCTGATTAAACACTGACGGGGGGAGGTATGTGATTGCTCACTAAACTGCGGGGCGTAATGAGCCGCTGAGGGATGGAGAGTTTTTGCGGAGGTTGTTTCATGAGGGGGTTTTAGTTTTCCGACCCCCCTCCATAAAATCGACCCTCTGCAATCAACACTTTAACGACCATCGGCTTCCTCTCTTTCTCTGTTCGTTTATTTTCTCTCCGTGTCCAGGTGCAGGAGGGGGGCCTTCAGAGCGAGCTGGTGTTCGCTGAGATCGGCCGGCGCATCACAGAGCTGGGCTCGGAGCTGGTGAAGAAGGTCAACGCCGTGTTCGGCTGGGAGATCACCAAGGACGGCAAGAGCGCGGCGCAGTGGAGTGAGTGCTCCCAACGTCCAACGCACACACACACACACACCGGCGGCGCGGCGGGCCAGATAACCGCCGATCATCGGATCGTTCCGCTCCGACACGAGGAAACGGTTTTCTTCCTCTGCGAGAAAATATTAAAAAAGGGCGGTGATTTGGTGGGATACCGGCCATGAAAAAGACAATAAAACCTCCGTGTGATAAAGACAAATGGCTGCAATAAGAACACACACACACACAGCAGGGAGATGAGGCCGCGCAGAGATGAGATAGCTGAGGTCTTCGCTTACACACACACACACACACACACACACACACACACAGCTCAGTCAGGCAAAAGATGGAGTTCCGTTTCTGACCCAGAGCAGACACCGGTAGAGGCCGTACAGACGCAGGATGGTTGCGTCGATGGCTCGTTAGATTCCGTTAACCCTTTCCATCAGTCTCATATTAGCCCAAACACACCGCTGCACGTTGGCATGGATGGTTTAAGGGAATCGGGTGCTCGATCAGGTCATAAATTGAAACTCGCTCCAAAGGTTTGGACGACGTCTGCTGTTTGAGACACATCCAAAATCAATTCTCCTCCCTCCTGTTTCAAAGTGACAAAATTCAAGCCGTAAAGGTGTACACGTCCCCATTTAATGTCATCTTGGGCTTGGTCGTTACCTTGGAAACAAAGTGGAACGACGCAATTAAAACGAGCCGTAAAGTTGAGCTCACTTTAGCGAGTTGGCTGGCCGAGACCCGAAATAGATTTTATTTATTTTTTGCAAATGACAACTGAAAGCAAGAGGAAGTCATCGGGGGAGAAGTTAAGCCCCTCGTGCTTCAGACTGACTCCAGCTCTGTCTCCCGCAGCCATAGACCTGAAGAACGGCGGCGGCGGCCTGCACAAAGGGCCGTACAGCGGGAAGGCCGACGTGACTTTCACCGTGTCCGACGAAGACTTCATGGAGGTGGTGACGGGGAAGCTCATGCCCCAGAAGGTAAGGCACAACTCATCATGTCCAGGCTTTTAACTCATTGACTGCCAGCCATTTTCAGAACAGAGAGTCGCTCACTGCTAGAGTTTTTTGAGCATTTTGACTGATTTTTCAAGAGCCACAGAATAGTTTGTGCTATGACTATGTAAACACCGAACACACCAAAAGAAAGAGTAGACTCTCTTCTTTCATCAGGAAAAAAAAATTGTTTCTACCTTGTTCCGTTCTTCTTCGACGTGCGTCTCATAGCGAAGCATTGCGTTTGTTTTTATTTGCCTACAATCTATGCTCATCTCCCATCAAAAGTGGCACATCTACCTAGAGGGTAAATTTGTTACTACATACCCTGTCTGGAAGCCGATATTTACGGAAAAACTTTAGCCGATCGTTCCCCAAGCCACTCGCATTGAAAAACATAAAAGACGTCTATAGACGTCTTTGGCAGCAAATGAGTTAAGATCCGCTGTTTGTGCACGAGAGCATTTTCACCAAAAAAGATAGACAGACGGAGAAATGAATCCCCCGCGTTCTGACTCCGGTGAAAGTACCTTTGAGGCACCCTGCGAGCTGTAATGACGTCTTCCCCCATCTTGTCATGTCCAATTTTTTTAAATGGAGAAAAAGAGACAGTGATCTCAGAAAACCCTCAGTCTCCCCCCTCGTTACGTCTCCCGCCTCCCGGCTGTCAGGGGCAGTCGCCGTCATTGTGCAGAGCTGATATGCCTCTCCAAGCGTCGGTTATTGATCCGAGGCTTCACAAAGAGGTGCCGGAGATCCCCCCCCCCCCGGGCAGGGCCTTTTCCAGCCTCCGCTGGGATGAAAGCGGCAGATGAGTCGGCGGAGATGAAGAGGGACGCCGTTGACCGTCTTCCTGGGTCACCGTAACCCGGCCGTGCAATTGATTTTTTTCTTTTTTTTTGGGCCGAGGAAAGCAGTGCACATCACGGGTGGTTTAGATCACCTCTGGAAACCAAGACCGCACTTACCTTCAGCCTCATTTGGATTTGGGAAAAGATTTCTGTGGGTGGCACATTGTGCATCATCAGGAGATTTTTGTACGTATTTATTTAATCATCTATTGATTTATTTTTAAGGCGTTCTTCGCCGGCAAGCTGAAGGTGAAGGGGAACATCATGCTGAGTCAGAAGCTGGAGGTCATCCTGAAAGATTACGCCAAGCTGTGAGCGGACCGCAGAGCCCCCCCCCCCCCCCCCCTCCTCACCATGGAAACTCAATACTTAAAAAATTTAATTTTGTCTCATCAATTAATCTGTTCTGTGCCAGAGACTCTCAAAAAGGATCATGTGCAGAGGTTTCGATTTTTCTTCCACTTCTGGAATGGTTCTATGTGTAATTGATACATACTAAACCTGTTGTGGTACAGAATTTAAGGAGTAAGGATTCTAATCTTACTGCATTTTTTTTAATGTGAACTGTAATACACAGCTGTAATTAAATATATTTGCTTTGAATAATTAATATAAAAAAAAGTTTTGTGTTTTTGTTTGAGCAGTGTATGTATGTATGTATGTGCCCTCATCTTACAAAACTATTAACATTAGAAAAATCAGTGTTGTGCAATACAAACCATGGGTTTAACCTTTTTATAATCTGTAGTAAATAATACATATAACACAAGTTGGAGTGTTTTTTTTATGGTTTAGGTGTAAACAACAAACAGCTTTTTTGTTTCTTTATAATTGGGCATTAAATCTCTATGGTTGATTCAGGTCAGTGGTATGGAAGAACCAGCTGAGCATCATGTGGGGCCGTTTCCAGCCTCATGCTGAATTTGAGCTCATCGTTTTTAGCCGGTCGACCCTCCGCTTTGCTTCACTCCGTTTGTCTGCAACCGTTTGCTGTAAAAGTAAAAAACGAGTGCAAAAGTTCTTTTTTTTTTTACAGATTGGAAGTTGTTTTTTGCCAGTTAAAGGTTTGGCGGCCGGGCAGAATGCACTGGTCAGCAGTAATCCACAGTCTGCCCCTTGCACAGGCCTTACCTGCTGAGGGACAAACGAAGCCTGGTCCAGGCCGAGCAGCGAGGCGGGGTCACGTGACGTCTGTTTTCTGCAGCTTTAATGACACGCTGTGGAGTTTGGGGCCATTACTGGGTTGTGGAGCAATGTTTTCATGGCTGGATCTCAATTTTTTTTCCTGGCAGGGGAGATGTGATTCAAATCCTTGCTGCTGGCTTCACGAGTGAGCAGGGCAACAGAAAATGGAAGTAACACAAACCAAAAGGCAGTTTTTTTTAAAAAAAAAAGAAGCCAAATGAGTAAATAATGCAGGATTTTAAATGCAGAGGTTTATAGGGGGATGCATTTAATGCAAACTGGGATACAAAGTACTGGTAAATTATTTAGTTTTTAGTCATTTACTCAAGTAACAATACTCGGTTACGGGGAAAAAGCCTCACGTGCACCGGTTCACCAGCGAGTGAACCGGATTGATGCGCTGCCTTTGGCTTTGAGAGGTAGCTGTTCACAGCGTGATTCAGTTTACTCTCCATTTTATTCTGCACAAATGGATAAATTATTTTTGCTGCACTCGTTTAAGCAGGTGGGTGTAATTTTAGGCTCATCATGTAAATAACTCAATTCAGTGGAGTGAAAGATAAGTGGTGGGAATGATCCATCATTTGACAAACACCTAAAAGTTACTTGGGTATTTCAAGGAAACTGGTAAAATAAATCAAGAGTTAATGAGAAAAGTCAGCTTCCGTGACTTACATGCATGGAACAGAAAAGATTAGTAATGTGTCAGTCATGACTCCAGCATAACTTGTTGGGGCCGTTTTTCCCCTCAATTTGTGAAACTTCAACATTAAATTAAAACCGTTTTTTGATCTGGTCTGTTTGCCTGCCGCCCGTTTTCAAAATTACAAGTACACCTACGCATTTTAAAATCATTCTTTTATTACATCCGAACACCCTTGATTTACATTAGAAAATTAGAATCATTTGGTTAAATTCACATTTGTGAGGTTGAGGATTAAGGAACAAAAGGGAAAATAGAGGAACGTGCCTTCTTCAAATGTATACGGCAGCTGTGTGTTAATGGTGTGGTGCAGCAGCAGCTGGAACCTGAAACCCTCATTTGCAAATCCAATCTTTAAAGAAAAGAGCAGTTTTTGATGAAAAAAAAATCATTTTATTCTCCAGTGCCTGTAGAAGTACATAACATTTGGATCTGATAAGTGATTTTACTCTCCAGTTGCTGAAGATGTGCTCGAGATATTCCACCACTTTGAACTGTGGCTAAAAAAAGCGAAGCGGGGCAGGGATAAGCCTTTCGTCCTAAACGTCAACACATTTAATAAATATAGCTGTCTGTACAGAATAATATTCTTCATGGAGGTGGCTTTTTTCTATCGGCCACCGTTTATCTATCGCCAGCTGTTGAGATTACGCGGATATCATGAGAAGCTTCGTTTATGAATCTATGTCTGTACAAAACTGCATTAACCTGCTTCAACAGGAGTTTTTGTCTACCCTGAAATCTAAGATAATGTAAATATGCATCCTCCCGGCAGCAAAACGAGCTTCTACAGCTAGTTACTGAATGGATTACACTGTGCTATTGGACAGTCTGCGTCAGCCCCTTCCTCTGTGAAGTGGAAGACAACACATAATACATCAGTCAACATTAGATTAGATTGTGCGAAAGGCAATGTGCTGCTTTGGATGATAGAGAAAAAAGAAAAAAAAGCCGAATGATAAAAGATGAGTATTAAATTTTAACAGTAAACTAGATAAAGCAAGCCGGATAATTAAAAGAACAAAGGCAAAGACTTCTGTCAATCACAGAGAGCAAAAGTTTAGAGTCGATGAGAGGGCCGTGCTTCCGTTCTGGAGTAAAACACAACTCCCGTTAAAATGCGTTTCACCCTCCTCCCCCCCCCCCCACCCCCACTCCCTCCCCCCTCTCCTCGTCGACTCCCTTCCATTGTCAGCAGCAAAGCTTCCTGCTACATGTTCTTCGGGGTTGGGATACAACACCCAGATAAAATGCAGATACCCACGGCGTCCCAGAATAAAGGAGGGCTTCGTTAAATTAAAGCTAGTTTGTGCAACTGAGTCTCAATACTAATCGATATTCCCACAACAGTTCCGGTACTGTGCCAGGCCGGCAGAAAGAAGTTTCAGAGGTTAAGGACACTTGATAATAATACATCTGGTTAAATCTAGGCCGAGAGCAATCCACAGACGACTGTGCACGACTATATCTGCCACTTGTAGTTATCCTCTCTACACTACGTATAATAGAGCTTAATTTAGTTTATGTGCAAAAACAGAAGGAGCATGTTACACACATTCCTAAGGTCTGCCACCTCGGTTTAGGAGCAGATCCACGAGAGAGATGTGTGCTCAGAGTGTTAAACATGATGGAGGGTTTAGCTTAGCTTTGGAAAACGGCGAGTTGGCGGCCCGGCTCGAGCCATGTGACACACAAGTTTGAACGAGTATCCTGTACGGCGCTTCCAGTTTGTAGAAAAGTGACCGTTTGTAAAGATTATCCACAAAAACTCAGCTATTCCTCACGTACGCTGCTTGGTCAGAGCAGAGCTAAGAGCTGGTTTTGTTGCATTCTAGGAACTGAAGAAGAGGAGCTGACCTTTGAACTTCACATGTTTGAACGGGGGTTTGTTTCTGCCAGTCAGAGTCAGGCGGGCTGAGCTTTGCCCCTCTGAGCCGAGCTAACTAGCCGCTAGCCTCAGCTGTACGGGTGATGATGTCACAGCTGTCAATCACAGAGAGCAGATTCCTAAAATGTCAAACCGCTGCTATGAATAGAAGAGAGATTTGCGTTTATTTCCACCTTTATAAAAATCCATTTACGGTGTGCGGGTCCTCCTGGAGAGCGGCCCCAGCGAGGACCCTAAAATCAAAGTGTGACGCCACAACAGAGAAATGACACCGACATCTCATCGTCCGCCGCGCCGGTTTGACGGAGAACGCGTCGTCCTTCTTAGATCCACTCATCGCTGCGTCCCTCTCTCATAACTCATTCATTAGCTGGACGCAGAGAGGGCCGTGCTGCATTAGAGGAACAGAGCTGCAGCTTTAGGCTTCAGTCTCATCTCCATCCTTCAACAGCTTCTGTGCAAAGACAAGGAAAAAAAGAAAAAAAAAAGAAAAGAGGCCCTCTGTGTGCTGCTCCGTGGACACTGAGACGGCAGGTTCAAACTCCAGCCGGGCTTCCTGCGTCTGACTGCCCTCCGTGTGCTCTGCAGCTACAGTTTAAAAAACCTGCAGAAGCTCTTATATGCTTGGTTGCCTCTAAAGCCATATTTGGGTTCACATTTTGTAAAAAAACAAAACGAAATAGAAAACAAAAAAAAACAAAAACAAAGAAGGAAAAGACTGATGGTGTGACTGCATGGTCAGGCTGGGCCCCCACAGGTCAGACGTGCTCCGACTCGGTCAGAGTCGCCCTAACCCCGGGAACGCCCAAAAATGAAGCCGTGGCAGCCATCGCTCCCACGTGTGACGCCGGTTATCTCGACGCCGCTGCTAATGGCGGCGCCTTCTGGTCTAGATGAAGAACTTGACGTGGCTGTTGTGCTCGCTGCCGGCCACGCTGAAGCGGTTGGGGAGGACCCTCATCTTCATGGTGCCGTCGGCGCCGCAGGAGAAGATGTGGTTGATGGGCCCCGCCTCGATCTGCATCACGCCCGTGCCCAGGTTCCGGAAGAGCGACTGGCGGGCGTGCTCGTTGGGGAAGCTGTAGAGCGGGCTCTGAGTGGCCAGGCTCCACACCTGGGGGTCAGGGGGAGAGCAGAAAACAAGCCCAGCGTTAACAAAGAGAAGACTTTCGGCCCACTGCCTCTTAAAGAAAGTTTCCTCCTCTCCTTATTGACAAAGAGCTGCTCCAAACTGCGACTAAAATGAGGATGAGAAGCGCCAACCCGACTGCCTCCCCGATTAAAGTCTTTAAACGGCAGGTGGAGAGATCCCGACCTGTGGCTTAAGGAACTCCCGCCTGTGCAACCTTTGTTTGAAGTGTAACCGCTACTTTAAACTGCTCGCACCGCTCGGTGAATTGTAACGAGTCATTCTGAATGTACAGCGCAGCACCGCACACTCTGATCCAGGAGAGGATTGTGGGTATTCTATCAAACCCAGTGGGCACGCTCGCCATCTTCCGCAGGCCAACAGGGCACCGTCCAGTGAGGTGACCCCACAAAAAGGCCAGACCGGGCCCCGACTCACAACAAATGACTCGGTGACAAAAAAGCTAAATTTCCAGTTCTTGGACACTCATCAAACCCCTTTAAAAGCCTTTGAATGCGCCGCATAATCGCGTTCGTTTCTTCAGACAGCCGATGTACGGTTAATGACCTGTGTTGAGTAGCATCACACGGAGCTCGGGAGGTTCTTTTTTTTGTTGTTGTGAGCGATCGCTCCGACGAGAAAAAAAGTCATTTGAAATTCCAGCAGAATTTCCGCCGCGCGGCTCCCTCAACGCCGGCGTGACACAACAGCTTCATCTGCGGGCCGACAGCTGTGTGATCTGCGCCACCGCCGGAGAGATTAAAGAGCCGCCGTCTCCGGGAAGGCATTAGCCAAAGACGTCTCCTGTCTGCTCGCTCCAAACCCCCCCTTTCCCTCCGCCCTCCCCGCTTCACCTTACAAATTAGTCTCCATCAGTCACCGCCGTCCCGGGCAGTGCTGTTAATCATCCGGTTACACTGATTCCTATTGACTTTGATGTGGCTCGCTGCCCCCGTGGACAAACAGCGGCCCGTCTGATTGCCATGTGGAGGAGAGCCAGGCGCGCTCGCACCTGGGTGCCAGCGGAGGGAATGATGACACCTCCATCCACAGTTAAAGTGCTCAAATTACTGGGATCTGCTCAGAGAAAATGAATGGCCTTCGACAGTAAATTCAAAGACCCCTCTGCCACTACTTAAAATTCTCTAATAGATCAGGCTCTTCACTTTCAGCCTCTGAAAGCATGAGCAAACGCTGGGAGATATTCATGTATTCAAGAGTGATTAACACCCTTTGCCCCCTTCACTTGAAAACGCCTCTCGGAACATCAAAACGTGTATTCAGCTGAAATGCGTTTGATCCCGGCGATGAAAGTAAACCCGATCAAAATACCTTGATGTTGCCCTCGGCCGATCCACTGACGAAGCAGTCCTCGGTGGGATCCACGGCCAGGGCTTTGACCGGCGAGTCGTGGGCCTGGAAGCTCTGCCGCTGGTGCTTGTGTGCGATCTCCAGGACGCTGATCCAGCCCTTCCTGCCGCCCGTGATAAGCAGCTGCAGCCGGGGGGCCATGGCCAGCACGGTGGCTCCAGACTCGTGGCAGTAGAAAGCTGTCAAAGAGAGGGGCCAGAGGACAGACGTTTATCAAGAACGGAACCAAAAAGAAGGACACATTTTCAGCTCTTTTACTCTTTGTTGAGAATTTGTCAATAAAACAAAAAATCCATTCGAAAAATAGTGAAAAATGCCGATCAAAAATTTAAATAACCACACATTCAGTTTAAGGGCAACCACTTCAAACCTTGTGGCCGTGTGAGAACCGAGCAGTATTTATATTTCAGAGGCCCTGACACGTCTGCTCAAAATCAGCTAAATGTAATTCTAAAAAGACTTGCTGATCAACAGCTGGAATGCTTATGTAAGCATACAGACTCCTCCGGATAGCGGTTACATAAGGAAATGTTTCCAACGTTTCGCCCCGTCTTACCGTGAACGAGGCTGTTAGCGGGAGTCACCAGAGTGTCCCACAGACACACATTCCTGCGGGCGCAAAAAAAAGGAACCAGATTACTTCCCGTTTCCTCATGGAGGGCTCTGTCAAAGTCTGCGAAACAGCCGGGTCAGGCTGAAAGGAAGAGATTCGGCCTGTCCGGTACCTGTTATCTGTTGAAAAGCCGGCCGAGGCGATGAGAGAGGAAGAACCCACGAAGACGAAGTCGTGAGCCGTCTTGTTGTGGCACTGCAAAGTCTGGCAAAGGTGAACAGAAAGGGGAAGAAGAAGAAGTGAGCTACCGACGACCGCGGAAGGAAAACAAGGAGATGGGGATGTCTAAAACTCTCACCAGGTAGGGCTTGGGTGTGTTCCCGCTTGTGTTGGTCTGCCAGAGACTCAACCCCCCATCGGCATCCACGATACCAAACTTTAAAAAAACACAGCCAAAAAATGATAACATCAGAGGCTTTGCTGCAAACTGAATATAGGTTTGTTTTGCAACTGACAAGAGAAAAAAACAAAAACCAAAACACTAATTGTTGGTGTTTGAGCTACCACTAAGGTCCATCGCCCCCCTTCAGCTGATCTGTGCTAAAATTATAATCCAAAACAAGCTGGTGCCCTCAGAAGTCCAAGAATCACTTGCATAACTAAATCAAGTGCTCTGCGTGTACTCTCTTCTGCAGCTTATCTATTTATTTTTCTCCACATATTTCCTTCTTTGAGCCTGTAAAAAGCAGATAAGGTGGTCCTGGCACACGAGAGGCACCATCTGAGAGAGAGACTTGCTGGAGGCGAGAGCCTGAGTTCAAGATGCTGGCTTCACTCCGAGTGGGAATGTGCGCTGGAGACTACCTCCCCACTGAGGTGTGCGTGCCTGGATGGCTAATTTGTGACCCCGAGTGTAAAAAATGCCTCTGAACCCGACGGCCTCGCATCGGTGTGCCATCAGCCATTTTCCAAAGCTCGCTGTGCCGGAACAGAGCGCCTGCCCGGCCGTGGTACCTTGTTGCCTTGGTGGTTGAAACGGATCCGGGTGACTCGGGAGTTGCCGGGACTCCTGAAGCAGGTGATCTGCTGGGAGTGGCCCCATTCAAACATTCTCACGCTACCATCCTGAGCTCCTGTCAGGTCTGGAAAAAAACAAAACAAAAAAAACAAAACAGAAGGAATGAGAAAAACACCAAGAATAAAAAAAAAAAGAAACAACTCCCAGGGCTCATTTTCCAGAGCATCTCAGAGAGCACTCGGGTCTCAACATGAGATTTTGGCATTCCTTTTTTCCCCCCGCGAACAATCATCCACTGCATAAGTGATAAAGGAAACTGTTCATTTATACATGCCTGAGTGGCATCTGTTCGATATTCTGGGAATTATCATGCCCATACACCCCACACACACACACACACACACACACACACACACACACACACACACGTGTCCCCACTCTGCAGTTTTAGGGGAAAATATAAGACTGTAGCAAAGAGCTCACGTAGGCTTTTCTAAATCGACAGCAACGCTGGAACCAAGAGGGAAAACAAGCAAAACTCATTTCCAGTTGGAGGGTATTTGCAGAAGAGAAACTTTCTGGGTGATGTAATCTCTTCCCAAAAAGTTTTTTTTTTTTTTTTTTCCAATTCAAGAATATGATGTCTGGAAAGCACTTTCAGGGGGTCGGTGCTCTTCCAATGCACTGACAGACTTCAGAGTTGTACTTACAGTACGGCAGCGTGGGATGCGAGGTCATTCTTCTCACATTGTTGATGTTTCTCTTGATCATCTGGGAAGAGAAAGTGAAGAGTGGGTGGAAAGAAGTGAGAAGCCAAAACTTTACTGTGAGAAAACAATGAACCTTTAAATCGGGGAAAGATTCTAAATGAAAAAAAAACAGTTTTTGACACAAAAATGTATTCTTTACTGCACACTGAGTCTTTCCTCAGAGTTTCAGTGTAGGAGACAACGCGCCTAAACTGACCGGAGCACAGATCAAAGGGGTTGGTTTGCCCTTCAAACTGACCATCAACCAATGTAAAGGTTACTTCAACGTATTATGAATCAACAGTGAGCATCCCTAAAACACACAGTTAGCATACGCAGGCGTACTTTTCAAAAGGTTTTAGTAAATCTTTGTTGCCTATTTTTGAGTGGTTATATTTTCCTCCTAAACGATCATCTTAAAATAAATAAATAAATAAATAAATAAACATGTTTAATTTTGTAATAAACCTTTTCTATTGTGACTTCATCAGCCAATTAATATTCCTCTCAATTAATAGCCTTCGTACAGGTCTTGTCTCACCGTGTGGGATTTGGTCTCAGTATTAAACTTCTGTGAGGCAGACATTGACGCAGATATCTGAAGATGGTCTCATTCACCATCTCAAAATGTTTTCTCCAACTTTCACCAAACCGATTGACAAAATAACTACAATGCTGAGTGGTGTTAGCTGTCCAGTCTGCATAACTAATAGAATACGTGAGCTGGTGAATTCTATATATGAAAGAAGACACCAAAAACCAGCTCTGAGTAAGATGCTGGCAATTGCCGTGATGAGCATTTCAGTCGATCCATTGATGGAGCCAATTGCTCGTGTCGCAGCAGAAACAATCCCAACAGCAGCAGCAGCAGCCGGCGGTGGTCTTTAAATCTTTACACACGCACATTTATTATCACAGAATATTGTTTGAGCTGCCAGCCGCCTGAAAGCCAAACAGAGGGAAATCAGCGGACTGGCGAGAGGCGTGAAAGCAGAGCAGGCTCTGACCTCACATCATGCTCTCCAACTGTTGAGCTGATTATCTTTCTAGTAAAATTTCCCTACTCAAATGGAAAGCGCGTTTCTGTCTTACGGCTGTGTGCGGCATCCACTCAGCCCCTCTTTCTCCGTCTTTAACAAGCGGCCTACGCAAACACCTCCCCTCTATGCCTCACTGAGCCTTTTCAGATCCAATAAGTAACTTTATTCACGAGAGAACTGCGCAAAAGAAAAAAGAAAAAAGTATGGCGAGTTCAGGCTGCTGGTTCAGAGCTGTAGACAGAGGAGTTTCTGCTACTGTGGGTGGCCTTCACATACACACACAGAGGCAAGCCCCTTCCCTGAGGGCAGCGGACGACCAGGAGGTGAAAGTGTAATGAGGAGAAATTTTAAATATAATAAATGCACCAACACAATGACAGCCTCACTAAATAAGAACCAGTCCTGCAACAAAAGCTGTAGAAACAAGTGATCTGGACCCAGAGTCTCCAAAAGCAAGGAGCAACATTTGCTTTTCCTCTGGAAGTCGGAGGGGAGCCGGCGTTAGCGGCCAGGATGCTTTTGGCCGAGAGAAAAAGATGAATTATTTATGCAAGTCATTTGATCTGCTTTGAGGATTTTGCTTTGAGTACAAAGAAAGGCAGATTAATCCCAGAGCATCACACACTAAAAGCTACATTCTCTGATTATGGATGTCGACAGTCCGCACCGCATCTGATCCAAAACCACTTCCACTGGATTAATGAATGAATAAATCAATGAATCCTCCGGTAATATTCACCCTCCTTTCAGATTTTGCTTTGATTTTTAAAATTTTTATTTTTTTATGAAAAAAGTTAACTTTTTTCATTAATTCTATGGTGATCAACAAATATATTTGGACATATTTTCTTTTAAAGCTTTTAAGATGCATTTCTCTTTTGGTTTTCACAACATTCATACCAAAGTCCCATTGCCCCCACGGATGCCTTGATATTCCTATCAGGACAGATGTTCAGCTTGCGCACCACATACGACAGAAGGGAAGGAATTAGGGAACTTTCTACATTAGACTCATAAAACATTTTCTAATAAGATAATTTTGTTTAGGGCAAAATAATTTATTAAGTGCTGGAACATGTCCATTAGAGCTCTACAGGTAAATTTATTGCATTCTGAATGGTACAGTGAGTACTAATTTCTCACCAGGCTCACACAGTTATTTCAGTTGCTGATAAGAAGGGGTGAGGCACACGAGTGGCACAAACTTTTTCTGTGGCTTCACTTGGAAACTTTGCCCGATTCGGATCGAAACAGAGCTGGTTTTGGAGCTTACCACGGCTGCCCCCCTGCCGGTCTGCATGCCTCCTAACCACGGCACGTTGATCGGTGTGCCGGGGCTACTGTGGGTGTACGGCGTGGTGCCGTGGAGCGAGGCAAAGTCATCCCGGGCATGGACCACCAGGAAGTCATCGCCACCCACGCTGGAAAAAAACAAAACAACAAAAAAACTGTTTAGTTTTCACAAAATTAAAAATTCACATAAGAGCTGTGGCAGCGCGTCCAGACTTCTGAACGTACAGATGAAAGTCTTAAAAAATTGCTTTTATGGCTCAAAACTGATTAATTGGAGACTGTAGACTTTTAATGTAAAGGATCATTTAATCATTGCACAGCAACAGTTTTTTTGTTTTGTTTGTTTGCACTGAAATTAATGAGCTCTTTGATATATTATCACACAAGAAGTCATTGGGAAACAAAACAACACTATCACAGCCTGTGCTACACTTAGCACCAACAAAGGGGACGCGTGCAGACCAGCTGCCCGACGGCTGCTGGTGTTGCTCCGTGCCCACACCCCGTAGTGGGGCTCTAAATGTTCTAAGAGGTACAGTAGAGTAGCAACAAGTACAGAGTGAACTTTATAAAAAGGAAAGAAGGAACCCAGGCTGCTCACCCTTTGGCTTCAGCCTCATCGTCATCGATCCACGTCAAGATCTGTGTGGCTAAGATGGATGACACATCCAGCTCCTGGATGTCATGGGTGGAGGCCATGACTAAACAATTACGGTTTGCCTAGGGGACGGACAAGAGACAGAGAGTGGGAATCAGAAGAGGCGGAGGACGGCGGCGATAGCAGTGAGGAAAATAGGCTGAGTCTCTGGACGCCTCCACATCAGACATGATTAGCCTGTGGTGTGCTCAAGAACGTGCGACCCCCCTGCCCCCCCTTCCAGGCCAGCGCTCACATTAATGTTACGTATCCGAATACTTTAACATCATTATCAACATGTCACTTGTACACATGTAAAAATGGGTGCCATGGCCAAATTTACTTCACGTTTCTGATGCATTTGCTATAGGTGGAGGTACCAGTTTTCTGGACTTTTAACAGCAGGTCTTCCTTATCTTAAAGGACCAGGAATTGTGAATGTGAAGACAACATTTGAACACTAGTCAGGGAAAAAACGTAACATTTTTTGGGTCCCGCTTTGCTTTCACTCACAAAACAATCCATACTTCTGGTTTTAATGGCGGCCTGAGGACTGAATCTCTTTTATCATTGTTGAGAGAAAAGCCAGCGGCATGAGATAAAGAGCTGCATGCCACTGGAGCTAGCAGTGTCTGAACCTCTTCCTATCATCAAACAAAGAAGATACAGCCAAGCAGCAACAAAAAGGCCAGAACATGATGTAAGAGTTGTGCCACCAGCCAAAGAACTTCTCTATTTGTCTTGGATTTGCAGTTTCATCAGTCAAAGTGGCACTAAGACTTGAAATGATATATATTTCTAATTACATTTAAATCAACCAGTTTATTAAATAAACAAAACAAAGAAAATAATTTGTCTTGAGCAATGGTGCTAATGGCAAAGCAAGTGTTCTTTTCAGATTTTTGACTCAGAACCACACAGACATTTATTTGGTGTTATTTGGTATTTTTGTTCACCTTTTAGTTCTACATTCGCATCAACAGCAAAACTTACAGATATACGCTGTGTGTTTTTTATGTATTTCTTTGTCCGCACCCCCCCCACCAGCCCCTTCCTGACTAAAATGCACGAAAAAACAATGTTTGCTAGTATGTCTTTCCAGTATCTGTAAAAAGAAGCGATATTAGCATGGAGACTACTAAACAAACTACTTTAATATTCTTTCTGATGATATTTTGTGTTGCTGACTGGCAGCTGTGTGAAAGGGCTTTACCTTATTTATGGCAAATGCTGTGATGATGTCAGATTCTTTGTGGATGATACGTGCTTTTCCTCCAGGGGAGCCAAGATCTGACTCAGTCTGCGGGGAGGAAAACAAACACAAACACGTCAAAATCATCAGGATTTAATTGTTACGACTGAAACCCCGTTAAACATGACCTGAAGACAAGTAAAAGCCAGAATATCTATTTAATTTCCTTTCAAAGAACTGAGACAAGAGAGCCACACAAATGAATTGTCAGATGATCTGAGCCAGAAGATATTTTTTGAGTCAAGCTAATCCGATGAACTGATTTTCTTTACTGTATTTTTCGTCTACGTCGGGTTGTTGTAGAAGGGGGGCGGTGAGTTGCATTGGCCAACAGCACAAATAGGTTACCGCCAATAGACAGTATAAGCAGAAAAACCCTGGAGCAATAATAAAAGTACACAGTGAAGCACAGAGGTCCTGTGGGATGTTTACAGCACTGCAGGCTACGCTGTAGCTCGACATATTGAGAAACAGAGAATTTAGAACTCGATGCCAAAGTTACTCAAGATGAGACAGACTTAAATTCTTCATTGCATTTAGTCGAGGGGAAAAGGCTGCGTCTTTTTATGTCAGATGTAATAAAGTAAAATAAATCTTGACTTCCATAAATCTAAATATGGTTTTTTGCCATTTTCACTGAGCACATAATCCCTGCAGGATGCAGATTCATTGCGACAGTATTGTGCCCTTTAATGTGAAGCTGTTCGGCTTCAGAGTTTGTCCTCCGAGAGACTCGGTTAATTAACATTGAGCCAAATGGAGTACCTATAATGTGGCAGTCTGCATGGTGGGAGGCAAATGATTAGTGAATGTCTATCAAGCATCACTGTACAGTTTAATGTAAAATGCATGGGTCATGTTAGCATAAATATTCAGAAAAGTTAGATGTAAGATAAATATCAAAGTCTGACAGGAAGAGTCAACATTCATAGCATTCGAAGCTCTAAAAATAAATACTCTCATGACTGCACCGTAACACTTGATATTAGACTGGACAGGGAACATTTATTGCTTAACTTCAGATGAAGAGTACAGCGACACATAGCATGCTCATATTAAACAAATGCTGTTAAAATGAGAAAAACATGCTCCAAACACTCACATGAAAAATTTTCTTGGGTAGGCTGTAAATTTGATCTTGTGTGCATCTTTAAAGTGATGCTCTGGTCCATTACAGACCAATCAATCTCGCTTTAAAACTAAAGGGAATTGGATTTTATTAATTGAGGCCAAATTTGTCAAGAATGATCGTTCCAATCAACCTGACTCAATTAAAATCCATCGAACGTGTGGGATGATGAGAGGTTTCTTTAATTCTCTTTAACTTTCAGTGTGATTTAGATTTGAACTTCTCAGTATTGGTCACTGCACTGCCTGCTCGCTCAGTCAGAAGCTAAAGCATTTGCATAAAAATGACAGTAATTAAACACTACAGCGAGAAACTAATAAAACAAATTTGTGTTTTTTTGTCAGAGTTTAATTTGCCAAGCGTCGTAAAGGAAACCCAGCCCATCACATCCCCACATCATGAGCATTGACTGAACTGGAGTATCGGTACCTGATGGTTTCCTGTCTCGTCCGTTCCTGAACATTTCATATTGTCAGTCTGGTCCTGAACCGACTTTAGTGATTGGGCAGGGAACACCGGGGGGACCCACGCACAGACATACAGACAAAATGCACAGCAGCAACCAGGGATAAACCATGCAAACACACACAGAGACCAAATTACGGTGTTGTTAATCAGGGCGTAAGTATCTGAGTGAAAATCAAAGCATCAGCATGCACTACAGGCACTCATAATACACGTGGTTGGCATGCAAAAGCAGAAATAGCAATAATGAGGCAATTTGCCTGGGGTTAGGATTTATATCGCAGTAAAATAGTAAAATGTGTTGTTCAGTGACAGTTAAAGAGGTGAGCCTCATGCAGCGGGCTATGAACACCACATACCTGATTCGGGCCTGGCTTCTTGGTAAAGATATTTCTAATGAAAGTCTCCTGCACCTCTTCCTGCTTCACCAAATATTGCCATAAACGCTTTACAGGCAGCGCCGAATGGTGGATGCTTCTGAAAATAAATCCCACACACGACTTTCAGTTAGACGTTTCGTATCCAAAAACACCAAGAGCTTATACGTGTATACAGCTCTATCAGTCTGCCTCGCTCTAAACGCTCACAGATAGCTGGTTTTTCAAAGCGGACAGACAGACAGACCAACACTCCCTCAAACAGCTTGCAATGACTGCCTTGAATCTTAGGTGGATGATGCATAATTGAAAAAAAATAAGAAAGGAACCAGTCATGGGGTAAACACTTTAATGGGTTATTTGTGATTTTATTGGCGGAGTTAAATAGGATAATGAGCGAAAATTGAAATCCACTTGTAGCTAGTTTATATTTAAGTTTGACAATCAAAATACTTCTATGTGGACTAAATTGAATTCTTATCAATAAATCTCAAAATAAATTGCAGAGAAGACCAAAACAAAAAAAACTAATCGATTTGATTGAAATACAATAGTTTACTGTTTGATGTTTCAGAGGGTGTGTCTACAAGATCCAGCTCCAGTCTTGGCAATACTAAAAGAAAGGATTAAGAACATGTCACTGTGGCGGTACCTGAATGGGGTGTTGGATGGTTCAAATAAGGCTTTGTGTCTGAGCAGGGCAGGGCCAGGACTGGCAGCTTCATCCTGGAGGTGAGTGGAGATGTACTTGGAAGGAGGGCCCCCGAAGAGCTCCAGCCTCTTCTGCAGCACCTGCTCCCAGCGCTGCAGTGTTTTCAGCACAGCGTGACACAGAGGGGACGCAACGGGCAAATCTGCGTTGGAAAATATAAGTCGCACACACACACAGATTAGCAGTGTCGGTCAGAGAGAAGCAGGGCTTTTCTCCATGCTGGACATCAGACCATTAGAGGGTGTGCTGTGTATCTCAGCCTTTACCTAATAGATCATATCCTGCCATTGGATAAAAGGACTTTAGGTTGACCAAGACCAGATGAACCATGGCCAGACGCATCAAGCACCAGCTTGGAGGAAATGAAAAGTCACAAATCAGGTTAGAGTTTTGACAACGCTTCCCGAAAATAGAAAGAGAAAATCAAGGGACATTAAATCGTGTACAGACTGAATAAGGTGCAGAATTTCACAACAGTACCAATTGATACAAGTCAGAAGAAAGACACGAGTGGCTGGTTTAATCTAAGCTTCTTGGTATGCGCTGAGGATAAGTCACTGTGAGCAGTAATTTCCACTTAGTCCTGTGACATTACCTGTATGAATTGTGGTTTGAGTGCTCTCTTTGGGGGGAATTGGGGTCAAACACATCTTCACATTCATCATCTTCTTCGTCTTCATCGTGGCTGCTGTGACTTTCCTCTGAGTCGTATTCCACCTTGTTTTCTGACGGCAGTGGCACAGGCTGAGGGGCAAAAAACAACAAAATGGAATAAACAGGAAAACTTCAAAGCCGACTGACACCTCTTTTGATTCTGATGCTATGAAATATGATTTTTCCATCATTCTTTAGCCTGAATATTCACAGCTGTTCAGACCTACTCAGAAGAGATGTTTTTTTTTTTTTGGGGGTGTAATGGAATACCTTAGCAATGAAGTAATCCCAAATGCTGAGCTCTGGAGGGACAAACTGTTCTTTAAAGATGGAGGTAGCTTCCTGCTCCACAACAGGGCCATGCTTGGGACTGGATGGCCCCTCCCGCTCAATCCCAGACTCTTCCTTGGATCCACTGCGAGATGACAGGAGCCTGAATCGTCTGGGCTTCCTGTCTGCGCCATTCGGTGTGTCTGTGGACCCAGGCAATAGCACTGAATCACTTTCATCAATGCAGCTGTGACCCACACATAACCAAAGAATTGTTTATTAAAAACGGATTTGTTTAAGCTTCCCAGCCAATCAAAATCACCTGGCGGGGGGGTTCTCATGGGACTGCTGGGCTTCTCTATCAGAGGGATCCGAGCACCTCCCCCAAACACCGTCACCCAGAGCTTGCTGTTGAGAGGGTGGGTCACTATGCGAAACAGCTCATTACTGGAGTGCGTCGCCATGCCATGAACAAACAGACTGAGGAAGACCGCAGTCAGGATTTCACAGAGCAACACAGCCAGGCCCGGCTGGCTCTCCTCTCCTGCCGAGCTCAACAGACGAACAAGAGAGGCGATACCTGGTGGAACAAAAGACAGCAGGGGAAAAGTTAGACTAAAAAAATACTGAGCTCTGCGTATAAATGCCAATCAGAAAGGAAAAAAGAAAGAAAGAATTAAATACTCAAAAATTGGACTGTGTAATAAACAGGTCATTCCACTTTTGATCTTGTTCAAGGGACAATGAAGTGATCATGTTTAAGCAGTTACACTAAAACAATGTAAAATATATGCATCTTGGAAACACGTGAGAGATGGGTAGGTCGTCTTATGACTACTGGACCACCATTCCTCTCGCTTCAGCTGAACTCCCCAGATCACTTGTTTCATGGCACATTTGAATGACTGAATGATTTATTCAATAATTTGAATCACTTTGAATGATTTATTCAATAATACTTTGAAAGTACAAGGCCAAACTCTGAAATCCCCATATCTGCTTTTACTACAATTTTATCATGTTGATTGTCAACAGATTTTTCATCAAATGATGCATTTTAATGAGGAAAAAGGCACTTGAGCTGCTCCCTGAAGCTCCATGTTGTGCTCACTCAAAATATTGGTTTGCGTCTCAACCTTGATCATTACTTCGTGGCATTGATTCCCTCCCAACATGCGGATCGCAGAGGGAGCACAAGGTTTTCACGGCAGGAGGACAGATATTCAGATGTACAAAATCATTACACATTTAAAGGATCATCAACAGTCTTTGTGAGAATAGCCCATAAACACAAAGAGTTATTTTGGCTTGTATGTGGACAAGCGATGAGTGATGAGGTACATCCTGGATAAGCCACCAGTGCTTTTGTAAGCTGTGTATTCACACGAAATAGAACAATTTTGGAAAGCACAAAATGTGTTTTCTCCTGAAACGTAATAGAAACATACACATCCTACAATGGGATACCAGCATCACACAGCAGAGTGAGCACTGCTCCCCAGTTTCATTTTAAAAAGACAGACAAAAAAATATGAGTGCTATCAGCTTGGACTTGTCAGCCCGGCATATTTCTGAGTTACAAAAATGCCTGCAAGCATATTTCTTAAAATATACTTGTGGCGGAAGTTAAGAGCTGTGTGTTACAAACAAGCTGGGAGATGAGACTACTGTGTTTGTGTCAACCTCTATATGAACTCATTTTGAGTTGGGGAGAAATCTGTTCTTCAAAAAAAAAAAAAAAAAAAAATCAAGCAAAAGGTTTGCTCTGATCAATTTACCTGGCCACTGAGCAGGAGAGGTGTTGGCCTGAACAGATTCCTCCACGCTGACATTTTTGACTGGTTGCTTCTGAGACAGCAAAACACTCTGGTACACAGTTCCTGTGAAATGGTTCACATGGCTGTGGGGGAAACAGGAGATAAACAACTCCAGAGTCAGTATGAAAACATGCAGAAACATTTTTTAGATCAAGCCCAAAATGTTGACATCTCTAAAATTACATGATAATTCAGAAATATAAGAGCAGTTCAGAAAAATCTCAATTTAAATAATTGTCTCGATTTCTTATCAAAATGTTTTAAATGAGCATGCCATGAAGCAGCGTTGTGACCGGACATGAAAGGCTGCCGTGCACATCTCAGGTTGGCAGCCTGTCTATGCTGTTCAGCTACAGAGCAGAGGCGATTTATTATTCAGGTGACATCAGTCGTCCAGTTTCCCCCTAAAGCTGTTTTTCAACACATGCACACCAAAGGTGTGGACAGTTGAAGTGTTTTTTTCCCCTTAACATCAGTACAGAACCAGGGGTTTTCATCAAGTTTCTAACATTCGGCAATGAAGCAAGTTTCTGAACTAAAAAAGAAATACAATTTCATTTGAGTCATCATCAAAACGTGTACAGATGTCAAAGGGAACATCATTCAAAGGAACATTTCCCACAACAAATGCTGTCCCACAAAGTTACACACTGAAAAAGTGACCTCCTGGGTTTTTACTCTACATATGAATACACCAAATAACCTTGAAATAAAAAAAAACTCACACACACAAAACAAAGAGAATAGAGAGTTATATTCCTGTTAAGTGGAAAAAGCCAGTTTGCGCACAAAACGCTTTTTTTCACAAAGCCTTTGAGATTCAAGACAAAAGAAAAGACATGTTTTATCAGACCTCAGGAGCAACACAACAGGATACTTTAAACCATAACCAACTGAACAAAGACAGTTAAATTTGGAATAGCCTTTCAAACACAAAGATTAACGGTTTAAAGAACTGTGAATAAGGTCTCTTCTGGCTTAAAGGAAAGAGAAACACCCATTTTTACATAACTGATTCAAGCAATCCTATTTCTGGAGTCTCATCACGCAGGCTTAAGGAGGTACCAGTTCGTTGATGCATTAGTTCAAACAATTCCGTACATCATGGAGCAATGTGACAGCACCATGACGGGAACTCAAAACCAAGCACAGCTGTAAGTCGAACGGTGCATGTCTAAAAAAGAAGAAGAATCCCAAGCACATATTCAGCCATCCGAAGCCTGAACCCTGCTGTGCTGTTGTCAAAGCGATTGGAAGTTATAGTACATTAGTCTTAAATAAACATTATTCCTCCTTTCTGTAAGAACCAAAATCTAATTAAGCATTTACAATAAGAATGACAAGCAGCATCCTTGCAGCCTTCATAATTCATATTCAACATGATCAAAACAGACAAGTGGCTGTCATGCTCCTGATTACTAAATCTGCAGCATTTCTTTACCTCAGTGCTGCCCAGCAGAATGAAGGGCATGTTAACATTACCTTAAAAGGCTATCTTCACTTACATGTAGTTGATCTTTCATGGGCTAAGAACTTTAAATGCACGGAAAATGTTTTAAAACTTTTTAATTGTCCCTACTGACGATAAAGCTGCTGTGCCTCCATAACATCCAGTGTTTTTTTTTCCCCATTAAAAATAGAAGCCCCTCTAACTTCGCTGAGCGTAAGCACAAAGAGCTTCGAGGTGAAAAATGAGAGACTTCACAGAAAGACGCGGTTGTTATCTGAATGACTCATTTTCAGGGAATCAGTGTCATGGACAGAACCAAGACCAACACGGTGATGAAGAAATTTGGAAGAATAGAAGTTCTGACTGTGTTTACCTCTCCTGAGCGGCGCTTTTATGATATAGCAGACAGAGATGAAGACAACAAAGAGAGAAAGCCCTGCTTTGTTGGAGGCGCGCTTCCCAAATCCTCATTGCTGCTTGTGAGTTTCCTGCTTTTTATCATCGCATGCGCTGCAATTAGGTTGTCGGATAGGTTTTAGATGAACCTGAGGAGTGCATCGTCCCAGCGTTCACAAAACTTTACGGCATAGTAACATTTCTCAGACACACTTTAAAGGTCTGCTGTCAAAACAGCATTGGCTACGCTTTAATAATAGCCAAGGAGCTGTTCAGCTTGATTCTTGAAGGCACGCTTCTGACTGTAAATAAGGCTTTTATTTCGATGTGAAATAAATAAATAAAGGAACCCATAAAGTACTGTGAATTTTGTGAACACAATGAGGCTTTTGTAAAGCCACTGAAGACTAAGAAATATCTATAACCCGTGTATCCAAAACAAGGCAGCAGGAAATGAAAGCAAGTCAGTGTATTCAGTAAATGTAAAAGGAAAAAAAAACGGTGTAGTTTGAAACTCACCTATATGTGTGTTCATCACAAAGACACTGATATATACAGGCAGACAAAGAAGCAGCCAAGGTGTGCATCACATAGATCTGATGTGGAGGAAAACATAAGCGTGTTAAGAAAAGAGGCTCTAAAACATATTGTTTACTCATACTACATAAAAAATAGACTTCTCCAGAAGTTATTCAAGATCAAACATAAAATAACCTAATACAAAAAATGCCAAAATGCTAATGCCCATCATTATCTGTTGAATGCGTAAATAGGCCACAGTGTGCAACAAATTAAACATGATATCTTCAAGCCAATGCAGGTTTTTACACAAAAGATTCCCCAAATGAAATATTCATGTCCACAACACTACTTAACTCTGACATTCAAAATTGTAGGCATGTACTATGTCCGCTAAGAGCAGCTTGCTTTCATTAAATTTTCAATTTCCAAGCCTTTCAGCGGCGAAACAATACAACACACAAAACAAACTACCTCACCTCATTGTTCACAACATCAGGATGTGGTGGCGAGTCGAGTGCATTGATGGTCTGCAGGATGTCATGGGTCAGGTTGGTCAGGTAGACAGTGGGGTTGGCCACCACAGTCTTTACATTTACTGTGCAAGCCATGAGCAGAGGGATGGATGAGGGCTGGGAACTCAGTGCTGCCAAGGACTTGGTGGAGTCATCCTAAGGACAGAGGTCCAAAAGGGAAAGGTGTCAAATAATTACTGTGTTTATCTACATTCAAATCAGCACATTCACAATCATGACAGAAACATTTGCAAGAGCTAATAGAATATGCAAAGCAACGCCCTTCTGGAAAAGTGCGCATTCAGATTAATTGGTGGTGGTTTAGAGGGGATCAGGATTGAGGCATTAATCTTTCCAGTGCAGGATGCTGCTTTGGCTCGACACTGTTGTTCAGAGAATCCGCAGCAGGTTTAATAAAACATTTCACTGGGACACATAACCCAATGTCAAACTAAAGTTATTTCTGAAAAAGTTGGAGCTTGGTAGGTATTCATTAAATTTTCCCATTTCTCTCTTTTCCTGGAGGGTAAAAGAGACATCTCACAAATAGAATAAAGAACTGAAGGGAGACACTTTAAACCTTTGAAACAAAAGCCCTTTCTTTAGTTATAAGAAACCCAACTCAATGAATAGATCAAGATAAAGTATTAGCCTGACATCTCAAAAACTATTTTAACCAGTGTGTATGCGTGTGGCAGACAATAAGCAGAAAAGGAAACACCAGAAATGTAAGGATACATGCTTTTGTTTGTACTATATTCCTAAACATCAATCTGAGTGTGTATGAACACCAAAGTTGTATTTTCTTCACCCTTCATGAATGCCTCCAAGTTTTCACTAACCTACTTAACAGGAACTCTTTAGACTTTCTGCAGTCGACACAAATGAAAAAAATAACAATATCTTCAACAACAATAAAAAATACTTGCCAACTATGGCAACAAATCTAGGGGAGAGGAAAATTGTTTGATTTCTAAGTCAAAGAAGCAGTTACAAAGGAATCCCAGTGGCATTGACTGTGCTGACATTTTACAGCACAGCTCCCACATCAGCTCAATGAGCTGTTTACCTCCTAAGATTGATGAAATTCTTTCATTTCTTTTAAACTTTTTTTTCCTCAAATAGTCAGCCTGAGGCTCGTCCTCCCTGAGGAATTTGGACAGTCAGCACAATCGGCCCGCTCACTGAGGAAGTGTATGGACAATCAAAGGAGAACAGTGAGATGGTGTGAGGGAGAATTATGTGCAAATGTTTGCACTAGCTTAACTGAAGTTTTTTACGTTTTTATATTTCTGTCATGCTTATTATGGTACTCATCTGCTTGCATTTTTTTCTTCTTTTTTTTCTACGAATTTGACATCATTTCGGCAAGAAACTCTGCTTATCGGTGTGTATGAGTAGGCAGCTAATGGTCATGATTTTCACTGTACTCTTGAGCAAAGACATGCCATATACACCATGTTCTTGATTGTTATGCATACAGAATTAATTAAAACTATTTATATGAAAATACATTCAGAACCTCTGACAGAAAATGTATTCCTCACAATAACCCATAAAAAAAAGAAGAAAAATAAAGCTTTTATCATTCTCGGGTAAAATGTCAGCAAAATACTGTCATGCCCTGCCTACCAGCGCATCTGTGCATGTTTTATTCACCTGGTGAGACTCCTGAAGTAGCAATATGAGCTCCATGCGTACAGAAGCCAGACCTCCACCATGGGAGCCGTGTAAGCTGCAGTAGCTCAGAAACATCCTCAGTAAAGGCTGGTTACTCAGCAGCCACTGTCTCCTCTTTTTTTGGCTGTCACCACGGGGGCTTCCAGGCTGCAAGAAATATTTTGAAAATCCAGCAGTCAAGTATTCAACTCAATTCAGCTTTATCTTTATCTGACAAAATGTAAACGCCAGTAACAAAAAGGGCTTTAACGTTACAAACCGATTAAATCTTCTAATAATCCAACTTAGATCCAATTTATTAAAATAAAGTTATTTAAAAACATCTATAATAAAATATTTGATACTTTAAGATATGCTTTGAAACAATTAAACACAGCCTAATCTGTTATATAAACCACAAACAGATTAAAATATTGCTGTATCCAAATGTATATGATATCTTTTGTATGCGACACAAAACAGCAATCAAGTGGCGATACACCAGCTGAACCTTGTGTTGGATCATGCATTAAACATCACTATCTTGCTGTCTCGCAGAAATAATTAAATGCTAAGTAGGAGTCTAGGTAACAACGCCGACCTGTTCCTCTTCCACCAATCCAGAAGCGGTGGCATCATCATGGACAGACAGCTCTGGCAGGTAAGGGGTGTAGTTACAGCAATGCTGAAGAGCCACCACCTAGGCAAAAGTACAGATTTTTATAAAATTAAAACAATTTAGAAAAAAAAGAAATAACTAGTTTGCAACCAGGCTAATTTTAGATTGCGCCATTTAAAAAAATAATTGGAATAAAAAATCTAAAGTATAAAATGTGGTATGGAAGTTTACAGAAACGTGGAGGTTTGTACCTCTCTTTCCAACCACTGGCAGAGCTGGTACCGCAGTTTCCCTGCATCCAGTTCATATCCAGTCGATAGTGTCCGGAGCTCATTTGTCATAATCTTCAAGCAAGCGGTGAATTTAAGATGGGCCACCAAAATGTCATCAGATGGTGCGATGTAGTCATTGCTGTCTTCACTATCCTCACTGGTCCCGGTTTCCATTATTGTCGACAGGGCATCGTGTGTGTCCTGAAACACACTGTTGTCTGCGTTTTTAACAGATTTGCCTTCTTTTTTTCCTGCATGGTCCTCCTCCTCTTCCTCCTGATCATCATCTTCTTTGTCACTGTCCCACTTCAGCTCCAAGGGTTCATCTGGAAGGGTCACAGACGGCTGGCTCCAATCAAAACTCAGAACTGAATCTGATCGGCTATTGGATAAGCTGTTCTTATCGGACTCGTAGCCGTTCAGAGCTGGTGGAGACCAGTCAGTCGTTTGTCCAGTCCTACTCCCAACACTCAGTTCAGCTGTGATGTCGGTGTCCTCCCGGTTAAAGTGCTTAGAATGCTTGTGAACTTTCTGCATTTTGGAAAGGATTTCAAGTGCTAGCATGGGGCACCCTGCATGCAGATGTGCATACGCAGCTGTGAAGAACAACCTCCTCTCCATAAGGCTGATGGAGTCGGCCCGGCGACCTTCAGCAGTCAGACCGACTTTAGCCTTGTCCGAGGAGCCAAAATGGCGCCGGAGGAGAAGTGGGTGTGTACGGAGGTAAATGTAAAAGTTGAAAACCTCAGGATTGCATGAAGACCTAGCAGAAGAACCTAGAACAGAGTAAGAAAGAGAAATAAAAAAAACTTGTTCTGTTTCAGTTGCAAAAACTGTTTTTCACTTGCACTTTCACCAAAATTCCTGTAAGGAAGAGCTGGATTACTGGATAATCCACAGAGCAGCAAATTTAAGGGCTTGGTAACGAGGGGCTGCTCTCTGTGTGGTCACTGTAATTAAGGCGTTGCACCAGCAGTTAAAAGGTGGAGAATCAAACAAGGACAGCCTGTTCTACAAGGAGAGCGCATCAGTCTTTGAAGAAGCAGAAAAAAGTCTTATTTCTTTCTGTGAGCATACCTACGGCCATTTGACAACATTATTTATGTAATACATGTAACATAATGCTGCTTATCTGGGGCTGGTTAGCTTTTGAGTCAAAAAAGGGTTCATATGAAGTTCAGGTTTTATTTATTTTTGAAGGGTTGCTTCTTTTTTCATTAGGGTTGTAGGAGGTATTCCATTACCAGTGTATTACACACAGTGGATAGGAGTCCAGCATGTACCTAGTCTGACGTATGAGTGAGGACAACTAGCAGAAAGACAAGCACTATACTGCAGTGGACAGGGAAAGCAGTAAATGTAAAATTTTAATGTGTGGTTAACTGAGGGCATTTCAAATGCAGCTTACCTTGCTGGGAGACAAACCTAAAACAAAGTGAACTGAAGGCATTCTAAACTAGTGTCAGTGATTCTAACAGCACAATATGAAATTGCAAGTCCCCTGCTCTTTGTTTGCTATTGTGAATCTATTAGTGAAAAACTCACAACAGTGAAAATAAAGTATAAGATTAGACTATACTGCCTTTCAAGAGTGCATAGCTGGGAATAATGATTCAGTTTTTCATGAGAAGGCTATTTGAGTGAGCTCGATCTAACAGAAAAGTTAGCATATAACTGAACTGTTCTGCCAGTACTCTTATCTTATTCTCCAAACTGACCATCATCATTTTAAGTTACGCAATGTTTATGAAGTGCCTGTAATAATGAGGTATAAATGTTAAATATTGGAAGATATGTCGATATGTCACTAATAGCCTCTATGTTCTATCTATCTATGCTTCTTAAGACAGAAAAAAGACAAAACAAAAACAGAAAAAAGAATCATTCAGATTGGCAGGAGACCTACCTGTGTCACTTCTGCTCTCAGAGAACTCTGAGCGTTTGCAGTTAGCAGGCTGCTCGATAAGAGTATCCAGTGCTCTGCTGTAATCTTCCAGCACCCAGTGAGCTATGCTTCGGAGGAACGGATCTGGATGGGCTGGAATCTAAAACAACACAGAAAATGACTGAAGCTAAATTGGCTTTTCATTAAATGGAAAACACATATATATACTTCATTAAAACACATCCGACTGCTGACCTGTTTGTCTTGACCCAGAACATGCCTCTGAAGGATCTTTTTGTAGGTGGAAGCAATCTCAAACTCTGACTCATACAATCTGGAGATCACTAAGGCCAGCTGTAGGTCCTGCATTTTCTCTATGCACACCTGCAGCAGAGAAAAAATACGACAATTATTTTAGTCATTTAAAAATAGTTTCTGTTTTTAGTGCAGGGCTCAGTGGGGCAGATAACATATAGTCCAGATGCCATGTGATCCAGTAAAAAGGTTGAATCTAATCTTGGCTTTCTTACCTGTTAACACAGAAGCAAGCTTGATAGGTAGAATAAATAACTAAATAAATTAAAGCATGTGATTACAGCAAAATGTGTCTGGATAGCTGAAATTGTTGTGGATGCCCTCAGCTAAGATGGTGTGAGGTGCATATCAATGAGAGTACCTCCCAGCCACTGAGACTGAGCAAAGTCAATGATAGTCCCTCGCCTGGTGACACTCATTTCCATAAAGTGCTTAGAGAGTTTGCAGTTGCTCATGCAGATGAAAAATTATGACTCAGTGCTTAAGGGAGTGTCTATGTAGAAATAACCTTGATAAATAAAAGCTTAAACAATCAACACGACCTCTGTCAGCCCTCTTCAAATTGGTACCTGAACATTTCTGTGGCCCCTTACGGATGGCAGCAATAGAAGGTTCTTCTAAACACCATGCACTATTTGTAGAGCACAAAAATCCTTTTGGGGATATCAAGTGCTTGGTCTCTGTACTCCTTTTTATTGGTCTTTTTTCCTTCAAGCTTTGATAAGAAAGAGGTCGGGATGGTTTATGAACACACAGGGAGAACGTCAGCAACACCCAACTGTCAAACTCTAACATCAACCATTCTTTTGTGCATATTGTGTAAAAAACTTAAAAGAAAGAAGTCACTTTGGGAAGATACTTGAGTGTTTTAATAATAAAACAAATGCACCCAACAGAAATATCATGATGTGCAGTCTGAATTTGTTGGGGCACATTTTCTTTGCTTTTTAAAAAAAAATTATTTTACACAGTACCATCAGCTACTTTCGATGAATAAAAAATGATAGGGAAATAAAAGCTTAATTACAATGTCAACGGCGGTACACAAATGAACACAGTAACACTTCACAGTGAAAACCTGCTTTCTAAGTTAACTTTATCAGGCTTGGAAGTGGCACAGCAGTTGAAAGAACAAGTCCTTCTGGGAAACATTTTGTCAAGTCTATTTTCCACTTACTTCCACAGCATCCTTTAGGGAGCCCGCTAGAAGAAAGAAGGCTGCAGAATGCTGGAACCGCTGCTTTCCCAAAAGAGAGAACGCATTTTTCAGGGCTGCTTTCCTCCACCTGTCCTCGCTGAAGTTGTTGCGGAAAAAATCTGTCATTTTGGCATTCTTCTGAGACCTACCGAGAAAGAAATTCAAACAGAATCAACATCACTAGTCTTCAGTAATCTGACAAAGCTGTGTTTGTACAAGGGCAAAGTGTAAGATTCTGTCAGCTCTGCCTACCTGTACAGTCCCCAAACCACTGCCTTCTTCTTCATTGCAAGGTAAAATATAGCTGCGTCCAGAGGATCATTGTTTTTCTGAAAAGAAGCCTTGGCAACCTGTGGAGGAAAAAGGGAGGAACAATATGTTCAAGTCATCAGGACCCACATTATCAACCTGTACAATTTCATCTTCAGAACATGTTGTAACTTTATGGGCCATTTCATGCAGTACCTTACACTGCTATCGTGGAACTTTAAAAGCAATAACAGTAAAAGTGCTTTAAAACAATCTTTACATGGGGATTATACCCAGACAGCCTTTATTTGTTGGAACTTTGAAATAAATCTGACAGTAGCTTTGCAGCAGTTTTGTCTGCTTTTCTTTGTATTGCCACGGTTCCATATTTGTGTTTATACATTTTCAGTAAACAATATTCAATTAATTTAAGCAACGATAAACTCAACAGTACATCCTGTATAATGAAATGATAAACTTGCCTTCTCGATACACCTGCGCAGCTTGTCCGTGCTGCGTAGCCACCAGCCCACACCCATGGAGCGCAGCTCCGGCCATGTGGGCTCTCCTTTCTGCAGGGGGGGAAGCATGTTCAGCAGCTCCTCCTCAGCTTCAGAGTGGAAAGCCCAGGCATAATGACAAGTTGACAGACCTGTAGAGAAGAAAAAAAAAAAAAATCATTTGGGAAATACCAATAATTCATTTCTTGGCAATTAAGAAAGCAGGAAAAAAATATATAAAACAAGAAAAACTAACTAAGACATGAGCTTGATTGAGTGCAGAGAGGTGGAAGAGGGGTTAAGTAATGTGTTTCCTTTAGTCGCTGTGGTATTAGACTTCTACTGGAGGTATCTGAGAATTCCCAACGGTAGCTTTACTGCTGTAATTAAAGATGACAAATAGACTGTGGCTTATTCACATCACTTAACAAGACTTTGCAGTTAAGTACCCACAGATGAGTTCATCAATACACTACTCTCCTTCTAGCTTTAGGGATCTTTACCGTTATTGTCCTGATGACTCAATATAAAGCTGAGTCTGAAGAAGGGCAGGGAGTTGTATGCAATAATGTGGAAACTGGCAATAGTAAAAGCTCTGAGTGCTAAGTGAGGTGTTTTTCAATAGTCACTAAATGAAATAAAGAATATAAAAAAACTAAGTAAAAACCACTGCTGTACCTTGACGTAGCAGCTGTGCTCGGTGTGCTGGAGGCAGGGAGGTTGAGAGAAAGGTATGGAGCCTGACAGCCAGCAAGAACTTCAGACCACATTCATCCAATGTCTCTCCACCTGTTAAACGAATGAGACCCAGTTATTACCACTTTTCCACATATCATCATATTATGCTGCAGGTGCTCGTGTGCACCCCCTTCTGTCAATTCAAACTGTCTATAACAAGGAATCTGAATACTTTAAACGCTGGTTCTCTTTAGTAAACTACCTTGTTTTTTGCTCTGGTTATCCTTTAGGTCTGTGCTTGTGGTAGCAATCGTGTCGGCCAGGGCCATCAGAGACATCTGCTCCATTCGAGTTAATCCAGGCAAACTGGAGTGGAGGAGATGGCTGGACAGAACCTGGGCATGTTCTGGGCCAAAGTATGTGGGGCTGTACTGAGACAGGTCTATAACCTATAAAAGGAAAGAGAGAAGGAGTCAACAATTCAGTGACTGATGCTAAAGGACACAGGTACATTCAAACTCTGATGATATTACATAGTGCGCTTCAGATCAGATACCAAATGTCATGTCAAGTTTTGTTATTAGTTTCTGCAGCTGATGGCGAGTGAAACCAACCTTATTCCCCATTTCCTCCTGATCGTTGTCCAGAGGGTCCAGATCCACCATGTTGGGTGTGTGAAAGAGCTCATCATAGGCATCGGTCTGACTGGAACCATGCCCACTATCTCCACTCACACTGCCAGCTTTATCTGTAGTAAAAACACAGGACTAAGATAAACAATGCTAGACAAGCTAGAATGCTATAAGAGCAGCAGACAAATTACCTTATGCATGAGAGACAACAATTTCAATTACGGAAGGACACTATTTAGGTTACATTAATGTGGCTGTGCTTTTCTTTCCTCGTTTCACTTTGAATTCGTAACCATAACATTTTGTTCTTAGTATCTAACACAGTAAGGACATTCAGCTGACAATGCTACCAGTGCTTCCACTGCACAGCAAGTTTTTCTGTGTATATCTACCTGCTTAATAACATGTCTGCCATTAGGTACGCAAACAAGTCACCGAATTTTTGTGAAAAAAAATAGTCCGGATTTTCAAACTCGTGATTTACCTGCAGAAATATACAATCTGTGCAGGAGGTGAAAGCTCGCCGTGAAACCTTACACTGAGGCTTTGACTGGGATTACACTTTTCAAAATTGTAACAAAAAAGTCATGGGGAGGGGGCAGACCCAATCCCAAGGGCTAGAGATAATTAATAAAAACAACATTGCATGCTCACATTCATTGAGACAATTTAAAACAGGCAAACAACTAAACAGGCATGGTTTGACAGTTTGGGCCCGATTCAAGCTCAAACTCTAAAGAGGAGAGTCCCACTCCAGAGTCAAACTGGAAACTTGCAAAAGTGCAAATCATCACAGGGTTTCTCCTCGGGGACTAAAGCATTATTTAATGCAGATCGTTTTAAATGCATACCACTTTTCTATTTAAAAGACAGGTGGTGTACTCACCAAGTTGTGGTGTGTCCTCATCAGCTGCCAGAAGGGCGTACAAAGGCAGTGGCGGGACAGAGCTTATCTCGGTGTAGTCGGGGTGTGTGCTCTCGGCCTTGCTGAAGATCTTCTGATCCCGAGCTGTGCTGCCGCCGACACTAATGGTTCGAGAACGCAGGCGTTTCTCGGGATTGGTGTTACTGTCTTTAAGTGTTATAATTTCCCCAGCAATGCATTTCACCAGGTGGGAAAGGATGGCTTTAGCCCTATGAACCTTGAAACAGACAAATCATTTTACAAATAGGTATCTGAAAGTAATTTCATAATGCACGGTTTGTCACACTTCTACAGCAAAGGTAAGCGCAATAATCTTCTCTGTCAGAGCTGTAGACTTAATTTGTCTCAGACATGCAATCTATTCCCCTCTAACACAGAGGGTCTGTTGCTAAGGGCCCCACGAAATGCAGTGGAGAGCTTGGAGTGGTTATTATGAGAACTCTTTAGTAGCGCTAAACACAGCCTTACTCATATTTTCATCGTGATAGAAACACAGGGGTAAAAAATGAGCACAGAAATAAGTTCAGTCACAAAATGTGTCCCACATCTGTTTCAACCTCTAGGAATACCAACTCTTCAATCAAGACAGTTAGCATAAGATAACCTTCAGTTAACATAGTTAGTCATAGCAATTACACTGGTGTTTTCACTCTGCCTTCATTACAGTCTGTGGGTTTAATATGACAAGTTAAAGGAGTATATTGTTTTTCAATAATAATTAACACAACAGCAAAAAGAGCATAAAGTGAAAAAATAATAAAACATTTTTAAAAAAATGTGTTCACTATAAAAAGTTAACTAAATAACTTATAACATTGTTCTAAATGTTAAAATAGAATTTTGGTTGCCTTATGTTATTGATCCATTCATTTTATTTACCTTCCCTAGATCCATGAGCTCCAGTAGCTGTACAGGGTGATACTGGGGCAGAGTGGGAAAGAGTTGGTGCGCAGCATCAAAAAGCCCAGAGTCTTCCATCTCAACAGGCAGGTCATAAGCCGTCTTCTTTCCACTGAGCTTCTGAGCCAAGCTCATCATCGATCTCGTTAGGGACCTTTTCGGAAGGGTCAATGATGATGTGGGAGCCCCAGAGCTGAAAGCCTCCTCCTGACACTGTCTGACAGCTGAGGTTATGGAGGACATGCTACTGCTGATATCTGGGTCTTGGACAATTGTGATATTAGGTTTGGGAGGCACTGGGGGCTGCCACTGGGAGTAGACGTGCATCTCACAGTCCATACCCACAACCAAGATCCCATCTCTGACCCAAGAGAGGGAGACGGGGATAGGTAATGAGCCCTCAACGGACGAGACCAGGTTGACTGATCGAAGCAGAACCAGACGAGACAACCTTTGGTCTCTACTGGCATCAGAAGACAGAACCAGATCAGGAGGCTTTCCAGAAAGACGCCCATACATATAAATCTTTGTCCCAATGCCAACGGTTAAAATGTGTGAACCATCCTCCTGGGAAACCCAGTCCAAGTGAACCACGCTGTTACACGAAGAACCAAAACAGTTCTTGTTGGGTGCAGAGAAGTCTGTGTTACTTGGAATATTGGCACTTCCAGTCTCATTGTTTTGGTTGACAGAATGAGTTGTGGGATCCATGTTCTCCAAGACAATAGATTGCTCCAGAATCCACTGCGAACCACCTGTTGACTCACACTGGAAGATACTAATGTGAACCGGCGGTTCTCTCGCATTTCCACGGTTTGGACTTAGACCGTGGCTTGAAGCAGGATAAACAATCAGTGTCGGCGTCAAGAGGGTGTTGGTGTACACGTATGGAGAAGACGCCATAGCAGGAGGAGAAGGTGGCAGTCCAAGAGAGTTGGGATGAGGTGAGGCGTTCAGAGGTGAGCTGGGCGTCTGCCTGTAGGCCACAGCGATCCGTCCTGTGTGACAGCAGCTCACCTTGATGGGCCGACCCGGCACGCTAACTGCGCTGCTATTAGGAAGTCTATCCTCAACCAGGAGAGGCCACTCCTTCCACTGGTACGCCGCGCTGTCTGTACTGGGAGGTTCTGCTGTCGCCACATTACATCTCCAGAAGCGCACCGTTCCATCAGAACAGGAAGTAGCAAGGAGATAAGGCACAGGGCCAGCTGGGAGAGAGCAGGACGCACTCAGGTGACCTGATGAGAGACAGGACATTAGGTCAGCAAGTTCAAGAGCCAGACTGCATTTAAATTGATCAAAATATTGAGAAATGTTTAAAGAGTTTCATGGAAGAGGTGTGCACTAACCATCTAAATCTTATCATCCTATAACATTTATTTTTCTTGGGTAGACAAAAACTATGCTTATGAATTTAAGTGGAATGGTAAATGACCCCACAGTGACCCCAATACGCTCAGTAGTGTGACTGTAGAGAATAAAGCCCTGTATTCACAGAGAGCAAAAATACAACAAGTAGCCCTGTACGAATGCTTGTGGGAATGGGTGAAGGCACACACGTGGGAGGGTTCCTCGTAAGGCTTAAATAAAGTTTAGATCACTTATCAGAAGCCCAAAAAGAAACAAGCCAACCAAAGCTTTTCTTTACATCAATAGTTCAATAAATCTTAAAATGAAAAAAAGCGATATCATCTTCATATGTCGATAGCATCTATCAACAAAGAGTTACACAACCACTGCTCTTTTCAGCCTAATAGGAATCTTCATAGGAACATGACAGATTATACAACTTACACTCAACAAGCTTACTGTCCATGTGATCACTCAGTATCACGAGAAAGGAAAATTATGCATTAATACAGAGGCTCTTTCTTAGGTAGGTCTGAATAAAGCTTTCAGGAACATTAATGCAAATGTGACTGTGCCTGTGACCGATTTAATGAAGCATCCCAGGCTACGCATCAAGTTCTAACTGAAACAACAATTCTTTAGATATTAATTTAAGGTATTAATATTCTATTTGTACCTTGCATGGAGATGCACATGGAGATCAGTAAATGTCTCATTAGCAACTAAAAAAAAAAAGAAAAAAAATCCTTTTGGACTGCCTTTTGAATATGATAGCGACTTCTCATCATCTCTAACCTGCTGAGGGAGTGACACTGATAGCTTCCACTCCTGCTGGAAGAGCCAACTCTTGACTGCAAAGCTTGTGTGTCGTGAGAGTGAGGCGACAGGCGCTCTGCAGATTTGAAGTGCAGGTTTTATTCCTCTGAATAACGGGAGAACTCAGTGTGTCAAAGACAAACTGAGAACTGTTCATTGGAGAAGTAGTGGCGGTTTCCTTCTGTGTTGCAGTTTCATCTGCAGGCATAAATAGAGGGAAATATTCATTAGAGGGACTTTTCGTCTAAGCTTAACCAGAACATTAATTGTCTTGTTACTTTATGACAGACGACGCATTAGGCAAATTTTCAAGTCGCTGCACCACCATCTGCCTATAGAGAAACCAGGTTTACATTATACTGAGACCCTGCAATTATTCTAGAGGCCGTTAATAAGTGGAAAAAGCTGCATACAAGTGAGAATAAAACTGCAGTGGTAAAAATTGTCTGAAAAAATGTCTCACTATCATTACCAGAAGCGCTCTTTCTTGGGAATAAACCATATTTTTGGCTTCCATCTAAAGAAAACTTTTTCTATATCTTGGATGTTTTATAGTACAGAAATTAGTCTTTTGTGGACACAGTACCCACCCATAGTAACAGGTCGAGCAGCGAGATGGAGATGCCACATATGGAGGAGTGAGCGTCCTGCTGGGGTCAATTCTACCACCACAAGGAAGAAACGTGCCAAAAAGGAAGGCCCACTACAGGCTGCAAGAAACAGAACACAAAACAGAATATCAAGGATGTGCAAGTTAATGTAAAATGAGACAAACATTTACATGTTAAAACGTATGGCCATACCGTTTCGAGGAGAATCAGAAGTTGTGTGAGCGTGTCCCGTTCTCACATTTCCGAGGATAAGATCCTCCTCAAAGACGTGCAGGAGCTGGGTCTCCTTCCCCTGCTGTAGAGAACAGCAGAATGTGTGAAGACTAAATAAGGTGGAGACACCAAACACCTTAACACTCAGCAGCACGGGTGAGAATATGCCGCCACACAGACACAGGATGTGTTCACGCCACATCTGCCACACACACAAATGTCAATGCACACACACAAACTGCCCAAGGGATGAAAAAGTGTTTGTTCTGCATCCGGCTGTCTATTTATTTTGAGGCTTTTTCTGTGACTCATGCTACAGAATGTGTCAGGCTATGAATGATCAAGCATTCATCTCAGATTGATAAAATATGACTGCAATGATTGCAGTTTGAAGTTAAAATTGACAAGAAATTGACAAGAAATTGACCTAAACGTTCAGCCGCGGGATGAATACGCAGGTTTGAGAAGGCGTTGAGGAGCAGAATTTGGTACTAAACAGTTCACCTTTCTTGTGCCTCATGCGTACTCACAAAGTCAGTTATGGCATCCAGCTCGATGATGCAGCCTGGTTTTGCTGTGGACTGCTGACTGATGACGTTGAACACTTCACCGACATATTTCTGAAGTGAAACAAACCAACAAAAGTGAATATCTCTACTAAATTTTAAGTCAAACAGTAATGGAAAAGGTGTTCAACAAGTGATGAATGCTATGTGCTAGAAGTGGATCAGGAAATTGAATTAAAATGCTGACAGATCCTTCCTTAGTTTTACAAAGTGCATGTAATTTTTTTTTTTACAAAAATCACTGTTTCAAAATAAAGATGATGCAAAGTTCTGTGCAGTTCTGTACAGATTCACTGACAATGATCAGATGATGTTGGTGATGGAAAACAAAGCCTTGAAGTCCATCCATGTTGGACTGCACAACACTGTCACGGAACAGAAAATGGAGACTTGTTCAATGACTCACTGATATCTCAGGGTTGGAAAGCTCACTCAGGAGTTTCTTTGCCTCAATGACAGCCTGATAGAGTCTGAGGGATTGGCCGTCGCTTGCCACAAAGCAGGCGCTGGGGGAGTTACAGTACACACCTGAAGACAGAAAGATACTAAATTTAATTAATACTTCAAAGGAAAGTATGCAATTGTAGATACAAAGCCATTAGAAATACCACATGCATACTTAATTATTAGTTTCACATATTTGGAAATTGGACCCTGAATCATTCCATTTCGGTGATATTAATTCCAGTGGGGTTATTTGAATACAAATGAGTGAGGGCTCATGACAAAACTGCACTGGAAATGATCCAAATGGATTTAATTTCCAAAGCTTAGTCTCTTTGGATGACACTACATTAAGCAGACATTATTAACTGCATTTTATAGTTTGCAAGTCCAAGTAAAAGTTTAGTGACTGGAATGACAGAATCCGAGCTGTACTTAGAGAAGAAAGCTCTGTGTGTGACTAAAGAAAAATAATGGATGAAAACACAATATGGACAAAAATAAAATTTCCCCTCACCGAGGCAGCTGCTGGGAATGAGCGTGGGCAGCCAGGCCACATTAGCAAACGCTGATGCGTGAAGAGAATTTATTCTAGCGAGCTCCGAGACCCCGCCTGACAGAGACAGTGGGCCTACTGGGTCCACTCGCCATAAAATCAGCTCACTGTATATTGCATTGGGGTCCTGAGAAACTCCCCCTAAGGACACCCGGCTGGGCCGGGATCCACAAGGCAGAGATGTGGAATACGAGACACCGGTGGAAAAGGCCTCTGGAGGAGCCAGGATGCTGTCTGCCTCTGGTGTCCTCAAGGCATTGTGGTGTGAGGTGGTGAGGAGGAGAGGAAGAACTGAGTGACAGGCCAGGTCGTTCAGGTGGAAACGGTGGCCACAGTAGCGGGATTTGTGGGAGACGCTGAGCACAGTGGAGAACGCAGAGTCCTCTGCAAAACTGACCGCCCACTGATTCAGAGAGCCGTCGTCGTGTTTGGAGATCATGAGTACGTTGGGGGTAAAAATGCTGAGTCGAAGACTACTCCCAAGGGCAGCTTTTCCTTGACCTCCGTAGCTGATTAGAGCAGATTTGGCTTGGGACAATGAGCCCCCGGGCAGCCGCTGCCTGCCATGCTGGATGGCCAAATCCACATTCTTGTTGCAGGCATACATAACCACACTGTGGCTCAGGGAGATTGCGTCACCTGTCGGGAACGCTACAGGGATGCGGGACACAAAGGACACCTGAAGGAGAAAAAAGAGAAACACCAGAAATATAAGGAACAAATGCTTGGAGAACATAAATCAATCCTTTATCATTAACAGCACATTAAAGTCATTTTTCTGATTAACAATCTTTCCCTGAACACACGAATGGCACCAGCTGTAGCATACCTGAGCTTGCCTGAACATGCCCGGGTGGTATTCATCTAACCAGTCCACATTCCAGACCAACAGGGAGCCATCCATGGGATGTATACTGAACAGCATATCGGCCCCTTTATTCCACTCCTCTAACAAAACGTCCACTTGGTGCTCCACAGCAGCAACGGGAAGGTCAAAGTCTCCAAAACCTTTGAGGTCACTCGGCTTGGTACTGTTATCTTCTTCATCTGAGTTTTCTTCAACATCAGGCTCTGGAATACAAGCCAAACGATAGCAACTGAACATCATTTGAAATTGGGAAGTTTACTCTGCAGTTTAGTTCGTTGTTTCTTCAACGTCATATGCACAACAATTAAACCTTCAGACCCAAACACTTTGTGTACCTCCGTTAGAGCATTCACTCTGTTGTTCTAAAGTGCCTCTCAGCTGCTGTAGGAAGACTTCCATCGCCAGAGTGAAATTTAGCTCTTTGTTGTTTAGCCAGTGGACAATAAATGGACCCCCAGGTTCCTCATCGTCCACGGTACTCAAAGAGGAAATGGAGGGCAGCAGAGGAATGTCTGTGAATTTTTAAAAAAGTAATTAGGTGAAAAGCAAATTAGAACAGCTGCAGAAAAAGCAGGACAAAATAGTGTCTGTCCGAGCTAGTTAACCTTTGTGAATGTAAATATGGTTTGTAGTTTTCTACACTTTGACTTAATTCAAGCATGCAAATACAATCCTACAGGACTCCCCACCCTCAGGGCAGAAACAACCTACAAGATTTTGCCCAGAATCAGGTCAAATTAAGCTGCCCTACAAAAAGAGAGAGAGGAAACGAGATTCTCACTGCCACCCTGAGCAGCTCTGAGCATAAAAAAAGCTCACTGGGATGTTAAATAAACAACCCCGGGCAATCTTTAAAAAATGCCTTTTTTCCCCCCCACATGCTGCTGGAAGAGCCATGGAGCCCTCTGACCTCTGGATCATTTTGTTCAGATAGTCAGAATTATATCAATATACTGCCTGTGTTCACTTGTAAAATATTACAGCTGAAAATTCATCAGAATTTTAAAACAATTGGTCCTAAGTGAGAGACTGTTGAAAAGAGTCAACAGTGAGTGTGACCTGTGGCGGGGTTGATGCTAGCGGCGATATGGAAGTGGCAGAGGGCATTAGCATGGGGCATGCCACTCCTCTTGTGGCTCGAGTGTCGGTTCTGATGATGAGGCACGCAGCCGGTCAGGGAGGGCTGGGGAATGTCCCGATAGAAGGAGGAATGCCACGACTCCTGAAAATTAAACTGTGAAGAAAATGTTAATAAATCAATTTATCAACAAACATGCTAGATGAATAAATGTATGAATTTGATTCCATATTTTTTCAATTAGTTTTAATGAAAAAACTTTCATTTTTGTATTTAATCCTTTTGTTAGTGCGTTTAATATTGCTGAAATATATCAAAGTAGTTTCCTTATGGACTGCATATCAAGTCCACGGCTTACAGAGAGAAATATTTCAGTTTAAACATAACTTGTTTTAGATTATGTGCTTTGAAGCTGCTTTAAAAAAAAAAACTGAGTTCTGAAATGTGTTGGTTTAGCCCTGGAGGGGCTCATGGGAGGGCTTAATTGTCTGAATCATTCACTCAAGACTTTCTTGAGAGATCTTTCACTCTTGCCCAAGTAAAATCTAGGGAGCATTTTAGCACGTTAGCAAGCATTTATCCTACTGGGGGTTGACTTGTTTGCTGCTTCCTCTCATTCCTCTCTATGGCAGATACATACAAATACGAGAAATACTCATATAAACACAATAAAGAAGCTCATCTCATGTGTTCAAGTTATTGTAAATGCAGTACATGCAGATAAATATGAAATTCTAATAAGTCTCCAAAATATTAAACATTTTACGCAAACCCAGTGAAAACTAATTAACACAGAGGAGGTAAGAGGCAGCATGTGATGCTGATAGCTCATCCTTCTCCCTCTGGTTTGCAATGAATATTCCCACAGAAACATTCTTCCAAGCTTTTCTCATGGCACAAAATAAGAAACTCTGTTTGCATTTCTATTTTTCCTGTCAACTATTCAGCTTTAAACAGCATTAATTCTCAAAAAATCAGTTTGACTTGTTCCCCCATTGCAATGAAAACAAAATTACTTTTCCAAACTATTCTAACGTTTATTAAGGCAAATGTTAACTCAAGACACACATAGTTGACATGAAAACAAGGTGAACCTAAATTAGATGATGAGCTTTCATCTAAGGAGGAGAAAACACTTTAGAATCCCTTACTTCTTGCAGTGTTGTTCCTTGTGTCTTCCCATTACACGTTTTTTTCCAAGGGTAGCCTGTTTCACTGTTATGGCCAGAATTGTGGTTGTTATGGTGACCAGAAAGGAGGCTGTCACCGGGCAACAGCGTCTCTGCCCAGAGCCGACAGACACTGTCTTTACAGCAGGTAAGCAGAACGTTGCAGACCGCACCTCTTTTTGGAGAAGAGAGGAGAAGAAGAAACATGGAGAGCCATTAGATTACAGTAATGTCCCGTGGAGAGCGCTAAACATTAGGTTACCACGTCAAGAGCAGATAAAAGGAAATCCACAGGTTATAAAAAGAAGTCATGTAAAACTTAACAAAAAATATGGAAAAAGGAAGCAACTACAGATCTAATCTTGGAGCAGAAACTTTTGGGACTAGATGTAGACCAGAGCAACGTTTTGGTATAGATAAGAGAAAACACAATAATATAGAAAGCAAAGATTAGTACATGCTCTATAGTGAGTAAACAAGAAATCGAGCATCACATCCTATCTAAAATACTCAGAATGCGGTCTGATTCAGGCTTCAAAAGTACCAATATTTCTGTGCGAGTGTAGTTGTGCATTCAACAACAGTACAAGCCAGATTTAAACTTTTAAAATGTAGCCTCCTGGTAAAATAAGATTGCAATGTAGTGCAGTTCATCCAGTTACAATCAAGTAACACATTATAAGTTTCAGTTAAGGCCAAAAGAGATAGTATAAAAACTTTTAAAAAATTAAATTAAATACATGCTGAATAAATAAAGTCACAACAGTAGAGGTGCCTGAAGAATACGGTGAAATACTGGGAGGTATTCATTCTCTACTTGTGTGCAATTGCATCAGATGGTGTTAAAAATGTGGAAATGAACCTGCAGTGAAGACTATTGTGAGAAATCAGCCGTGGCTGCTCAAAGCCGGCCATGAAAGAATGGCTTGAAAGTGTCCTTACCGAGGCATGTACTTGCTAGTCTTCCTCCAGGAGAAACCAGTAACAGAGCGGGGATGTGCAAGGTACACAAATGAAAAGACCAGCTCTCCCTGAATACTAGTACTGGCCTCTGGAGGTGTGAAAAGTCGGGCCACAGATGATTTCCACTTAGTGGTGCTGTACCACACTTTTACCAGGCAATCATCCTGGCATGGAGACAGACAGAGGAACATAACTGATCATTTATCCCATAACCGTGGCATAGCATTTGCTATCATTACTCAAAGCCATTGCGCAAAACAGAAAATATAAAAAACAACTAGCATGCTTCAGATCAGTTACTAATCCCAGAGGAGGCCTTTGTTTAAATAGGCAATGACACCCGATTGTGCTTTATACACCAGTTAGCATCACAATACCAACAGGTCAACCATCTCTGGATTATTCCCTTACCTGTCCAGCAGTAGCAAAGAATTCCCCATCAGGAGAGAACTTCATGAAACTGACCGGGGAGGCCGTCCTTCAGACAAAGAAAAAAGAAAAGAAAAAAAAACGAAAAGATGGAAAGAAAAATTCACAACTTTAAAAACAAAGCTTTTACCTCCTAGAGGAAAAAGTGAAAGTAGTTGTTAGGATAAAAGAAAGTAGGCTAAAATGAATATTTCACAGAGAGAGTATGCATTCAGTTCTAAAGGATTTAAAAAAAAAAAACCTAACCCTTTGGAAAGTGCATTTTGTATGATATTGATGGTGCAAAATTATCCATAGTTCAGTTGAACAAAGTTATTGCTGTAATCATATCAGAACCTTAAAAAAGTACCATTATGTAAGAAGCTATATAGCTTTGTTCTTACTTGCTCTGCCAGATGCATCTCCAGGCAGAATTAGAGTCTCGGATGGTCATTTCTGCCCGCGTTCCCCGTCCCTTGCTTTCATCTTTTTCACAGTCATCATTAGCCCACAACTGGAGGCTACTGGAGCCCGTTAAGAGAGTGCTGCCTGCGCACACAAAAACAGCTTTTCACTCTTTCAGGACGGTTGTCATCTTACGAAAAACCACAGTCAATTTATAGATAAACGGATTAAGAGATTCTAATTACAACAGGAGTCAAATGCCTTTTGTCACCTATTAAGAGAAAGTGATGCTTTAAATTACCTGTGGGGTTCCAGGCCAGGTTCCGTACCACGGACTCCAACACAAACTGACCCGTCTTCTGCCACTGGCAGCTGAATTTCTGAGCAGAGGGTAATGCATTAGGAACAAAAATGCGGTTCAGTCATTAATCATTTCTTTAAGCCAACTGTTCCCATACAGTACAAATGGCAACACTTGTGCAATTAGAACAAGAGCTAGTAGCTACTTTGATGTGAGCCACATTTTACCTGGCCAAGTGGAGAGCAGCAAAATACTACAGAACTTCAGTAACAACAACTGCCATGAATACACTGATTGCTTGTGTGCATGTAACTGGTGAGAAACGTGTGCTCCTTCCCAGTGAAAATCACAGCATCAATTTTCAATGCTGCATAATTCTGGATAGCCAGGAACGCAGTACTTGGTTTCGTGGATGATCCAACTAAAAGCATGACCAGAAGGTCACCGGAAGACAGGGGTACTTACAGACAATGATGCGTCTTTTTGATCTTGAAGCTGAACAGGCTCAAACACACAGACGATGCTTCCATAGGAAGCTGCAATCTGCCATCAGAAAAAAAAGAAAAACATAAATAAATGTTAATATTTTTATTTAAAAAAAAAAAAATATATATATATATATATATATAACCATGAACAATACTAGACAATACTATAACCATGAACAATACTAGAAAATCTTTTTGAAAATTATATTTTTACAGTTTCGTTTTGTTTTTAGAAAAACTATATCTTAGAAAATGTATACATGCCTCAGTAGTAAATGTGCATAGAGCCAAACACAACAAACCAAGGATTATTATTCTTAGCCTATAAAAACCGTGTGCCGAGTCATAATTGTTCTGTCGACCATGTACAAACTCTACATTCCTGCATTAGTTAGGCCTTCCTGCTCAAGGGCGTTCATTGAGAGCCACACTAAAAATGGTTAAAGTATCTGCTAGAATAAACAAAAACACTGTTTTTAATGGAGTAAATAACATGCAGTGTTGTTACTGTTAGAGAGGAGTGAATCACATGCATGGCTGTAATTGTGTACACGCAGACTTGCACTCATTTGGAAATTTTTCAGGGGAATGAAAGAAAAAAAGAAAAAAAGGCTCAGACAAAGAAAAATGCATGAATTGTTTTAAGGTCAGCTGTCTGGAGTCGCATTTAAACACATTTCACATTTAAATTAAATCCATCAGTAATCCACATGTCCTTTGGAAAGCTCATCCTGTAAATGAAGTGAATCATGGAAAATAAATACTGGATAGAATTTTTAATAGCATACAGGGGTAAAAAATCAATCATAAGATATTGTCAGACATCTCAAAGCTCATCTAACAGCTTTTTTAGAATCAGTTTCCTGTTACAGAAAGAAAAAACTAATTACTGGCATTTGCAACACTGGTTCAAAATAATGTACCGGTATTATTCATTTATCATTACTAATCATCCCATCCAAACAATGAACACGCTTCAGAGCAGAAGGCCACTAACACTTGCAAAATGCATCTACGGTGCAACAACCCAAAAAGAATGAGAAAATAGGACGCAGCACTTGAACTAACGGCACAGCAAATATCACAGTGAGCAGAGGGCAACAAAGTGGAAATGGCAAGCATACCAAGTTCGCATTCTTCAACAGATGCTAGACCATGCTGGAGGCATGTGTGGGTACTTCTGACCCGAGAGAATTGGATTAAACATCACGAGGGGAGCAGCAAAAAACTGCATTGTTGTTCATTTAAACTTCATCAGGCCTGTTTAACACAGTTATTATCCACCGTTTAAAGCCACCAGTGACTTGTCTTTACTACGTGGATGTGGCTGTCCTTTGTAGCTGACCACAGCGTTTGAAGTGATCACAACCAGGCATTGATCATTTGTGTTAATGAAAGGCCATATTATTACACTTGAGAAACATAGATGTACATGTGTGCACCAGAAATATTATAATTTAGGCTTTTAATTAGCAATCTGTTTACATTTAGAAAAATAATCAAATCCATTGTAAGCAGTGGGTGTGATTATTGAGGGAGAACAAGTGAAGTCATGGAAAGCAAAGAGAGAAAAAACAATTTTAGGATTTTCCCCAATTACAGCCACACAAAGTCCCTTATAGACAAAGTTAAAGGAAGAAAACTGTAAATGTGCTAAGAATAAACGGTGCTCCAGTTGTATCATAGGAATCCAAAAACGTTTGCTTAGAGCACAAAACTAACCGTGGCAAATTCTGGATGCAATACTGACTCGGAATTCATTAAAAATATGTTTGTTTTCCAGTGGGATTATGAAATGATCTGTGCAGCCAATTAATATTCAATAAATGCATCTTGTTGTCAGCAGTATTGTATGAAACCAAAACCATCCAGTCTGAGGCATGGGCACTCAAAAGGAACACGCAGCATTCAGAGGTTCTTACCTGTCCACCCTGGGGTGAGCAGTCGACACAGCCGACCTGGATGTTGCCATGTTTGGCACCTGGGATGATCTGCAGCCGCTCAAAATTACTGCCCAAAATCACCACATCACAGCCCGACGCATAGGCCTATCATGAAATGGAGAGGATGCAATGAGACTGTGAGAAAGACGGCACATGGACTCATCCGGAGAGAATTATATGAAGGGTCACTTGACCTACAGTTGCCCTCGAAACCGGTGTCAATGCATCACACATAGCAGCATATGACAGCCCCAGAGCACGAGATTAGATCTGTCTGCTCTATTTCTGTGGATCTCAAAAGTGGATCCTCATATGAGCGGTGAATCACTGTGACTGAACCTCACTTAAAAAGGACCAAAGAGACATAGTTAAGTGGTACCTCTTCCTGGGTCCTTACACAGTGTAAAAGCATTGAGACGTGATGGATCTTTATTTCAGACATGTAACAAAGCCTTAACCTTCCAAATAATCACATCAAGGTTTAGGCAGGAGAGGAAACTTGTGATTTACTTTCTGTGCTGGTTTAAAAACATATGCAGTGAAGGAAGCCTACAGCAGTCTTCTGTTTTGTTTGCATGGGTGCAACACATTTGCATGCGTGCGGAACAATAAACAAAAATCCTTTCAGCTTTGTGACAAATCCGTTGGGCCACCCTCTAAGAATCAGAGCATCTACACTGCTGAGAGGGAAATATTTCCAGAGCTTGAAATATCTTACCGTGAAAGGCACATTGTTTATGCTCCCGACAGAGAAGCAGTTGTCTCCAGGGTTGACAGCCCCCGTTAGGACTTGATGGAGATTCATGACTCGAGTTAATACTCCACAATTGTTTCTTCGACCTCGCTCCTTTTTTTCAAAAAACCCTCCCACTCCAGGTGAGATGCATGGAAAACCATAAGGGGGGTGTGTTCATCTTTGCATCTGGTAAATTCAGGTCAGTTTCCCTGCAGGCTTACTGTTAGGAAGAAAAGGAATTATCAGACACAGTGGGTGGTTTAGATAAGATTCAACTTTACTACACACACAACTTTCTTACTGGATGTTAAATCACAGTTTGAACATCTTAATATGAATAAAACCAGCGACGTAGTGCCTGAAATGCACTGATAACGCCAACTGCTTGTACCTACATTTATCAAGTATTCACTCCAAGTATGACCAACTTTAATGAAAGAATGCTTGGGAAAAGAATAATTATAATAATTAAAAAAGCAGGTCTGGAAAAGAGAAGCAGCAAAACGATACAGGCAACATGCACATACACACTTTCTCATGATGTGCAAGCCAGGAAGAGTTAGCAAATGTTCTGAGGAGGGATTGTTGCAGCATTTTGTTCAAAGCTGGCTTTAAGGGCTGTGAAACTAATTCTGCAACGACACATTAAACCGCTTCACAAGAACTCAAAGCTTTCAATAAAACTTTGGCGCAAGGCACTGAAACACACTGAAAAGACATGAGGACAACCACTGCAAGTGAGCAAGTCCTTCAGCAAACACTGGACTGAACAAAGCACAGTTGTAATCCAGCTCAATTAGGTGACCCACCTATTTATTTAAACCACAGGCATTTGTTATGCGCAATCTGTTTCAGAGGAAACTGATTAACCATCCGAATGGGTAAAACCAGGCAGGTAAATATTAAGAGGATTATCACAAGAGAGGAAACTTGAGCAGGGTTATGCTTTGTTAGCAAGTGATAAAACAAAAACTGTTGGCACTGTGAATGAGTATTTGTGTCAAGCAATGTTACAATTATTGAAGAGGAATACTCATTTGTTGATAAAGAAGTAGACACAGGTGAGGATGTAAAAGTACCTGACGCCTGTTAAACAAGTTCAGTATAAAAGGCTAAAAGCTGAAGGGTAGGTAGGTAACGTGAAACAGGTATTATTGCAAGCCCGGTTGGTCCACTTTACTTGTTAGTCTTTGTTCAAGAATCTTTTATGTCAGTCTCTCTATGAAACTATCACACGCTCTTAAAAGTAAACCAATATGGCACAATAACACACTTTTTAGCGCAAGGCACGGTGTGAATGCATTAGCTGTGAGCTAGCAAGAAGTGGTCATTTAGTGGCATTATTATTACAAAACGTAACACATTTTAAAGTGGAGAAACAAGTACCTCAGATTCGATGTGGACCATCAATATAAACAAAGCGTTGAGAGATTTAATCAGTGATGTTTGAGAAAATGAGCGTCAACCTGTTTCCTGTGTTGTGGCAACTCACGTGATAACGTTTTAAACGCCAGCAAATTGAAACATAGCAGTTGACAACGTGTATTGCCAACTCAGCATCACCGTTTTCCTTATTTAACTATAATAACGCTACATATAAAACGTGCTTCTGAGGTTTAAAGTGTAAATGTTACACGTCAAGTACCTGGTTTTAATTCCTCAACTTATAAGGCTAACTTAGCTGTCAAGTTTGGCTAGCCATTCGCTGTTTGTAAGACACACAATAACACGACAAATAAAAGAAAAACTATTTGGCCACTTACCTTCTGGTGCTACTCTTTGACATATCCTGACAATGTAAGATCAACAGTTGGTCCCATTAGCTGCTGTCCTTGGTGCATGTATCACCACAGCGGTACGGATTCGGTCAGTTAGCTACGTTAGCTGACAGTAGCTTCTGAAGCTCTCTTTCAGCAAGCTGCTGAGCTTCAAGCTAGCTGAGGACAATATACGGCACACATTTAGTGGAGAGCAATCTGTCCTTACCAATATCAGGAGCTGTTTACTTCAAAAAAACGCTGAGGCGAAGCCGCCATGTCCCCAAGGTTAACAAATAAAACTCTCCTACAGAGGAAGCTTTTCCTTATACTGAAGATGTGTCATGATAAAGACTGTGTCATTGCAATGCATTATGGTACTCGTAGTTCCGGTTGAAGCATTGGCTGGGAAAAATAATGTTGGCAGTTTGTAAAGGATTTTAAACCATTTTTTAGATCTTCACAAAATAGTATTGATACTTTATGTTTCCCAAAATAATTTTAGCCTCTAAATTACCATATCCTCCCTTAATGTGTTACAAAATGCCATATTTCAAACGTTAAAAGTGTTAGAATATTAGTGGGAAATTCATGTGCAGTTATAAACAACTTTGCACATACAAAAAGTTTGTTACATGCTTTAACAACAACACAAAGCATATTCTAATCACCAGTGACATTATTATGTGGTCAGAGAAAAAATGATTTGCCAAAAGCTTAAACCAAACCCACTAATGCTTGTGATGTGTGTACCAAGGTTAATTGTAATAAAAGTTGAGGTTGCTTTTACTTATTCATAAATTAATTTGTCTTTTTGAAAAACAGTTAAATCTCCAGATTATTTGTTGGAAGATCCAGAGGATTTTTGGAACGACTTATCTTGTTATAATACCCATACAAATTGTGTGGAATCAGACACAACAGACACAGAGACTGATCATACTGTATTCATTCAATGTTTTTTCTCCTCTTGTTGATGTGTACAAAAACACATTTTCATTAACTCAATATCTGCAATGGTACTAATGCTACTGCTGAATGGAAAACAATTTTCATTAATATAAAATTCTTTCTTTATGTCAAGTGTAGAGTTACCTCTTGTTCCACATGTTTCTTATCATCAGCTCTGTCTTAAATGTCTTAGATTTCTTACGTTTCTTGCAGGTGTGATGAGAAGTGTATGTCACAATTAACCACAAGGTGTCATTGTTGTGCTCTGGGACTCTACACTGCAACATCGGTTGGATTTGCTAAAAAGGCATATTTAGTAATCATGTTCATATAATTTAATGTTTTGGTAGAGTTTTCCTTACTAATGAGCTCAAATTAATATTCTATGATGGTACTATTTTTGCCAAAGTATCAATTGGAAATACAGAGGTCCACAATAACACTTTGAAGGTAACTGGAATGAATGTAACTTGATGTTATTTTTCTATATAATCATAGATGTATAACAGCTCTTTGTACTTACATGCACTCTGCTTGAGCTGTGATGTTGAAAACACTATTGACTGATGAATGAAGAGGTGAATGAGGGGTTGAAGTCTTCAAGCTTAATTAAGGCATGTTAAGATAAATGGGACAGACATCTTCATGACTAATTTAAAATGGCTGACATGTTAGTGACATTGGGGAATGTTTGTGACATTTAGTGATCCATCAGGAAGTAGGTCATGGCATTTTTAAAGCTGTAGCTACACAGCACAACTGCTAAATCTTAAATAAATAGACAGGATACATTTTTCTGGATTTGTAATCTATAATTTTCAGATAAACTTGCGTTATGTTGTTTGATAGGAACATAAAACGTCCAAAGGAGTTAAGCACAACTACACTCGGCACCCACACTCATACACAATCCATCTTTTTCTAACAATGTAAATGTATCTTATCTAACCATCCCTGCTCTCATCCTGCAGGTTTGCCTTTTAAAAATATTGACACTGAAAAGAGAAGACACTTCTCTCACAGACACATGGTCTGATGGATATTTCTTGAGCTGACACTTTAAAAGAGAATAGGACAGCGTAGGGTTTCTTTAAAATGTAAATTATATCAGTTAGGTGATTTACGATTCACTTTGGTTTTCTAAATTAGAATTTGACTTATGCTGCCCAGTAGGAACAACAAATATTCAAAAAGTCATATCGAAGTACATAACTATAATCTAAGTTCAAACAGTTATAGACACTGTTTTGCAATGTACATAGTGTAGTGCATATATAGTGTATTTAATCATTTCATCAGCCAATAATCTACCACCATCTCCCCTGTCCCTTGCATCTTTCTCTATCATACAAGCAACCTGTATGTCAAGATATCCATTAACCTGCTTTACAGCCTTCATCTTTCCTCTTCGACTGGCAGCGCCATCTTTTAATCCTTTGCTCAAATATGTTCCATCCTTGTTCATATCCAAATAATCTCAGCCTTGCTTCTGAATCTGAAGTTCTCATTTCCAAATTCTGCCAACATCACTTTGTGTTTTCTTGCGAATACTGTTGTAAAACACTGACTTATTTACTTGTTGGATATTTGTAAGATAACACTTGTCTTAAGGTCTGCATTGTGATCTAAATGATGAAAGAAAAATAGAAAGAAATGGTAAGAATACACTAGACACAAGAGGGCAGTATTGAAACACATAAAAACTCTTTTGGTAGCATACTTTGAACTGTTAAGGGAGTGCAATTGAACCTCACTGTCTGAAGTCACACTTGACTGCCCCGTAATCCCCTTGATACCACAAAAGTAGGCACCACATTTTAAATGCTAAATGCAAGCTTGTAAAAACACCACAAACCACTGGCCTTCTCAGTCCTAACAATTGTAGACTTTTCTTTCCCCAATTACACTAACAAAAAAAACTTGATTATCATGTTTTGTGTCTCGCTCCAGATAACATGAACTCGGTCCCAGCTACTCTAAAAGGTCGAATCAGTCCACCTCGATGCACCATCCATGATTTTTCCACTTTTATGTCTCCCTTCTTTAAATGTGAGTTGTTTCTTTGAAGTGCACGGTGGTATTATTATACCGTGGCTTCGCGAGTTCCAATGTTGGTGTCTTGAATGAGCTGTAATTACTGGATCTGGGGGTAGGAGAGCAAGCCAAAATGGGTCTGAGTTTTCAGTGTGGCCATGCTTTGATGTGTCACAGCTAGTGGTTGTTGGATTTTTAGTTTGTAAAGCAATGAGGCTTTTCCAGAGGAGAAAATACCAACAAGTTGCTGAACTTTGCTACCAGACAGGAACATGAGTAACCAGTCATTGTGAAGCTTAATGGCAAACAAAACATGTGCTCTGTTAAGTGCACTTAGCTTCTAGCATTTTACCATGGTAATCACAAAATAATGAATTCTCTCTACTCGCTGCAGTTGGTTTGGATCCATTGAAATCTCTCCAATGACCAAGCTTTCATTAGATTTATTTGTGCAAAATTCTGCTCTGAAATGTCTGACTGGCTCAGTTTGTGCTCAGTAAACTCAGCAACGCTGCTCTGCTCGATAATATTTCCCTCGGCCGGTGCCAATGCTGGCAGATCTTCATGTGTCCTCTATACTATCATTTCAACACTGTCCTTCATTAGCGTGTAACGCAGTGACCTGAGTCAAAGCGTCCTTGTCTGTGAATGTTGAGTCAACTGGAGGTGTGTTTGTGAGAGTGTGCGTGTTTGTGTTTTTGGCAGTCAGCATGTGTGAATCCCTGTGTACATCAGCGTGTGGCCGCTCCATCTGCAGGTGTGTGCGTGCACGTAAGCGTCATTGCGTGAGTTGTCCGTGAGTGTATCTTTGTGCGCGGCTCTAGAGTGCAGTCACCCCCTCAGAGGTGACTGTGAAACGATGGGAACGCGCATTAGCGTCAGAGGAAGAGGGGTAAGCGGGCAGGATATCCCATCACATTAGCAGTGCTGCTGCACCCATTTCCCTCAACTCTTCCTAGCAGCTGGATCCAGGAGGAGGTCAGAAGGGGTCAGGCAAGCTCCTCCCTCCGTCATTATCCTTCCATCACCTGCCGTCCCCTCTGTGCCGACAACAGAACCCTCTCCTACACTTCACTCTTCACTCTTGACACCAGCTCCAGTCCTTTCTAACCCTTAGCACCCCTTTTTTTTCTTCTCGTCTGACTCTGCCTCCATTATATCTCACATCTTTTCCCCCTCCATCTGTTCCCAAATTCTTTCCTGTCTTATCCTTTTATTTGTCTCCTCTTGCTCTTTTGATAGTCCTGCATCAGCCTCAATTTCCCTCTGTCATTTTCTCCCACAGAGAGCTGAGAGGTCCTTGCTGCTGCTAGTTTTTGTTAAGTCGGCGCAGCTGATCTCTCGATTGCACCGGAGATACTACACACCCAGTGCTTTTCACACACAGACTCGAGGCTGAATAAAATTCTGTCAGTGAAGAATCTTAGTCAAGTTTTTGCCGAGATAGGATGCGTACGGAGAGCACAATGGAGCCCAAAGTGTCTCAAAAATATGGCCCGAAATCTGGGGCAAGTGGCAATGCAATATAGATGTTATGTCAAGATAAATATTTCACGATACACAACAATGCACTGTAGAATAGAATAATGTATGGGTATTGACTAAAATGAGAAACAGAAGTGATAGTTTGATTTCTTCATTTTCTGTGTCATGCAAGTTTAATGTGAAATCTTTTCTCCATCTTAAAAAGACAGTCTGCCCCAAAGAAGAGTGAACGTCATTTATTCAATTGAGTCTTTAACAAAACTGAAATATTATAGCAAGGCAGATCAATGGTATTCAAAAAGCTGTAAGTGCTGGTATCCCTGTCAAAGCAGGAAGCTGTTTGGATTGGAGGTCAACAAAGCTGAACACATCTTTGAACTGTGGATTTCTCCTTGTGTGGAGCAAAGTACTCAACAACTCCCTTTGTTTTTCAGCTGCATTTGCATACATGTGTGCTTCGACATTTGGTTTCATTCTTTTATCTGTCTGCCCCATCCTGTCTGAGAAAATGTGGACTGAACTTGCTTGACGTGGAGGCAATATAACTTCTACTCAATCTAAGCTGAATTGATCAAACAGACACCCAGAGCACATTTTTCTCAACAACTCGAATTCAGTGAAGAAAAAAACTTTGTCTTCTAATAAACTAGTCTGACACTTGCCCAAGCTCAGAACATGTGAAAATGTTTCAAAGCTATTTTTAAAATAACTTTTTTCTTTCTGTCATCTTCACTTAAGTAATGCATAATTCAGGTGGTTATTGAACTTGCAACTGCTATTTGTTAAACCCAGTTTATTCCCTCTGACCTCAATTCAGAAATCATCCCATGTCTATAACGACTAAACTCAACATTAAATGATCTGTTACAGTTGTAATGAATTGTGCA